AGTCATCGAAGCTGATAGAGTTGAAACGTTCGAGTTCACTTGGGAGCACACCGCCAAGCCTTGTCCTAAATGAGACTCGGAGTACCTGAACCTTACGGCGCACAGCACCAGCACTTCAAGTTGGTGTAGCCAACTAGCATGCAAGCACACATGATATCCCAAACCTCATTAAACTATGTCATTCATATTCCCGACCGTATCCCGACACCTCATACTCTGCGAAATGATGGATATGGAGAAAGATATCACGGTAAAGATTGACAGGCTGAAGCAGAGGTTATAGGGAGAGTAGAGGAGAAGAGGAAAGAGTAGAGACAGTAAATGAGGGTGAGAATGGGTGCCAAGAGAGGGTAGAGGACGGTGAGGGGTTGTGGGATGCTTGAGGGAATCATGGACGCTAATCGGACGCAAGCACAAGCGGGACCAGAATCACCTGAGTCTATTATTAGATCCGGAGGGACATGAAACAGAGGCGCTCGACGATGCAGCTAGCTACTTTTGCAATTGTACGTTGTAAACTTGTACGTCAACCGGGGCTTGTGCCTTGTGCCAGTGGCCACAGGGTGGTAGTGCCGAGACCTGATAATCCCACCGGCGTGTGGACAGATCTTGAAGCTCGCGCGGGGTCCATTGCAACACGGATATGTTCAGCAGCGTGTCACACACGTGCTACACTACTAGTCTCCATGTGGGAACTTCAACGTTGAACTGACTTCGGCCGCGGAAACAAGTGACTGATGGCCATCGATAAAAGTACCATGTGAGCGCCTCTAACAATAAACAAGAGCGGCTAATTCTGGTTTATCGGTATGAAAATAGACCCTACCGGCTATTCGTACTATACCGTTTTCCACAAGATTCTTGGGTCCGGACTCCGGAGCGCGCGTATTGTACAAATCGTCTCTTGGAATCTCTTATCAATCCGATTATGTACAGCGGTCACCGGTCAGCGCTAGCGCTCAGCTCTGCACACAGAGTACCTCGTCTTAACAGTTTTCGTCGTTAAACTCTCTCTCACACCCTGGCCTCATCAGGTCTAACCTTTACCATAACGTCCCTTGCCTGAACATTCTCAGGTAATTATCTCTCACCAAAAATGGAATTTCGATTAAATCAATCAGGTGCCGATGAGATCACGTGATTGGAGTTATGCCACACTAGGGTACTTATGCCTAGCCTTTACACAGACGTCGACACATCCTCTGACATTCAATATTCAACATTTACCGATATGGTGTTTACTCGCCTCGACCACGAAAAAGCTGCCGAGAAGACACCGTTTGCCACGGAGTCAGCAGGGCTAGCGCTATTTATGTAAGTTTTAGGATCGACCAGGCCTAATAATAAACACAACCAGCTAAGGAGATTCTGCTATGTATAGCGGTAAAAGCTGTATTCGAACCCAAACATTAGCAGCCGAAACATTTCATGAACGTACGGATGAAACTTCTTCGGTTCCGATGACAGTCACAGCTTACTCCGTATCTTCAATCAAAATTCACGGCGAGTTTTCGAGGTCCTTTGATTGAACATCAGGGCTTATGGTGCAAGGTGGAGGCAGCGAGAGGCTGCAGGGGCTTCTGGTATCGGTGTAGTTGGCACGCAGATGGGTCGCTTGCGCAAGATAGGGCCCGGTCTGTCGAATCATCAACCTGAGCCAGAGAGATATCGTGGAAAACTGAACTGAACTGGCGCTTGCTAGCAGACTGGCGCGACAGCCAGGTGAATCGCGATCGAGTGGTGCTAGAGGTCTTGATCTCCGTCTGCTGTAAGTCAGGTCAGGTACGTTGTCGTCTGATCTCACTTATTGAAAAGTTTATGATTATATTCATGATTTTCCTTGCAGCTTCGGAAGTTTTTAGAAACGATAAAAGGCTGCCTACTACGCTGCAAAACCCCAGCTCCATCGTACATCCTTTCATCGAGCTTGCCCACTCAGAGAACTTGCATTCAACGAGAATGGCTACCACCACAGCTTCCTCCTTCATTAGCTCTGTGATCCTGCAGCCCATCATCGTGGCGATCAGCAGCGCTGTGTACTCATCCCTCCTATCCTACGAGATGGTCGGGAACCTCGACTGGAGACCGGTAAGTCCCTCATTTGCGGATTTCATAATCTTTCTGATCGTGCCGCACAAAAGATCGTCATATGCGCGACATCTGATGTCCTTGTCATCGCGGCTGACCACCTGAAAGATCAAGAAGTTGTCATCGGTACTCGAGGCGCGGCTGTCATAAAGCGCTTTACCCCCCTTGCGCGTATCTTTTTGGCGCTGAATGCGTCGCTGCTCGTGGCAGCTCTAAGTCTCAGTCCGCCGAAAGCGACGCTCTTCACCGCAATTTTCACTTCCCCTGCTTTTTTGTGGACGACCCCGCTTGATGTTTCGCGGATCGGCACAATGCTGAAGAGACTCATAGGGGCAAATTATAGTCAAGAAATGGACAAAGCTCGCAAACCGTTCATCATCAAACGGGTCCCTGGCATGAAGGCTTTTTTCAGCGGTACCATCCGAAGGTATGTGCTGTCGCATCCTGACGGTTTATGGTCTCTGACTTGAAGACAGCTGTGGGGTGTTCTTAGTCGTCCACTCGGCGCTGCAGTCGCCGTGGAAATCGACGCATAACGCACTTCCATGGACGATCGCCGAGACTCTCGTTTGGTCGATGGTCAATCGCACCGGTCATTGTGTAAGGCAAATTTTTATTGTAAATGTACTCGCGACTCAAGGTGTTCTAAAGATTATGTCGGACGTGCGCGACTACGACGAGGACAAGGAGGCCGGAGTCCCGACCATACCTGTCCTCCTAGATTCTCTTCTGAAGACTCGGATGATCTTGACCGTCGTTCACGCAGCCGTCTTGACGGCCTTCCGCCACAATCCGTTTATTGTGGCAAGTTCCTGCTTCGCCATTGCTCTTGTTTGGATTCTAGGGAAAGATACTCCGAAACCTTACTTCCGTCTTAGTCTTCACTCTCAGTCGATCTTTATTGTTACGTATGCTGTTTTGCTCACTTTTGGTTTGATTTAGACCACTATTACACATCTTAGGGGCTATAGAAAGGTTCTCAGGCCCAGGGGTGGATCTTCGGTGTCGATTTTTAGAGTCTGTTTTATTTACTCAGTGCTGTACGTCATGGTGTGTCGATTTGTGTATGTTTTCTGTATTTACTAGTAGTCTCTAAATGTCACGATTACTGGATAGCGCTGAATATTGGCCTCCAAATACCTCGACTCGAGTGTTTTATTTCAGGTTATGCTGGGTTTGAATTCTTTGGATAGTGCCGCATCCTTAGCGATCTGACAGAGTCAGGGGCTGGCGTCATTAGAATGCCTAACGTTTCAACAAAATTCGAGAACGCCGTCGCTCAAAAAGCTAGCTCCACAGCAACTCCACAGCGTGTGCCACTCCGATAAAATCGTACCCCTTGAAACTCGATAAGAATAAGGTAGATACGCGTCGATATAGATCGAAGAAAATGGATTGTATGCGGACTTCGGCCAGGGTGACTCGACGTGACATGTTGTAGGGTGGCTAGGACTTACAGTAACGAACACATACTAGCAGTACATATATTCATTTTGCTACAACTTGAATATTATGTTCATGAAAAACCAAAACCGTGCACCGTGACATGGATGACACCAGCCGTGTCATCATCAAGAAGCACGTAAAGTTCTTTGATTGGGATATCATGGTAGACGGACATGCAGTGTTTATCTCCACCTTAGCGCCACCTGCAGAACGACCAAGTCAACCAAAAGTCTCACGTGAAGCGGATTGCTTCGCTTTGGCGGCAGAATTCAGCTACTTTTGTAAGTCATCATGATTGACAAAAGTAGCTAGCATGAGCGCCTCTAAATTTCAGGCGCTCCAACGATAAACAAGGGCGACTCATTCTGGTATACGGCTATTCGTACTGTACCGTTTTCCCTCGAATTATCGCACACTAATGCTGCTCGCAGAGTACCGCGTCTTGACAGTTTCCGTTGTTCGATCATCTCGCTCACATTGCTAACCCTCATCAGGCTTAACCCTTACATAAATACCCTGAATCTTTTTCTAACCTCAAGTAATTATTATGCGCAAAAATTGAATTCATCAGGCCCGCGACTTGCCCGGACAAAACAAAAGTGATCACGTGATCGCTTATGTGCCAAACTAGCTACTAGGGCGCTCTAGCCTTTACACAATATCCTCTGCCATTCAACGGTTTACCCATAAGAGTCTATATGGTATTTACTCGCCTAGACCACGAACAAGCTGCCGAGAAAACACTGCGTGCCACGGAGTCAGCAGGGTTGAACGTTGAACTCTACTTGTAGCCTCAATGGAGTAGGACAAGGAGAATCTGGTATGTCGATGAAACTATAGCTGTAAAAAACCAAACTCGCAGCCGAAACTTTCTCATGATGAACGGAACTCTTGAGATCCGAGGATCCAATTTACGAGTCCGCACAGGAAAGATTTCCGAACCACCACTGCATGAAGAAATTCACGGCGAGTTTTCGAGGTCCCGTCACTTGACATCAGGCTTTATGGTGGCAGCGAGAGGTAGCAGGAGGCTCCGGTATGGGTGCACTTGGCAGGCAGATGAGTCGCGCTTGGGGGCCGGTCTGTCAAAACATCAACCTGACCCAGCGAGATGTTGTGGAAAGCTCAACCGGACTGGTAGTCGCTAACAGACCGGCACAACAGCCAGGTGATCGACCATCGTGTCTTGACCGTCGTTCACGTAGCCGTTTTGACGGCAATCCATTTATTGTGGCAAGTTCCTCCTAGACCATTATTTATGCATATCTTAGGACCAAATTGTTCTTCGGGGGGACTGGTCCAGATGGAGTCGAAGGTCATATTTTGAATTGCCATCTTGACAGTCGAATCACATGGGATTAGTTCATGAATAGGAATAAGCGAGTCAGGGCTGGCATCGTTGGGTGTCAGGCAACGTGTACCAACCCGTACCCCTATCAACATATTTCACCCACAGGGGATTCATCTTGAAGCTTGAAGCTTGAAGCATACACTATTATATAATTTGGACAAATGAATTCTACAGCAGTGACTGACAAACCGAAAGCAGACGCCGTAATCCTACAAAACTGCGCACACAACACACCAAAGTTGTTACAACATGGACTTTCGTTGACCAGCGTGCAAATCATACAGATCAACCGCGGCCCTCGCAATCTCATTCATAAACTCCTGGTTTGGCATCTCCTTTCGTGAGGTGACGGTAAATTGCAGACGGTCTGTGTATAGATGTCAAACTCGGCACACCTAAGATTACAACTCGAACGTACCGTCGTATCCAGTCATGTATGCCACCCCAAAGCCCTCCGGTACAACTTCACCCCATCCATACTGAGGAAAGTGGTCCGAGAAAACGGCACTCGTGCTCAGGACCCAGTTTCCGGACCGTTTGTACAAAGGGTCATTGTACAACTCTGGAACTGGCTCGCCTTCTCTCAGGCACATTTTCATTCCTATTTTGCTCGTCAACATGCAAGACTCGTTCCAAGAAGACAAGGGTGACTTACCCAGCATGTGCCGATCTACTCCTTCTCCGGACCCTGCTGCCTTCGCAAGTGCAATATGCGCTTTGCCAGCAGCATCAAAAAGCTGTTTCCGGTCCTCACAGCTGACACGAGGGTCATCCATCGCCGAAACAAAAGCATCCGATTGCGAGGTGACGACCCTGATTGTTTCCGTCCGGCCTTTCCAGTATCTACGTGTAGTCGCTGCCTCGTAGGTCCCTCCTTCCCTGTTCAGTCCGCGTGAACGGAAGTAAGCGGGCATATGCTAGTTGAATGATCATCTGGGCCCACGAATCGGGGGACACACGAAACGCCTTGATGGCAGCCTTGCCATAGGATGTGAGGTGGTATGACATTGACTGTGAATCAGCAAGCTCGTATGCAGCTTTCGACGCCTTGTCGATTGCGGTACGCGTCGTGTCGTCTACCACGAAATCTAATGGTTCGGGTTTTGGCGGTGGAATCGCAGACGGCGCCCCGAGGTCAAAAGCAGGATCAGCGAGCCAGTCGAGCACCTCATCGCACATACGAACAGTAGGTGTGCCGTCCATAACGGAATGCTCGCCCATGAGACCGGCACGTGCGTTGTCAAAAACGATAAACTCGACAGGTTTATCAACCCAGCGGTTCTTCAGACCAGTTGCATCCAATGTGGATGGTGAGAGCGAACCGTGCCAGAGAGAGCGGCTGTTAGCGATGGAAGAGGAGGGCATGTCGGTGTCAAGGGAGATGAGGAAGGCAGAGGAGTGTATCGTATGCAAGATGGATGCGTTATGTGGGTCCGCGGCCAGGTGGGCATGGTCCTAACATTGTTCAGGGGGTTTCGCGAAGAACGTGCATAGATAGATGTACCTTGGCCCATACGTCACGGTTTGATGCAGTCAAAACGCCAACTCCTGGGTATTCCTCGGTGGTAGAATCGTAAATATATTGTATTTGTCTGTAGTGAACATTAGTTTGGGATACAAGCAGCAAAGCGGGAGGTACACACTTCTCTAACTCAGTCATGCTGAGTATTCGCCCATTTATGATACCCTTGAGCTTCCAGAACCTGTTCCTCCTGACAATAATGATATGGCCTAATTCATCTACCCCGAAACCCGCGTGGGATGCACTCCAGTCGAGACCGTGAAGGCCAGGTATACGACAACAGTCAAACATCCATCTTCATAAGAGGTTAAAGATGAAAACAACTTCGATGTTCCGTCACGTACCGATACGTGTCCATACAGAATTGACCCTCCTTTGTTCCGTCAGGGCTCACCTGACCACTTAGCAACTTCTGCCGAAATACGAGGGCTCCACGTGCAAGGCCAGCAGCACGAGCAGCAGGGCTTTGCGGAAGGTGGGCAGGTTGCCCATCAAAGCCATCTGATATGAACGGTCAGAGCCGAGGACACGAGGAACTGTCGTACAGCTCACAGTAATATGAAACATTCACCACAACCTGCGCCACGTGTTAATTTAGCGCCATGTGCAGTGGAGCAGTGGGCGTACCGAATCTCGATAGCCCAAGTAGCCGAGATCATCCCACCACTCCTCCAACCAATGTTCGCGTTCACTTGCACGTTGCATTAGACGAGACTGCAATATGCTCCCTGACCCAGCGTGTGATCCGAATGCATCAATCTTCTTGACAGCAGCGGTGAATTCAGCTTCCGAATGTGCCAACGGTAACAATGACGTCTTCAGTCGCTCGAGAGTAGCAGTGAGATTTGGAACTGGCAACCGAGGAAGAGAGTCATGTTGGGCCGCGAAGTTGGGTATTGGAGGGGCAGCTGCTTTCCAGTCAACTGGACGTGGCCCGGTGAGAGATGGCATGTGGATCTTTCTGAATAATAATGGTCTCCGACGAACTTTGAAGGGAGGGAGCCTGGCAAGCATTGGGCTGGAGAAATGAGTACTGCAACACAATGCAACTTATTTGAATCTATCTGAATAGTATCCGAGTGATGTACCGACTATCACGAGCGTCGCTGTTACGACTCACGTGTTTGTCGAAAGTTAGCCGGAGCCTTCCATACGGTTGACCTCGAACTTCATCGTGATTCCGCCAGTATCTGTCAGACTTTAGTGTTGGACTGATTATGTCTTCATCTCTGTAGAAACAGTCTGCTCGTTTCCCCTTGCGGTGTAACTATTCCCCGATGTGTAGAGGAAGGCTCGGGCTGCTGTTCTGGTGTTTTTTTCCGTATTCAACTTGAATGTTTTAACAGAAAATATCGCCAGGTTCATGCCCAATAATCCGCGGACATATGCCGACCCCTTGCAAATCAACGTTCAACCCTGAAGGCTTTTCCAATGGCCAATAAGGGAAAGAAGCCTGAGACAGAGCCCCGCAAAATCTGCTTCGACTTCGCAAGACGGTAAGTATGATGTTTGTTTTTAGTACCATGCTAACTCTCTGCTCCCCAGTATCTCAGCTGTCCAGGTATGCACGATTCACAGAAGCACCGAATATGTCATGGAAATAGTAAAATGTTTTCTTTGATTCAGTGAACGCCTTCTAAATCTCGTCCCTAGGCGTCGTTAGCAACCGAATATAGAGCCTCAAGTTAGTCCTGATGACGTGGCATGGCGTACTTCACGGTTGTAGGCCTTTGTACAGGTACCGGTTGCCGTCTTGATGTTTTGTTATTCATGCTTACCTCACTCCATTGTGTCTTCCCTCATCAAATACAACCTGCGATATAATATTATCATGGAGTCCATGTATTTCTGTGGGTTCACAAGCAAACTTAAGAAGTTCAGATATTCACTTGAAGGCAATTTCCTCTGATCTCCACGCAGATCAAGCATTGTCCAACTCTCTTAGTATGATTCGTACCACATTTGCATCGTTCCTATGATAGTCTCTAGTAATTTCCAGCATCCACAGAACCAAAGCACACCGAACGACTACAAAGGAACAAGCGATGGACTTGTGGTCTCGCACACAATGCGACACTACTGTTGTGGATGGTGCCACAATTCATGGGTAGTATTAAAGGCATCAAACCAGCTCTGTCTCTTAATCACATCATGGCACCTACTCCCATCTCATTCAGATTTAGCGACCTTCCAACTGAGCTCGCTCTCATCATATTCAAATATGCTGCACAACCAGATTTTACTCAACCTAACACTTGGCTTGCCAAAAATTCATACTCATCCGCCCTTGCACTATCTCTCGTCTCCAAAATTGTCAGGCGCACTGTGCTTCCAGAACTTCTGCACACAGTGTTATTGCCAGAAGCTCGCCACGTGGCAGCTTTCATACAGGCTCTACGTATGCAGAAAACATACGTCGATCAACAACAGCATGATCTATCTCTTGATTACACATCTCACGTGCACAGGATGTGGTTCGGATATGTTTATAGGCCTTTGTCAAACCCACAGCCTACCTTCATTAGCAGCTCTATCCCTTCTGCGACTAAGCCTGACTTAGAGTCAGATGTCAGCTTGCTGGCTCCGGTAATCCTCGCCGTACCGTCCCTCGCGATTGAATGTGCGAGCTTGTATATACTTTCAGATTGCCTCAAGTATGCGTGTAACTCCGATGTCGACTTGAATGTCGACCACAAAGATTCCCCGCTTCCTTGGAGCACGAAAAGTTTGACGCTATCGGGTGATGTCACTGCTTCTCCATGGTGGCCCTTCATAGGGACTATCCATGGATATACTTTCCTCACTTCCATCCAACACCTCACCCTACTTGCTCCCTCACCCTACGAGGTGCCTTCGTGGATGGCACGGGCTCCTTTCAAGCAACTTCAGACATTTTCGATGCTCATTTCACACGGGGAACCTCCGGTCGCTGAATCTGCCCCTACGTGTAGTGCCACAACGACACGGGTAGAACTGGTCACGTTCCCTGCTTCCCTACTGCCGGACCATTGGACATTCAAGGAAATCAGGGCGTATATAGAGAATGGGGTGGGGACCATGCCAACTGTTCCACTACCAGTGCCCCGTTCTGGCAAATTGTGTACGCTTTGTCTGGATTGCCAGAGTATTTGGGCAAATGGATGTGAGGGCCCCGGGCAAATGGTACAAGTGCCAGACTGATTATTATGCATATATGTGCTTGTTCGCAATGGGCTGTCTGATTTATTGTACACTACTACACTTGAACACGATCAAAACTTTTGTTATTTTTCTGACTTGTCTGCTGCGACCAATTCAATAGTAAGTACTAGTTGTTTAATCCGTCTCGAACTCCACATCGGCGGTGAGCGAGCAATTCCCATAAGAAACGCTGAGGGCTGCGAATGACCGACGGAACGTCGGACATCAGAAGACACTAGTGACTATCCGCAGCAGATGTGGTTCTTTTTCTTCTTGCGATCGCCACTAGCCCATCAAGGATTGATTGATTGATTGATCGATCATCTTGATCATATGCGCATGCAGCTAGTACACCTTCAAGTTCGGTTCATGAGGTCAGTTGGCATTATAGTGAATATGGCTGATCAAAACTCACTCGACCCTCTGCCGAGTTGTTGTAGGCACAAGGTAGCCTTGACCATGACCTATGTGTGCTGACACAGATGAGATTACCATTCTTCAGGTGGGATCAGCTCGTTCCCAAACTCCTGTTGTTAGAGCTTTGCGGTCTCGTGATTGAAGACAGTCTGGCAACACAATCGTCCAGCGAAGCGGATCCTTTCTGGAGTCACATCAGCGATAACTTGCAACCGTCGATGGGCATGATCTGAGGCAGCTCAAGCCCTGGTGTCAATACGTGCCCCTCTTCAGAATCTGGTATGCGTTATCATATAACATCGTCCGAACGCGTGGTTACTGACCTGTCTCATTCTCAAACAATCCTGCAATATCAGTTGCTTGTTATTTTTGCGATATAGACTGCTCACCCAGAAATATCCGAGATGACTCAGAGACCAGTGTCACAAGATGCCTTGCGGAAAAGATTCATAGTGCAGGAGGACTACTCACTCGGATGGGAAGACCTGAGAAGACCCGTACGAACTGAGGAAGTTGACGAGACCAGATTCTCATTTGGCGACGTCCGTACATAATGCCAAGCCTAGTGGGTTTAGTGTAATGCTTCAATTGCTTGTGGACCAAGCTGCCCTTTCCTTTAGTTGAGCTCGCAAGGGGCCTCCTCCCTGAGTTATTCTCAACGCAATGCCTAACCATTCTTGCTCTTTTTTTCCCGTAAGAACTCGATATTCGAGGTAAGTGCCCGTCGGGCTTAGAGCCCTCGTGTAGAAGCTTGTCTCTCCTGACCTTGAATATCAATAGGGTTCGGGAGAGAAGCTCTTACTACGAATGATAACCAGTACAAGTCGAACTCCAAGTTTCTGGCCCCGAGGACATACTCGCACCCCTTCAGACTCTTGCCACGGTCCTATGCTCAGGCTCCGAGAGTTCTCATTCAGAACGTAAGTGCACAATGACGAAATCGTTTCTACTCGGCCCCGCGTGATGGAGAAGATAACGCCACGTAAGTAAAGTCTTCTCCACAACTAGCTAGACTGAGATCGCCCTAGCGTAGGCAGACCAATTGAAGAAAGATAGTCGTTCCTTGCATTACGACTAGCCAAGTTTGGGGTTCCCGGCGGGACTCCTGCGAAGTAACCGAGTCCCGGTTTGGCCAAGCGTAGATCGCCAAGCCTGCGGCGCCCTCGATTACAGTTTGGTAGCATGTGCTCTCGCCTGGCAAGTGTCTAGAACATCAATTAGTGTTTTGCGCAGGCGGCTTAGTCCGATGGCGTGTCCTTTCATTCCTATTTACAAGTTATGAGCACAATACGGCGGTGGAGCAGTAAGGGTAAGTCCAAACTTGCAGCATCTGGCAGGCGCGCCTGAGCGAACGAGACTTCTGCTTCTCCTTGAACCGTATGGGTAGTTAAAGCAGGCCATGCGTGTAGAAGTGAAGCTTTTAGTGATGAGTCTATTCCAGCAACAGTTCTCTTTCAGACTCGCAAATGATAGCAGATAATGACCAATTACCAACAGGAAACCCCCTGACCTGCTGACTCTTGCCATTACGAGACGGTCCGAGGAATGTCTGCAAAGACCGAGCTTTGCCGCGATCTAGAATTAGTCGAGCGCCCGCGCTACAAGATGAAACCATGATTCCACTGGGTTCCTAGTCAACCCTTGGCCTCGAAGCAAGTGGCTTCCTTTTAAATTCTTTAGCGGAGCAAGTCCCGAGCAACCTTGCTTTTAAGGCGGGGCCGAAGCCCACTCGACCAGGATGAAGGCGTCTGTAGTATGTCACAAACGCGGTCAACATCGCGATACGAGCCGCGTAATGATAGTGTCAAGAGGCTATAGGTAGGACAACAGCCTTAGCCCATCTTTCTTTTCATACTCCGGTACATCCATGTGTTCTGTGTGTGTTTCGTGGAGCGTGAATATTTGGAGTTGGTGGGCTTCGTGTGAGTGTGAGTGTCGGGAAGACTGATCCGTGTTGCCAATGCAAGTGGGAAATCATGTGGAGAATTCACCAATGACGTTTTCGATACTCTACGTAAATCAAACTGTATCCTGACCGTAACTTGTATTTCTACATTCAGTGCATCAACGAAGTTGCCGCGGTGGTCACTGCCATCATCGATCACTACATTGTCTTCGCCGTCGTTAACGCTGAGGAAGAACGTGTGAGCGAATTAGCGGGCGATAACCAAACTTGGTGCAACTACAGGCCGAAAACTGAGTCTTGTGTGATCTCTACCACGCAGCCAACGCCAGCACCAGTGACTCGTACGTGACGATAACTCTCTTGTTTACCAACTGTCCACGATTACCCTAGAGCACTGATTGTCAGATACGGGCGCGATGGACAGGCCAGCTGGGCCCCGCCAGCCAGACAAGCGAAATGAAGCATACGAGTCCATCTTCGGTCGGCCATCCGCTTCTCACCACCAGGCAGGACAATATCCTGGCCAGCCTGTTGCGCAGCAGCTGCAATATGCACAGTCAGTACATGGCATGCCTGTGCATGGTGTCCAATACCACAACCAACCATACCCCGCACACTACCACCACGACAGGAGGACATCATACTCCCAACGTCAACATTACTATCCAAATCACTTACCACAACACCCTCAGCAGCACCTGCAGTCACCATACAGGCAGTCATATCCACATACAGCTGCATCTCAGCAACAACTGCCTGCACACCACCATGCACAGCACACCCGTCCACACACTCTGGCGCCTCCCATGATCCATGGTCGTGCTAGATCTGTCGTCAGTTCACCCCATGCTGCTGGTATAATCTCACCGCTACCAGACGATCCGCCCGATGAATCCCTCGAGGCTCTTACGAGAGCAGGCCTCACCCCTGCACAGGCTTATCAGGCCCAAGTTTACCGTAATAGTCCTACCAATCAACAACAGCCCAACGAGCAGGCCAATTCCACAAGGGAACCCTCTTTGAACGGCAACCATCATCGTGTCTCTAACGACGTGCCCCTTTTGGGCGTCAATCTTGACCTCGAGGATACTCGCTTCAATATCGATTTTGGCACTGACGATCACCGAGGCCCAGAAGAGTCCACAAGCGAATTGCCATGGACCATTCCGAACACAGGTGCAAATGCAAGAGAATGTACACGTGGGTTCCACTCTCCCATATCTGGTCCCATTGCACAATGAGCTCATAATGTCCCCCTTCCAAAGCAATGGCTCCCTTCCCAAGGGCACAGCAATATCGACAAGCAAGCCCTCTTTCCATCGCATCTGATCAGAGCAATTCATCTGCCAGTTCACGACCACAACCCCCTCAGCTCGACACCACTCTCATGTCCACTCGTAATTCCCTCATCAGTAGTTCCCCTGCTTCATCCTCCCATGCTGCCGCTTCCACCAGTCGTCGATCCTCAGACTCTATCCGTACGATGCCTGGTGCTGCCTTTCGTCGTGACCGCACTCCACAAGATCGGTCCATGTCCATGTCAGCTGCTTCGGGCAGCATCCGCACTATGATCGATCGCGGCTCTCGCGCCCCGAACCCATTTATGGCTGGGGGTCGCACCAGCCTCACCACCTCTGCACGACCACCTCGCCGAACACCCATTGTATACCCTGCACTCCTCTCTCGCGTGGCGGAGGCTTTTCGTGAACGCATCAACCTCCAGGATCGTATTAAGGACGGTCTCACATATAAGGATGCCTTCGATGGTCGTGAGGCGGTCGACAAAATCTCATATATAATCAAGACTACTGACCGCAATCTCGCCCTACTTCTTGGTCGTGCCCTCGACGCACAAAAGTTCTTCCATGATGTCACCTATGACCATCGGCTCAGGGATAGCGCTGCAGAGCTGTACCAGTTCCGCACGAAATTGAGCCCATTCGTGAGCGGTGAGCTGCAGACAAACTTTGGGGATAGGGATGATGATGGTGATTTGAAACCGGAGCGGCCATCGCCTGGCCCTCAAGATTGTGGATCGGGGCCCTTTGGACAGGGATCGAACGACTCGCATGGTGACACACAGGAGAAGGACGCTTCACCTATTATCGAGATCCCTGATCCGCGTGGGCCCCAGGGATCAGAGAGTGTCGATGAGATGCCCCTTCCTTCGGGCGTTTTCACGCTTCTTACAGACTGCTACTCGCCGACGTGCACGCGAGATCAGCTGTGCTATAGTATCGCATGCCCTAGGAGGCTTGAGCAGCAGTCACGATTGAACATGAAGCCACAGCCTGGGCTCAAGAAGCAGATATCGAGGGAGAGCTTGGGTGACTTTGTGGTGCGTGTGATACAGACATCCTTTCCCTAGCGCTGATTGCGTTCCATCTGGGCAGGAACCTGGTACGCTATGGATACACTCCGTCCCGCAAGAGGTCGTCAACAGTGTCTCCGACGCCGAGAAAAGGCGCCAGGAAGCTATTAACGAAGTCATATACACGGAACGTGACTTTGTCCGCGACATGGAATACCTTCGCGATGTGTGTCTTTGTACTTTATACTATCTCTCGTGGACTAATCTTCTGCACAGGTCTGGATAAATGGGCTGAAAGACAGTGACATCATCCCCGCTGAAAGTCGTACGGACTTTGTGACACAGGTCTTCTGGAACATCCACGAAATTATCGCAGTAAATACCCGCCTTCGAGACGCGCTCAACAAGCGACAAAAGTCATACGCTGTTGTGGAGCGCATCGGAGACATCCTTCTTGATTCTGTGCCGCATTTCGCGCCCTTTGTAAGTTACGGTGCTCACCAACTGTATGGCAAGTATGAGTTCGAAAAGGAGAAGAGCTCCAATCCAGCGTTCGCACAGTTTGTGGAAGTGAGTCGAATTTACTATCATGGTTTTTCTTGGTGGTTGATGCGGTGTCTTTAGACTACGGAAAGATTGCCAGAGTCGCGCAAGCTTGAGCTCAATGGATACTTGACGAAGCCGACCACGCGATTAGCTCGATATCCACTGCTTCTGGAAGCGGTCTTGAAGCACACGCCTGATGATAACCCAGACAAGCAAACGCTTGCGCAGGTGGTTATTATGGTCCGCGAGTTTTTAGGGAAGGTGAATGTAGAGACGGGAAAGACAGAGAACCGTTTCAACCTTTTACAACTCGACCAGCAGCTCGTGTACAGGCCAGGGGAGCAAGTGGTATGCGTCCACTTCGTCATCGTGATGTGTTGCTGACAATGTTCGATAGGACCTGAAGCTGCAGGATCCTGGTCGTGAACTCGTATACAAGGGTGCTCTGAATAAAAGAGGTGGTGGGCAAGGGGACAGCGGAGACCTGCTTGTATACCTCTTTGACCACGCTCTACTAATGGTGAAGCAGAAGAGCAAACACGAACAATTCAAGGTCTATCGACGAGTAAGTACCTGAATCCTATAGTGAATGCCTGTTCTCAGCCTTATCCGTACCGCAGCCGATACCCCTCGAGCTCCTCTTCGTGCACGTCACAGATGAATCCAATAACTCCAATCGTCCTGCTAACGCTCGTCAGGGGCATAAAACGCTCACGAAGAAACCCAGTTTCAACCGAGGTACACCGTATGCGCCTGCCATTCCAATTAAAGTCGATGGCAAAAGTGGATTTGCCATCACGTTCATACATCTAGGGCGCAAGTACTACCAGATGACGCTTTGGGCAAGCACATTTGTAAGCCACCGCAAATGGGTCGAAACCATCACGAAGCAACAGGAATCTCTCCGTGAGCGGAGCACAGTGTTTGAGACAATCACCTTGTGCGAGGGCTTCTTTCTCGGGCAGAATAGGGTGAACTGCGCCGCGCCGTTTGGTGAGTGATTCTGGTGCATACTCCGGGAAAAAGATGTTGATGAGATGTAGCGTACGGAAGGAGAATCGTGTATGGGACAGATGACGGAATCTACCTGTCGGATTTGAATCATCCAAACAGGGAACCAGTCAAAGTGCTGGCTCTACTGGATGTTTCTCAAGTCGATGTCCTGGAAGAGTTTCAATTACTCATAGTACTTTCTGGTCAGTTTTCATCGTTTCCGCGTGGTATTTTGTTTATAGGCTTTGCTCTAGAACGACAAGTCATCACATTCCCGCTAGACGCTCTCGACCCCATGGACCCAATGTCTGGCTTGAAGCGGGCGAAGAGGATATCGTCGCACACGACATTCTTCAAGGCTGGCATTTGCCTAGGAAAAGTCCTTGTTTGTATCGTCAAATCGAGTCCGCTGTCTAGTACGATTAAGACATTGGAACCAATTGACCAGAACATTCGCGGAAGGAGTAAACCGACGTTCCGTAAGATTTTGCAAGGCGGGAATGATACGCTGAAGGCGTTCCGAGTAAATTTTCTCATGTGTATGGTGTCCATGTGGCTCATTTTGCCGTAGGAATTCTACATTCCCGTGGAGTCGAGCTCGATCCACTTCCTGAAAACGAAGCTCTGTGTAGGGTGCACGAAAGGCTTCGAGATTGTCGACCTCGAGAGTCTTGATACGCAGGGACTTCTCGATCCAGCCGACACTTCCCTTGACTTTGTACGGAAAAGAGAAAACCTTCGGCCGATGGCTATCTACCGGGTGGATAACGAGTTTCTGCTTTGTTATGACGGTAAGTGGCCAAGACGTCTCCTTTCCTGCGAATGACTCATCCGTCCCTAGAATTCGCATTCTATGTGAATAAAAACGGTTGGCGGTCCCGACAAAATTTCATGGTGCACTGGGAGGGGTCGCCCACCGGTTTTGGTATGTTCAGGCTTCAAGTACGTTGGGCCAGCACTAATTAGTTCAATCAGCCCTTCGTTTCCCATATGTTTTAGCGTTTGAACCTACGTTCGTGGAAATCCGGCATGTCGAGACGGGTCTCATGTCGCAAGTCATCCAGGGGAACAACCTCCGTCTTTTATTCGCTGACATGCCGTCGTCGGCAACGCATTCAGGTAATGCGCAGCAAAACCAATACTACGGGCAGCAGATGTATAGTCAATATCAACAGCCGACTCCGTCACTTTATGGGCAGTCGTCGGTATACGGACAAGGATACGGTTCACCTGCCCATTCCCCCCAGTCTCAGCATGCACGCCTCATACCATCGGGGCGCGACGAGATCTTGATGGTTTCTGACGACCGCGTGTTAACATTGCGAATGGCTGTGGGACAGCATGTTATTTGTGATACGGTATCGCTGGCGTCATCGCGATGACTGTAGGTATTTTTGTTTTGCGTATGTTGTGATATTCAGATATGTTATACGAGTAACATCTTTTGTGATTTTGTCTGTTAATTCGTGATACTAGTACCCTCACCATAGCATATATTTCTATTGCATTTGTGTAGTTCAAACAATGAGATTGATCAATTGATATATAATGTCCACGTTGCTCCGAGAATAGCGTTTCCAAGGGACGTTATTACCATTTTTAGACTGACTGCGATCCCATTTTTGGCACATGTTTTCTTTTATAATTATTTTTCTCGCTCTCTTTCACCAATCTTTGTTCCTCCCGTCACTCTTTTGACTTTGTCTTGGCCAGGCCCATTCCGTCATGCAGCTGCAAGCTTTTGTCGCTCTTTTATCACTTCTTGGGGCCGCTAATGCCAATCCCGAACGTCATGCTCGTCTCGCGAAGAGACAGAATGCTGGGGCCGTCGTCACGGTTGGTTCGAGCTCTGCTAGTTCGACTTCCTTATCATCCGGCACCCCAACAACGAGCTTTACTTCATCGACTGCAACGGCCTTGGGTTCACCCGTGCCAACCACACCCGTTGGCACCACTATCCCTCCGCTTGTTAATATCACTTCCGGCATGGCGACCCCTTCAACAGTCCCTCTCTCTGCTACTTATTCCGCAGGCGCTACACCTTTAATTTCCGGTGCTCCAGTTTTGCCTACTCCATGTAAGTTTTCATATCTGTGCATTTTTCAGTGCTGACAATATTGTGGATAGTCGTATTTCAAGCCGCAGACTGGCCTACTCAAGATCAGATTGCACCTACTGGTTTGTGTTGTAAAAAATTACGATAAGTTACGAAGCGTAATATTATTATTACGCAGATTCCGACGAGGTTTCCGAATGGATGGAAGAACTCAATGGTTTCAATATACCCGATATCACTCCTACCGTAGATGGCACTTGCGTAAACGACCCAGCTGCTGCCGCGGAAGCTGCTAGTCGTGGTTGGTGGACTTGCGGTGGTTATACCCGTGTTACTGATATCACCGCTTGTCCGAATAAGTTGACATGGGGCGTCAGCTTTGATGATGGCCCAGGTTTCTACAGTATGTGTATTTTTCTAGCATTGTATCACTTAAAGCTGATGTTTCTTGAATAGCTCAGTGTGTTATTTTTGACATTCTTGACTGTATTTTTCTTATCGATTGACAGGGAGCTTCTTGACTACCTGGCTTCCAAGAACATGACCTCGACCTTCTTCGTTATTGGTTCTCGTATCGTCGAGCGTCCTCAGGTTCTTGTGGAGGAGTATATGTCTGGGCACGAAATCGCTGTGCACACCTGGTCGCATCGCGTACGTTTGGTAAAATCACTCTTGTATCTATGGCTAATCGCGCAATAGCCTCTTACCATGCTTACTACTGCACAAGTCGTAGCTGAGCTGGGTTGGGCACGTAAAGCTATCAAGGATGTCATTGGTGTTACTCCCACATTGATGCGTCCCCCTTACGGAGACATCGACGATCGTGTTCGTGCCATTTCCCTGGCAATGGGTATGGTCCCCGTCATCTGGACTAGCACTGGTACTGGCGCAACGTTTGATACTAATGGTTAGCTATCTCAATTTCATGCTTGGAGTTCGAACTTAGATTTATTTTAATCGACAATAGACTGGAAGGTTCCTGGCGGTGTCGTCACAGGTCCTCAGTCCTTTGCCACTTTTGAGGCTATTCTAACCAACGCAACCTACGCTGAACACTGGGTAGGTGCAGTTCGGGTCACCCTCGTTCGACTTCACTCATTTTCACCTAGATTTGTTGTTCTGGAGCACGACTTATACGCGCAAACTGTCGATCTTGCTATTGGCTACACGTTGCCTGCTGCTATGAATTTTACCCCTACGCTTACTGTTCGTAATCTCCCTTATGTGCGGACAATTATCTGACCCTCGTTGTGCAGCTCGACTCCATTGGTCACTGCAACGGCATCCCAAGTACGAACCTGTATCGTGAGAGCAACCAAAACGCGAGCTTCCCCTACCCGAACAGCACTAGTGGTGACACGTCCGTCCCTAGTGGCTCAGGCGGGAAGGGTAGCACCAGCGCGACTTCTGGTACTTTATCGAATGCCATAATGCCTATATCTATGGTCGTTGCTTCATTGTTGGCTGCTGGCGGCTCCCTCCTCATGTGACCTGACGGATATACCATTTACGCAAACTTTATTAATCTAGACAATGATGGACGTACGGCAGCTGTATATATATTTCGCCCCCTTTGTGGACAAGTATGTTTTTGTGGATGCTGCTCTATCTACTCTGATTCTAAGTACCCCGTTTTCTCTGTTCAATATGTTGTATTTTGTGTGAAATTTGGGACAGGTTTTTGCAGAGAGCAATAAATCTCTGACATGAACTGCTGGCAGATAAACATAGTACTTACGGTGATAGCCGATACTAATAAGGCTTGGATCCGGAGGACAGTTAAGTTACGGTTGCTGCCAGCCATATCGACTCATGGCTTCACTCATCACCGCTGTTCGCTCAAGTATGTGCGCTGCTTTCTTATAACCCAGCGAGCGCTAATGTGCACATCACAACTGCAGAATTACTTCAGGCAATTAGATCTGTGAATCCCCCTGGACGATGGAAGATTCTTGTGGTGGACGAACACTCACAAAAGCTGCTAGGTTCAGTTCTTAAGCAGTTCGATATCCTCGAGGAGAATGTCACTCGTGAGCCCTTGTCAGTCGGATAACTCAATTAGCACTAACAGCCACATGGGTCAGTGATCGAGTCAATATCCAGTCACCGGGAACCGCAGCAGTTTGAGGCAGTCTATCTACTCATGCCGACTACGCAGAATGTCAATCGCATCATCAAAGACTTCAGTGACGGCCGCCAGCAGTATCTTGGGGCTCACTTATTCTTCGTCGATGGTGCGCTTTCTCATCTGACTTCCGTGCCAGTTGCATCAGTTGAGGACAGGCGTGTGCTATAGGATTGTCGGAAACCTTATTTGAGCACTTGACGACATCCCCTGCTGAACCGCACCTCAAAGGACTGCAGGATCTGTTTGTCAACTTCCGGGGTGAGTTTCGTGCGGAGGCCACTCACGACGAAGCTTGATGTTGATTAGGGTGCCTCCGTATGCAGCGACCGAGGCGCAAACTTTCTCTCTTCAGTCACCAGGACTGTTCTTTAACACTTTTAGCCCACCACGAAATGAAGCTGCAGTTCAAGTCAGCGCGATTGAAGCTTGAGGAGGAGTTGCGGTTTGTTAGCAAAACTGTACGCATTCAAATGCAGGTGCCTGGAACCATGTTTGTAAACTCAATTTTTGCAGATAGCAAATGTCTGCATCACACTCAACGAGTTCCCGTACGTTCGGTACTACATGCCAACTCACCACACTCCCCTCGGTCCCCTCAAACCCAATGACCAAACGCGCGCTCCTCCGCCTCCTGAAGGCAGTGGTCGATGGCGAACCAATCTGGCTCGCGGAGACGCTGCACGTGCCTACGAGGTTGCTGACACGGACTTCGTTACGAAGTTGCTTGCATTTATGATCCAGCAGAACCTGGATGAGTACAGGCGAGTCAATCCGGAGTTCCCTGTGAGTGCTCAACTTAGGTCAACTGTTGACTTGGATCGGCTTGTTGAATTATTATGATGGACAACGCTAGAAAGCTTCTGATCCTCCCCGACCCCGCGGTACGCTTATAATCACGGACCGATCTATGGATACTGTCGCACCTTTCATTCACGAGTTCACATATCAGGCCATGTGTAATGATCTGCTGCAGATAGACGACGGCACAAAATACATGTCCGTCTGCGCGTGCTAGCGCGAAAGTTCACTAACAATTTTACCCATAGGTACAAGTTCCAGTCATCGGTCGGATCTTACGAGGACAAGATCGCCACCCTTTCCGACGCTGACTCGGTATGGACCACTGTGCGCCACATGCACATGCGTGAAGCGATCGACAAGCTCATGGCGGATTTTAACAAGTTTATGGAAGAGAATGCAGGCTTTCAAGGGCGAGGGTGCTGCCAGTCTCAATGACATGAAAGATATGCTTGCAAATTTGCCTCAATATCAAGAGCAGAGAGAAAAGGTGGGTGTGTGCGTGTGCCTGCCCGTATCGATGGTACTAATCTTGTGATGACATCCAAGTTCTCATTGCATCTGAACATGGCGCAGGATTGTATGAACCTGTTTGAGAAGCACAAACTACCGCTGGTGGCCAACGTTGAGCAGGTAGCTGTGATACGTTCTTTCGATGGACAAAACTAACGCATATTCAGTGTTGTGCTACTGGACTCACCGCAGAGGGGAAGACACCGAAGACTCTTGTTGAGGAAATGGTGCCCTTGTTGGATAGCCAGGAGGTCATGTTAGTATTCATATAGCCCTTCTGGGTGGCTAGCCTGATAGTCTTGCATAGAAATGCCAACAAAGTGCGCATGGTCGCGCTTTACATCCAACACCGTGATGGTGTTCCAGACGAGGATCGCCGACGATTGTATCAGCATGCACGGCTGAGCATGACTGATCAGGACGCCGTCAATTCGTTGGTTCATCTCGGTGTTCGCATAAGCAGAGTACGCGTGTGGCAAGTGTAATTCATTATCCCACTCATGGTTGCACCCTAGGGACCTTCAGACAAGGATACGAAGAAGAAACTCAAGCAAAAGACATCCAGTGACGATGAGTACGAGCTCTCACGGTACCGACCTCTGCTTCGGACAGTCATAGAAGTACGAACACTCTTACATCTCACTGCTCTGTGCTGAAGACTATCACCCAGGAACATTGCACCAACAAATTAGACCCCACGCTCTTCCCCTACGTCAAAGATTCCCCAATAGTTTTGTCGCCAGCTGCAAGTCTCAAACAGACAACACCCCAAACCACGTCCCTACGCAGTGCGAAGCCCAGCTGGCACAAGGCTGTTCGGCCGAATGCTCTTGCGGAGAGCAAGCAACGTGTTATTGTGTTTGTGGTTGGCGGGATGACATACTCGGAGATTCGAGAGACATACTCGTTGTCGACGTTGCTAAACAAGGATATCTACATAGGTATGTCATTTGTCTCATCAGGGGCTTTCGAGGTTACTGAAAGCTTTTCATCTATAGGCTCAACACACGCTATCACGCCCCGTAACTTCATCGATGATCTGAAAGTCCTTGAGATTGCGGGCGTCGGCTCACGCGCTGTGCCAAATGGTGTTTCGTTGGCAACAGCACATAACACATACCAAGAGTATTATGATGAGAAGTACTTCACACCAGACCCTCCTGTACCTCAACGACCCACACTGTCAGTGCCGAAGGACTCGAAACATTCCGCCAACAAGCTTACGAAGACACCCTCGTCTTACTCAACATCATCGGCGTCGCTGGTCGGCTCGGGCACGGTGGAAAAGGAAGAAAAGAAGAAAAAGAAGGGGCTTTTCCGTTTCTGATTCCTATCATACCTCTCCTACTTAACCAATTTTTCCACTCGAACCACCCCCGGACGATATTCAACGACGCGGAAGTGTGTAGACTATAATAGGGTGACATTAATGTACCTTTTGGATTATTTCGTTTCTTAGTCGTGGAATAACCCTCGAATGCGAGATAAAAATGAGATACAATGCAGGCGGTATATTACATGTGGGTCTATGCAGAATACTCCAACTTGGCTGCGAATTGCTTGAGAAAATGTGACGAACTACAAAGAGCCTGGACTCACTCTCGTGCTTTTTAGCATCGCTGACCTTCCGTGCAGCTTTAGTGAGATCTTCTTGAACGATGTATTCTCTTCGCGGAAGTGAGCGAAAAGTGCTTGTCATAACAAACTAGAACTCACCGGTCGTCCCTAATAGCGAACATGCCTGCTTCTGTCACCACATTCCGCAGGTCAGCACCATTGAACGCATCCGTGAGCTGCAAGCTGGGTGAGATGAATTCTAGATGACAACAATAGAACCCACCTTCACGATTGCTTCATAATCAATGTATCCGCTCTTGTTCACGGGTTGTGCATGGATCTTCAAAATCTCTAGTCGTGCCTGTTCGTTCGGTAGAGGAATTTCAATCTTCCGGTCTAGTCGACCAGGACGGAGGAGAGCAGGGTCAAGAGTGTCTGGCCGATTGGTTGCCATGATGAGCTTTGTCCGTCCTAGGGAGTCGAAACCATCCATTTGGTTCAATAGCTGTGAAAAAGTGAGCTTGATCTCACAAAGAAAGTGCAGAACAGACACCAACCTCCATCAATGTTCTCTGAATCTCACGGTCTGCACTGGTACCCTCCGAAAACCGCCTTCCACCGATGGCGTCGATTTCATCCATAAATATTACGCAGGGCTCATGATCTCTTGCATACCCGAACATCTCACGTACGACTCGTGCGCTCTCACCAATGTACTTGTCGACGATAGCAGAAGATACTACTTTGAGGAAATTAGTTTGGAGAGTAGCTGCAACAGCACGGGCAAGGAGAGTTTTGCCCGTCCCTGGAGGACCGTATAAGAGGACACCCTTAGGTGGTTTGATACCGACCCGGAGGAAGAGTTCTGGACTGAGCAGAGGGAGCTCGATCACCTGGAGAATAGTAAGTATAAAGCAGCAGGAAGAAATTATAGCAGACATACCTCACGCAGCTCTCGTACCTGCTCACCCAAGCCACCAATACCCGCGAACGATGCACCTCCAGGATCTTCCAAGCTCATCTTGTAAACCATAGGATCTACTTCTCTTGGCAGGATACGCATGATTGTGAGGGTGGTCATGTCAAGAGAAACCCGTGTGCCTGTCTTGAGTTTCTCTGCTGGTAAGGCGGGACGGTAAGAGACAACATATCGAGGTCCCGACGATGCCTTTACAATGACTATGCAGTGATTGAGCGTCCCAACAGATGAAGAAACCTAATGCGACTGACATCGTTCGTCATCTAGTTGTTTCATGACCTCTCCAATAATCTGTCCAACGGACTGCACGGCCTTGATGTCATCCTCGGTCTTCGCGTATTCAGCCTCAAGATCTTTCAATGAAAACCGCACTGTATGTTAACAAATGTTAGAAAGCTTCGAATACTCCTGATTCGACAAACGCTAACGATTCTTGAGACTCTGACTCGAGTTCTCGTGACTCTGCATTTTCTATAACAGAGCTGAAATCAGCAGAAGTGCAAGACAGGCGGCTCACTTACATCCCGGTAGCTCTTGAGAGCATCCTGTCTTCGTTGGTCCATTGTGCTAGATGATGTCGGTTCTTAAGAATCGGATGAACGCGAAGGGACGCGTCAGTAAAGACTTATTTGGAACCTACACGATTATGGTGGTTTAGTAAGTCAAGACTTTTATCGGCCTGGTGGTCTAGTAGTATGATTCCTTGTTAGGGTTGATCCAAATTCGAGGAGGTCCCGGGTTCAATTCCCGGCCAGGCCCTTTTCTTGCTTTTTACTTACGTTGACGCCCTTGTTCAGAAATACAGAAGTTATTCACGCAGTGGTAGGATAACATTCTCCAGATGTTAAGGAATGATTAATTGTGATATTTCGTCAGTCTGACCGTCTCTTGGTGTTCTATCTTACCCGGTGTATACTGCGCGACGCCAGCGCCTACATTGAGCTACATTGACCGCAACAACTGATATAATTGTAGGTCTCTTACGTTTCTCGCTATCAGAATCGGCTGTCACGGTGGTATCTTCTTTTTACATGAAGAAATGTCTCAATTGAATGGAACGCTTGTATGAGTATGTCAAATTCGTTGAATATGGAATAGAGTTTAAAGACTGGTGCTGAGACGTACCAAAAAAAGAACCGGTGTCAGACTATCGGATGAGATTCTGGTCGCAGGGGTCATTTGCATTAATCATCCTATAAAGCAAGATGGTTGTGGGATGCCAAGACTACTGAAGATCCTTGCTTTTGATAATTACAAAAAGCCAACACATCAAAAACATTTAAACAGTGCATACGTCACGCATGCGGCGCACTTGAACTCCATGTGCAATAATTTTGTACAGAAGACTTACACGTGTCAACAATAATGCACGCGAATCGTGTACCCTAAAAACCATATGGCTCCCGCCGTCTGATGCACTTGGGTTGTGGTCTTTTCCATTCCCCTTTGTCTGGGTCTGGCCATAAGGAAGCACTGTCCCATTGGACTTGAAGTGGTGCGTTGGGAGTCGGGAAAAACCCAAACGGCCAAGTAGGCAAATAGCACATCTCCTACACGACGAGGTCAGTCACTTTGCAAACAAGTAACTTGATTTTGTTACCTCGAAACCACAGGCAGGTCGGCACTTCACCCACACGCTCCAGTCCAACCAGGAGATTAACTGTGTCACATCCTCCTTCCATTCGCCCATGAGAGTATGTATGTGTTCAACTTCAGGGCGTTGTTGCGCAGGATAAAGGGCATCAACTCCAAAATTCATGCCAGAAGCCCACATTTTTGTGGCGACGCGACAAATTTCATGCGTAGTTTCCCGCACCGCCTGCAGAAGCAAACGTTCGGAGGGCGTCAATGTTGTTCCACGAGACGCTATGGAGGCCGCATGCGATGTAGCACATTCCCGAAAAACTGGCGCAGCCCACAAATTTGTCGCGTTGGCAGTGACGGAAATATTGGGAGGCAGAGCTGCAAACACAGTGTAGGGCAGAACGACAGTGCGCAGTTGTCTCTGAATTTGTTGTGCGTGGTCAAAGATCGACCCATCGTCCAACGTTAGGTTCAAAAGGTGCTGTATGAATTCCAGGCGGCTGGCATATCGATCGACCACCACGCGCAAGACCGTTTTCCAGTCAATGCCGCTGGTTGTCGAGGGTGGTCGTGCTAGCGCTTGAGCTAGCCTGTCTTGGACGCGTTCTATATCCTCTAATGATATTCCTCCTACTCGATGGTCCCATCGGTCCAAGCCTACACGACGTGGCACCAAGGAGGGGACAAGAGCGGTGTCGTAGAAAGAGACGAGCCCAGAAAAATCAAGCATAATCCGAGTTTCTCCTGGATAATTTTCGCGCCATGAAGCAGAATGCATTAATTCAAAAGCGTGATGCACTGATGTCCGAGAATAAATCAGGCCTACGCCAAAGCAGGGACACAGTCGCTCACTAGTATTGGGATCCTCTGGCAGATTGGGCGCATCGGTGCCGATGCGAATGCTCTCGAGATTTAAGAACGAAACGACCTCCATGTGAGAGGTGAAGTTGCAAATCATAATTTCACTATGACCGTCGTCAATAACAAATCACCAAGGAACTACGCCTGGGTTCGCACAAATTCATTTCCATCCTAAGACCCACATATCAGCATCAGGCATTCACGTGCACGCATCCCAACATCCAACAAACCTCACAAAGCCATTCACGTCATACTTCTGACCCCATTTACACAGATCCTTTATGCGCTGCTCTTCGTTGTCCACCCACTCGGGTTTCATTTCCGACCATGCCACAAGATCTTGGGTGTCCATGGTGCCCTCAAGGATGTTCACAGCGCTGCTTCCGTCAAAATAGAGCACTTTCATCGGCCGAGTGACTGTAAGGGTGAGGTGCCAGCACCCTGTCTCGATTGACCCTTGGCAGAAAATAATGGAGTGGTCTGGCTCTACGCCCACCCAATCCAGGGCGGTCGGTAAATGGGGACCGGTGATGGCTCCATGGTGCAGGAGAGTGCCCACGGGAATAGTCCCTGGGACTATTGTATGACCTGCAGGGCGCAAATGATGAATCGCGAGTCACCTGAGTGGAGTTCAGTATTTTCAGACATACCAATACGATGACGAGTATTTGCCCAGTGTTGAAGCAGAGAATTGGCTGTTTCGAACACCAGATGTCCTGTCGCGTTCACCGCAGGTCTTTCATCAAGGTCCCATTGTCCAAGATCGGTTTCGACCCCCGGGTAAAAGGATGAAGGCGTATGGCTCGACAGAGGTGTCTGTGCAGTCAGAACCCGTTCAAAGGCAAGAAAAAGCCAGACGGCTGCGGCTTTCCTCGTAAACAGCATTTCGACGAGGGGGCAAGGGCCTTTGTAAGCTTAGTTATACACTCAGTCACTGGGCATATTCATAACGTTATGATTTTACGCGACCCTTTCCGCGGCTATACTGCAGTGATAGGCGAATTCGATAGCGAGATAGCAGTTTTCGATGTTCATTCTTCTATAGCTCATGATTGTCTTCCAGCCACCAGATGATCGATGATAGGATAATGACGAATATTATTTCCTGGATTGTTGTGCGCAGCGATGATCATGGGGTACTTAGTCTGCTGTCACGGTAGTCAGATGAGTCATGAGAAGATAATTGTCAATGATAAGGCTGAGCGCTGCAGTGCTGAACAACGTTGAACCGCGGCATCAACTGTTCTGCACAACGTCACACTCTGTCACCTCACGTGATGTATCGTAATTAGCGACTGGCTACGTCCACGGGGTCAAGTCACTTGAGCGGCAGAGTTTGGGCATAGTCACCAAAGTCACGAGCCTTCTAGTATCTACTCCTTGGTCTTCCAACACAGCTTAACAAACCCTAACATCACCATGCCACGCCGCAAGCATCAATTTCTCGAAGACGATGATTCTGACTCTTCAGAAGGCTCAGAAGCCGACGTAAACCTACACGACAATGACCCAGACGTTCGTGCTGAGCGTGCCCTTTTCGAAAATTCGCACAAACGACGTCGGAAGAATGGTAAAGAAGACGCAATTTATGGTGTTTTTGGTAGCGACAGTGAGGATGAAGGCTACGGCGGCCTCAACTCGAAACGCAAGAGAAGTGACTGGACGAAGGCTCCCGCATTTGTCGCAAAGGGAAAAGTAGATTTGGAGGAGGATGTGGAGGCGCAGGAGGACGAGGCAGGGGACGAGGAACAGGAAGTGGTGGATGAAGCCGACGGGGTCGACAGTTCCGACGATGATATCGAGCAGGCTGAATATGCTGAGGATGATGAAGGTGGGGATGGACTTTCGGCGCCTCCTTCGCCCCGGATACGAGATCAAGAAGAGGACGAACCACCAGAGCGGCCAGCCTTTACCGGCCATGGCTCGACTAGAGCTGAGCTGGAACTTCCAATGCAGAATTTTACGAAAGGCGGTATAGGATCTTCAAAAGGTGGAATTGGCTCAAAGGGTGGAATAGGTTCTGCCAGGTGTGGTTTCGGTAATTCTACAAAACTTGGATCCGCGACTGTAGGTATGGGATTTACGAAAGGTGGTATCGGTTCTACATCTAGTGCTCCATCTGAACCTGTTATCGCTACCCCCGCTCCTACCAAACTAGCGTCTACATCCGAGTTACCAACTGCCTTTGGTGGTAACAGTGCCCCTCGTGTGCAACGCTCTTTCCTCCGCAGCGGGACTTCTTCTACAAGCAAACCATCCACACCGCTACCTGCACATGAACAAGCACACTTCAACAAGATCGGAAGTACCATTGGTGCTCAAATGCTTGCAAAGATGGGATGGCAGGCTGGTACAGGTCTCGGCGCGACCGGAGAGGGTATCGTCATCCCAATCGAGAGTAAATTGCGTCCGAAGAAAATGGGTATCGCGTTCAAGGGGTACAGGGAGAAGACGGAGCAAAGCAAGCTTGAGGCTAGAAGGAGGGGAGAGGTAGTCAGTGACGACGAGGAAGAGGTGCGGCCGAGACAGAGTAAGAAGGGCGATGCGAAAGAGAAGAGGAGCGACGCTTGGAAGAAGCCGAAGAAGGTGAAGACAAAGGTCGAGCACAAGACATACGAACAAATTGTTGCAGAGGCTGGACAAGAACCCGCCGCATCCGGCATTGGTCAAATCATTGATGCGACTGGCAGAACGGTGAATGCTGCTCATATCTTCTTATCTCACCTTACTGACGCATCTTTTCAGCCTCGTGAAGTTGCATCACTTGCCGACATATCTTTGTCATCGTGGACGCCATCAACTGATCCTACTCGCATACCAGAAGTACGGCATAACCTGCGACTTATTGTAGACGCATGCAAGAACGATCTTGACGGGCTTGCACGTGAAGCCAAGGCTCTCGAGGAACGCAAAAGATTCATTACTCAAGAGGGCATTCGGCTGCAAAAGAAAGTTAGTGATGAGGCTGAACGTATGTCTGTTCTCGCTTTTCAATTGATCATCACTTACGCGCAGTGTATGTAGTCATTGCACGACTACAGCAGGTGAAACTTGTTGTAGACGATATTGGCGCAAAGGCGAAGGAACTAGCTTCTGTTTATGAGGCAACTTTGGATGATTTTTCGCCTTTGTTTTCCACCCTGCTGGTGCAGTACCCCGTAGAGTTCGACAGATATCGGTTGGACGAGATTGTTGTCGCAGCAATTGCGCCGATGGTCAGACGCATCGTTGCTCAATGGAATCCACTCCAGGATCCTCCAGGCTTGATCACAACCTTCCGCACATGGAAGCAAGCGCTGAAAGTCAACTCTGTTGACAAGCCACCAGATACCCAGATTGACATCTATGGCGCGCGCATTGTGGCAACCCCTCCTGCTATTGAAAAGCCGATGACTCCTTTTGAGTCCCTTTTATGGAATGTATGGCTACCCAAAGTCCGTACCTGCCTTAACAACGAGTGGTCACCTGAGGACCCTACACCAGCTGTCAAGTTGTATGAAGCATGGTCGACATTCCTCCCGCCATTTGTGCGCGACAACATACTTGACCAACTCATACTACCCAAAGTAAGCAAAGCCGTTGCAGACTGGAGCCTCAAGCGTAGTACGGTGTCCTTGCATGCGCTTGTATTCCCTTGGCTTCCATACCTCGGTTTGCGGATTGACTATGTTCTGGATGATGCGCAAAGGAAGGTCAAGAGCCTTCTCAGGAGTTGGGCACCAGCAGACGGCGCACTCAAGGATCTCGGTGGATGGATGGAAGTTTTCGACAAAGGCGAGTGGGACGCGATGCTCCTCAAGTATGTTGTGCCGAAATTGGGCTCGTTGTTGCGCGACGAGTTCCGTGTCAACCCCCGCAACCAAAATATGGAACCATTGAAGCAGGTTCTCGCGTGGTCCACGCTTCTCCGCGGAAGTGTATTTGCCCAACTGCTAGAAACCGAGTTCTTTCCGAAGTGGCTGGATGTACTGCACATTTGGCTCATACAGCCAAAGGTCAGTTTTGAGGAAGTTGCACAGTGGTATTCCTTTTGGAAGAGCAGTTTCCCGGATAGTGTGCAGTCTATGCCCGGTGTTGCACGTGGATTCACTCGCGGGTTGCAACTTATGAACACAGCTATCGAGCTTGGCCCTGATGCACCTACAATGCTGAAACGCCCAGATCTACGTGCAGAACAGGCGATTGCAAACGTGTCTATGAAGAAGCCAACTGCAACAAAAGTCGCTCCTGCGCGGATTCAAGAGATCACCTTCCGCTCGATTGTGGAGGAGTTTGCTGCGTCGCACAATCTCTTGTTTATTCCTACGGGGCGCGCGCACGAGAAGTCAAGGTTGCCGTTGTTCCGCATCTCATCTAACATTGGAGGGAAAGGAGGCTTGCTTGTCTATGTGCAAGACGATGCGGTGTGGGCACCTGACGGGGATGAGTATAGGGCAATAACCTTGGAGGATATGGTTCTTAGGGCGAACAAGTAGGGATATTCAGAAGTAATATTGATAATATTAGTGGATGTATAGGCAGTTGATTGTGGCGCGCGACGCGCTGGTCAGGTGACCAACAACCTCAATGACGATATAGAGTTCGAAAGACAATGACATTGTTGATTGCCGCAAGTGTCAATCCCTGTCAATAATGCCAGTTTGACTGAACAGCGAGAAACCTCAAAGGAGCCACAGTGACACGAGGCAGCATTGCAAGTCGGTCATTCCCATTACACGCTAATTCCTTCTGGGACCTGCAAGACATTGGGAAATTGAAGGATTCTGGCAGCTTGCGCATTACCACATCGGAGAGGCACTCCTCTCCTGAAGTCTTTTATCTTAGTTTGCTTTCATGTCTCTCAAACTACCAGCCGAAATTATCGATGTCGACGCTCTCCTATCAGATGAGGACGAACCAGCTGATGCGATTCAGTTCGTAGGGTACGGCCCGGGGGGAAACTCACAATACACGAACACCACGGGTCGGATGACAACTATCAAGAATGAACCAGTCGCTTCCTCGTCCCGCTTGCCTCCGCCTCCAGGACCCAATTTGCAATTCAAAGAGTAAGTTTGCCATTCATCATCTCCATGTGAGCCGCCGGCGTTAATTAGGCATTCGTTGATTATCTCTCCCGTACATCGTGCAGCAGTCACACATTATTCACCTACGCGCGTCCAGGGCTCTTTGAAGTTGTTGAAGAAGTAAGATTTTACTTTCAAAACGTCCAGGCGGTCGGGGACTCATGCAAGACCACCTTTATCCTCAGGAAAAGAGGAAAAGAATGGCGATGGAACGCGTCGGAGAACCACCTTTGAAGAAACGTGCAACAAGTTCCACCATCGCAAATGCAAATGCGCCCAGTCGACAAAAGGAAAAACGCAAGCAGCCGTTTGGGTGGAAGGGGCCGGAAATCATAGATTTGTTGATTTGTAGCAGCGACGATGACATCCTTGTAAAGGTAAGATTTTACTCGATATCGCTCTTGTACTTCCCTGATTACTTGTCCTCTTAGAAACCTAGACTCGAATCCGATGAAAACCACTTGTTTTCCGACCGCATGACTGATATCTACGCGAATGATGATAGCAATCAAACGGACTGCAGTAACGATATGCATGACCCGAACGATTTCCTCCCTCGGACAAATGCACTGCCGTCTCTATCTCGACCACTATCATCTGAAGACTCTGGATATGATTCTGAAGAGGAGTACGCGAATTATATGGCTTCTCTCGACATTTCGGACGAGTCCAAAGTGAGTATCTCTTCAATCGATACTCATATGTTTAAACTTTATTTCCAGTGGAATCCGATGCCCTTAAGCAACAAGGCCGAAGATCTTTCGCCCAATTTGAAGCTTGAGGTTGACCCGGCACGTCCACGACCTGGGGAACTGCGGCCGTTACGTCCGAAGTACTTCGCCGTACACTATCCAGTTACCCCCTTAGATCCAATATACAAGGAGCAATTTTTTTGGGGAAAAGTGCGTCGTTGTTTGTCTTCATGTGGGCGAGTAACGAAATTTTGCTCAGCTAAATTCAGTGCCAGTTTCCGACCGCGCGCACTAAAACCACCTGCCCGACTTCGCTTCGCTAGGCATTTACCGGGACGCACGCGCCCTCTCAAACTATTTCAAGATCTTGCTTACGAGAAGTTGGGTGTTGTGCAATCGCATCGTCAGGCAGCATCAGGGTGTGAGCGATATTCTCTAGCCAATATTTCAGCATCGTTCCTGATGAGGTTCTCAGCTATAAATAAGATTGTTCAAGTTCCAGGAGCTATTGTAGCGTGTGCGGCAGCATCGGGTGGGCATCCTGATTATTCGGATGAAGACCGACAAGGTGCGCGTGTCATGTTCTCTTCTTATCCGGAGAAGCTTAGTCCCCGCAGCGCCTCTCCCATCAGACAACAATGCCGGGACAATGGTAGTGCTCCACCAGGGCCAATGTAAGTCTGTCAGCAAGTGGTAGAGGGACCTGTTTTAATCACTTGCAGGCCATGTTGTCGATGCTCACTGCATCGATCATGGAGGTGATTATCTCCTTCAGGCAGATGTTATACTTATGATTGAACCGTGTTGCAGCTTCTGCGAAGAAATACTACACGGTGAATGATGTCTTATTCAACCCATTGAAGTATGGTTGGCCCCTACATTTATTGCACTTGATGAATTAATAGCCAATGTAGCCCCGAACAATTTCTATCGACTGGGAATGATTGTCAAGTGCAGCTTTGGCAGCTGCCTAAGGCTGATGAAATGGAAGTGAGTGAATCCATCACCAGCGCCCCCAGGATGATGAATTCCAGTGAGTCTACCATTGCTACCTTTGTACTTACTGATGTCCCGTTTCATAGTGACGCTCGGAGATGTTGCCCAGGACTTGGTGCACTCGTTCGACGGCGCAAATATTGCTGTGTCTTGTCGAGATGGGTTTGTAAACCATCCGAATTGCCAATTTGGTTGGAGTTGACTTTCTCACTCAGCACTGTTTCCGTCTTCAAGACGATGAAATTATTCACTCCATCAACATGGTCCAGAACTACGCCTCCCCCTGATCCGGAGACGAAACTTCACGTTGCCCCTCCTAATGCCGACCATGCCGCGGGTGCTGTCCTTTGGGGCCGTGGTCCGACCGAACGTTTTATGTACACATCTTCAGAAGCCCATGATTCTGATGGGGCGGGCAAGGACCAAGGTTTCCACCGTGCACATGATATATCACGAGGTCGAGTGCTATTTCCTTTCAGTGCTGATGAGTCGGGTGATGCAGGAGCCGTCAGTCCAGATGGTGAGTGAGTACGTTTACCCGTGGCCTAACTGGTATAATACTATGCAGGGAGCACTTATGTTTTGATCACATGCGGTGAGAACAATCGACATCCTATAAGGTTGTACGATGTGGCCCGCAAGTCGGGACATGCTATCGCCGAAACAACGCTCGAGCCATCAGCCTCACAGGTCGCTACTTTTGAAGCCACAACAGCCACGTTCTCTTCTGAAGGTCGTCTACTTGCGGTGGCGCGCTCAGACAATGCCGTGCACATGTATGACATTCGCGCGCTAACCAAAGGACCCCTTGCCGCATTCAGACATGAGGAGTTAGATGCAGTAGGTTCGACCGGGTATGGTGCTGTTCATGCATGCTGGGTCGAGGGGCGCGATCGGCGGCGAGTTGGCATTGTCAGCGGGGGCAACGACGGGTGTGTGCGAGTATGGGATCCGTTGATTGCCTCGTCGGACAAGTCCCAGGGTAAAGTGCTGGCGCGCACAGAGTTCGATGTCGCATACTTTGCCATGGGTGATATGTGGATGGGAGAGAAACCGCTTGTTCTGTGAGTGACATACTCTGCTTTTGTACAAGCACTGATCGGATTAAAGTGGCCATTGTGGTGGAGGTCTCTATGTTTATGACCACTTGGATGCTGATGGCCTACCGATATGTTGAACTATTGGTATTCAGTAGCAAAACACCCTGTTTTCCGCATCGCACACCGGACGTGTATACTTATATCACTGGATGAGAAGACTCTGATTTTCCCACGGTACCACTGGACGATTAGATATACACAAGTTCGCCTGAGGTTATATTTATCCCACCACATTTGTTGCTCGGTCTAATGTTTATCACTGAGTTCGCCCATCGAAGCGCCTGTACAGTCATAGCTCAGTTAGTGAGTCCATAGGTCTGATACTCCCTAGACAGACCATAGACGAATGAGGATTGTGTTATTGGTGAGTCACGACCGGTAGCTCTTGTTTATACAATCGTGATTTCCAGATATCAGGCTTTGATTACTAGGCACAACCGAGACACTGGTGAGCTTTCAGTCTCTGTCTACAACTTACCACTTGGCAAGTTTGTAGTTTATATTCACACCAATTTAGTTTCATCGTTGATTGCTGTAGCTCCTACTTTTTATGGTCAAAGGACTTGGGAGGCTCGATACAAACCTAGGGTATTGAGAAGTGGTGTTCGGGCATTTATGGTACTGTACCCCGACTTGAACACAACGGTAAATGGTCTACTCCTACTTTTGATGTCACCAAAACTCAACTGACGACTCTGTCCCGCAGGCTCTTCATGGTGACATTATCATCTCCCCAAGTCGGTGTATGCGGCATCCCTCGTTCGCACAGGAATGATCTGGCCGTTATATCTGGCCTTCCACCATAGATTCTCGCCACTGTCTCCAGATACTTCGGAGAAAAGTGGCAGAGTCACCCGGCAAAAGGGCCTTTATTTGTGTGGTATTCACACACCCTTGTAGGTACTGGTGCCAAGTCGCCATCGAGAGCCCGACTCTTGGGACGTATATCATTTATACCCCTCCCCACTGGCTAAGCTTGAGAGCTCTAAGAACGCTTATTTGTTCGTCGCGTATGACGTGACGGTCTCACTACGAGATTGCTTGGAACAAATCCTTTCACAGCTACCTCGGATGAGAGTCCTCCGACTTTGCACCATGAACGTACCATTAACTTGTTATCATGGCAATCTGCGGGATATCCAAATTCTCGAACATGTTGCTCGGCGAACCCACAACGCAACCCATATTCAACGTCGGCTTTCAAGAAAATTCACCCCGACTTGATGAACTTAGGAGTTTTAACTTCGGTTGAACCGTGCATTTTCCAGCAGGCTTCGGATTTTATCTTTCAGGGGAACAGGAAACACTTACTTTCCCATACAGCCGCAGCTCCTGTAAGCTCAGAGGTACGACATGCTTGTCTTGGAGCAGCTTACACTTGAGCGGCTGTGACCTGAAGAGTTTGAGGATGTCATAAAAATGCGCGCCACATATGGTGTCAGCGGCATATACTGACATGTGTACATAGTACTAACGCTTCAAGGGAAAGGACGCCGGCACCGTCTCGTGCTCATTCTAGTAGTCTTCCGAGATCAGAAGGGCGATACTGTTGAATGTCCTACTTAGCAGCATAAAAATCGGTTATATATATCCGCTTGCTTCGCCGTCCTGCACCTTTGGCATAACGAGTGTGGGCTAGTATGAAAGTAGCTGTGAACTTTTACTAACCTCAGCCTACATCATGATACTGGCACTGTTACGGGTTGTTCCGGCTGAGGTCAATTAATCTCGTAATTTACAGTATTTTGCTTCTATGCATCGCACAAATTGTGTCTTGATTTTCAACGTACGACGACATTCGAAATAGCCCAATTGCTTCTACTACCATGGGACAATCAATCTCATCCCCGCCTCCTGCAACTGTAACGCGCACTTCTCCACTGTCATCGTGCCCGATGCATGATGTGCCCAGCACTGGCTGTCCAATCCAGCACAACCACCCACCTGTTGCGAAATCCTCGGGTGGATGTCCCATCGATCACTCTTCTTTCAATACATTGAATCCCACAAACCAGATGCCCAATCTCCCTCAGACTCCGATATCCCCGCAAGCCGTACCACTACCGACTGAGCGTACGATGTCATCGATACCACGTGTGGTGGACGGTGAAACCAAAACTGACACGCACCAAACATGGGAGTACCCATCCCCTCAACAGTTCTATAATGCATTGGTAAGAAAAGGTTTGGATACGCCTCCTGAGCATATTGAGACGGTGGTGGAAATACACAATTTCTTGAACGAGAGAGCTTGGGGAGAAGTGATGAAGTGGGAGAGGAGGGTTGCACAGTGCGTTGTATGCTTGCTGTGCCGATTCTGATTATTGATTTTTTACCTCTCAGGGAGGGTGACGAGGAGCCGCATCTTGCTCGCTTTAAGGGACGTCCGGGCGAGATGTCGCCAAAGGCAAGGTTCTGGATGCTGGCTGGCTGGTTGCTTCCCTCTAGATTCAAGTAGATCTGTCCCTGTTAGGCGTTTACTGAATGCTGACATCAGTATCGCAGCACTGAACCTCCATTCGATCGCCATGATTGGATAGTACGTCGTCCGCGCGATGGAACAGAGGTTCGCTATGTCATAGACTATTACTCTGCACCGTCTACTCCCAACGGAGACCCCGGTTTCGCATTGGATGTCCGACCTGCTCTCGACTCGTTGGGAAGCGTTCAACAGCGTGTAGCAGTGAGTATGGACGACGTATGGGAGGGGCTTCGCGAGAAAGGTTGGGGAAAGAGTGAACGTGGGGGTACGAAACAGGCAAGGTCGTAAGAGATTATTGAGCATGCGTGCTCTACATTCCTGATACTGGATCAGTCGTCCGACTGTTGATATTTATGTTGTCTTGAGTAAGCTAATGAACATCTCTCGTATGATACACTAATATGATACACTCGCTGTCGGAACGTTATATCATCACTAACACATTTATTTTCAGCTCCTTGATGTTAGTCAAAGTAACAGAAGATGTGGATGCCATTTCTGCCGAGCTGGGTGGCTATTTAATGTATCAATGTTGCTTCTCTTATCTCACAGAGACTTAGGGTTAGAATTCAAGTAAGACGCACTTGTAGGTGCGTCCAGCGGTAGGTGTCTGAATAATAACTTGATCTCTGATGAAAAAGTTGGACGCTGGGAGCAATCGATAATGAGGTGGTCTGGATACTTTCAAAGGTACCACAAAATGCATACAGGTTAGTGTTGATTGATCATTGGGGGTGCCAGACGAAATTACTCAACTGACGCATGGGCCATACATATTGACGCTTGAGTGATCTCGATTGGTCTCGATCAAAACGTATGCAAATCTGCCGAGGCTCGTCTTGCTATTTCGTTGAAGGTGACGTTTGTCGGATTGTCAACAACTTTGTTCATTGGAGCTGACGGACTTGAATCAGCATCAATATGGTACACTGAACGTCCAAGTCAATGATTACTCCGAGGAGTTATTTGTTCTATGATGTCATGTGGAAGCAATTTCATTAGAATTGTGACCACAGTGAGACATCCACGGGCGAGACATCCGCTCATTCCGAAAATGAATAACAAAAGATTCCGCTCAATGGCCCATTGCATTTATTCTCGAAGCCACCCCATTCTATTCAATCCACTATCCACCAGGTCCACATGTCCACATCCAATGTTTCGGTCTTTGGGCTATAAAAACTCGGCTAATGCTAAGTTTTTCTCTCATCGAAAGCATCTCTATCATCCACCTTGAACTCACATTCGTCTCAAATTATTCTATAGCATGTTCTCAAAGAAGAAACTGTCCAGCGCAGAGAAAATTCGCCATCGCGTGCCAACCCCGCACACCTCCCGCATCTCCAAATCTACTACTCAGACATCTGGACTCAACGTCTCGCGCATCACAGACCTTTCGACCAACCCCACCAACGACTTATCTCATCCTTCTGCTATCTCTTTGACCACTCAACACTCTTCTCGGTCCAAGCGCTCTTCAGGCATGCGCAAGAAAAATAAAAAGCGACGCTCTCAGAAGCCTCTTGCAAACCTCGATAGTTCAAACCAAAGGGAACCGTGGCTTGACCTTTCCTTCTTGAACCGTCATTGTACGCAAGAAGACTATCTCTGCAATTACTGGCGCTACACGGTAGCCGACGAGCAAGGCATGTGCCTCGAATATTTCTTGAATGCGATCGATGCGCACGAGTGCGAACTGTGGCAAGGATTTTCCGATGACTACGTGCCTTCCTGGGCGAAATTCCTGGAAGTTCGTCAAGGCTGGGAAGGCAACGATGAACGGAAGTGGCAGTCGGGCGGCTGGATTCGCGGGAAGAATGGAATAGAATGGCGCCCAGGACATGTTATGTTGAGGGTACCTAACAACGATTGGATAGGCGGCAGTCATGAAGACTTGGACGATTACTCCAATGCGAGCTCAAGGAACTGGATGGATGATGAAGTTGTCGTTACTGGTGAGGACCATGAAGATTACGGAGTCGGTGGCGAGATATCCCCGGAGCGAGGAAGGGAGTCATATCATGAGCAAGATTCCAAGCCACTTTCAGAAGTCAAGAGGACCTTCGAGTCTAGCCTCATCGTCCCCCATGTCACTTCAGCATGCTTCATTTTGGATATCCCGCCAGCCCACACCATCATCCCAAATGACGCTTGTGTTATCCCACCCGCTCCCGCTTCTCATATCCCACCAGATAGCCCAGTGAGTAGTGTTGCGAATACGTATTTTCTCGTGTCTCATGTTCCACAGCCATCTCTTTCGAAACATGACTCGCGTACTATGAAGGCATTCAGAGTATCGCATGCTCCTCTCGTAACACCCCACCGCGCTCGCCAGTTCTCCCATCGCCCTCGGCGTGTCTTCACACCTGCCCCTACCCCAATTTCCAGCGAGTGTGCTGATGATGATGTCACTGGGAATCATGGGGCAATTGAGAAATTGCTTGAATTTCTCAAGGTGAGGAATATTACTTTCCCGTTGTGGAAAGTTAAACGTTATTAATATGTTGTCGTTATCTAGATGAATACAGAGCAAAAAGTAGCCGAGATTCATCAGTTGGTCAGATCTATGAGGCGAGGAACACAGTCGTAGCTGGACTCGATTGATATCAACTCTCCCATTTACTTGCTTCGTATTGACCGTTACCAGACTATGTACTAACAACTTTGAAACGACATTTTGGTTTATTTATTGACGATGGTGCATTGAGTTCGAAGGATAAAAGTCTGGGATTCGGGGTCTAGAAAACACCAACGTATCTGCATGTAGTATGCATATAACTCGTATTTAATGTAAGCACTTGTTACGGTGCCTGTAGAGCCCTTCGGATAGACTGCAAGACACTAAGAGACAGGGAGAATGGTATGAACTCGGTGTGATAGATCTGACTACGATACGGGTAGACGGGATATGTCAATGGAACGGTAGCCACAATGTCAGATTTTAAGATCCGTGGAAATGGTAACTAGGAGTGTGATAATCAGTGAAATGTCGACAGCCAGTGAGAACATCACTTGCAGAAGGATCTCGGCCCACCGTGACTGCCTCGTGCAAGTGTGCGATCGCATCTTCGTTATTTAGGTGCAAGTTGTGGGCAACAATCGATTCTATATGCTCTGCTGGCACAGGCTCTTTGTTATTGGACTTTAAAGGGCAGTAGAAGCGATGGAATTTGACAGATATAAGTTTGAAATATGCGTCAAATCTCTATGCACGCGAGATCTCAAGAATACATCAAATTGAAGTACTTACGACAAATTATTATCGTACCAAATGCCCCACATTCAGCTGCTCTCGAATCAGTTCAACCAGTGCTTGCTTTACTCACCGTGCAGTACAGAAGATGTCCGATGAATTTTCATCGAACAAGCTTCTGTTATAATCAAAAGTTTTACAGTGTGGTCATCATATAGAAGATTTGATGCTCGTTGGTCTCCTCATTCCATTTGTCCAACTGCCCCCTGAGCTTCCATATTTCACTAAGGCCTTCGGAAAGGATTCAAGAGATTGCCGGCGATATGTGAGCGATAGCCTAGCAAAGCCTGTCAAGCGTACTGGATGATTTATGTCGTCGTTACGGTATGCTGTATTCACGACGACGATATCATGTTGCGTAAAAAGAGATCGCGTAGAAGTGCCCAGAAGGCGCATATTAGCCTTCATATGCCAGCGCCTTCGGTGAGGGCACTTCACATAGGTGTACCGCCGGTGAGTCACTCAGCCAGTATTACGAGACTCGCGGCCGTCTCTGATGCTCTATGTAGTCGGCGACTCGGAGTCAGACTCCGACTCTCGGAGTAGTCCGAGTCAGCATGAAAGTCCCGCAGACGAGATATGACGCTAGTTTGTCTTCCTATGGTCCCTAAATGCCTGGAAGAAATCCATGCAGTTGCCCGGGTTGTATGGTTTAGTTGTTGCGTTCAGAGTCCAGTCTGCTACGCATACCACCTTTGAAGTTAAAGTGTATATGTCATCACGTGACCACGTGATTTTTAACAACTTCTTGAGACTATCATAGTGAGAGCTCTTTAGTCGGTCGCTAAGAGTGATGCTTCCCCGTCATCTCCGTAGCTTCGTTGCAGGCCAGCGTGCGCGCTCGTTGCTTTCGCACAGACCAGCTGTAGCGTCCTCTTCGCTGCCTGGTTATTCTCCAGTCAGCCATCCCTTGTCGCGACACGCAAACACTTCCGCATCTCGTTCCTTCCACTCATCATCGCGAAGACATGACGAGCTCCCGAAGTCACCTTTTCAAACGTTTGTCGATGTCCTTCGTGACGAACTCCGCAAGAACAGAGAGCTCCAAGACAATGTCAAACAACTTCAGGGTGACGTTGACAAGTTCCAGGATTCGGAGGCCATGAAACGGGCGAAGGAAGTGTATGAGCGTGCAAGAGTCTGTTTTTTGAATTTCTCTCATCTGGGTCAAATCTCACATTCGCTTCTGCACATAGTTGACGTCCAGCATAAAAGAGAACCCTCGTTTGAGGGCAGCAGCGGAGGAGCTAAAGAAGACGGGTGTTAAGGTCGGAGATGCGGTAACAGAGGCTTTGAAGACTATGGAAGAGAGCGAAATTATGCGCGCAGTGCGTGTGGTTTACTTCTAACTATTTGATGTCATGAACTAAATTTCGGCAGATTTCGCGAGCAACGACGTCCCTCTCTAGTACCATTGCTACCACAACCGAGCCCATCCGTCAGACGGCTGCTTACAAAACTCTTGCAGAGACTCTCGTTGATGCCCTGGATGACTCTGGGTCTGCCAAGCACGCTGGGTTTGAAGACAAGGAAGCTCGAAGACGACGCAGGCAAAAACGTCTTGAGAAGGCGGGCCTAACCGGACGTCGAATAATGGAGGAGAACTCGGAGTGCGTCGTTTGGAAGTGAAATTTGTGTGTTAGTAATAACAAGCATGACGTCCACAGAGCAGGTCAAGCACTGGTATCTGTTAAAACTTCGCCTCGTGCTGAGGCCTGGGAGAATTTCAAATCCACGAACCCTGTCATGCAACGCTTATCCTCGCTACATGCCGCGTACGAGGAGTCAGAGTCACCCCTCATTACACCGCTTCGTGCTGTGACCAGTACGATTGGGTCCTGGTTCGAGGAGAACGAAACAGCACAAGTGACACGGATGATCCGCGCAATGGATCCGAACTTTTCGAGGGAGGCGTTCGAGAGGGAGTTGAGAGAATATATCATTCCTGAAGTCGTAGATGCGTACTTGAGTGCAGACAGGGAGTCGCTTGTTAGGTGGTGCAGTGAAGCGGTGAGTATGCGATCGGAATAGCGCTTCGAAGGCTGAAACAACCCCCTTATTTAGACGTACAATGTCCTTTGGGCAACTATGGAACAATATCTCCGCCAGGGCCTTGTGAGTGATAGCAAAGTGCTTGATATCCGATCGGTAGATGTAAGTGTTTCATTTAGATTATTTCCAGAGGTAAAATGCTGAATATTTCTAGGTTTCCGATGGAAAGATTCTTGACTCCTCTATCCCTGTCTTTGTTGTGACATTCTCGACACAAGAGGTTCTTCTATTCCGCAACGCAGCCTCCCGTGAGATCGTTGTCGGCGCTGAAAACCGAGTGGAACAGTGTGTATATGCTGCGGTGATAACGCGCGTTCACGAGGAGTTAGCTGACGAGGTTACGGGAGGGTGGAAGGTCGTCGAAGTGAGTTTTGTCTCCTTCACATGCTGCTCGTATTGATATTCTTCTGTACAGATGGCACGCAGGTCCTCCAGAGCGTATCTATAGTCGTGCTAATTAGATACTGGGCACTAACACACAACGCATCCATCACTGCTTTGCTTAATTATCAATCACCACTCATCTCGTCATAGCAGTATCTTATTACATTGACTATATCAGTTTTGAACCTGGCCTGAACCTAGTCTTAGTGATTCACGTGACATAGTATTATATTGGGGGCACTCGCTGCAAAATGGCTCGGTAATTGAATATTGATGTCGCGTTCATCGTCCAAGTCACGACCAGCTGCGCATGGACCTCAGTCGCAGTCAGCACGAATTCGTATTGCAAATGAAAGTGCTACACCAGACAGAGACGTCGGACCCGTCCCCTCTTCCCTATCTTTACTGACAGCACGCCGTCCGTCATGGGCTCCTCCACTTTACGATCATACGCAAGAAATGACCACTGGGCTCGGCTCCTATCGCGATGTACCATCATTTGGAACGACAAAAACGGCTCTTCCATCTTCTTCGCCTGAAGATGGTGGCAATTTCCAGAGAAATCTGCACATAGACATGAAGGAACTTGTCGGGGACGCGGTCGGAAATGTGCGTATCCTTTGTGTCACCAAAAAGGTAGTCTTCTGACTAAAATATACAGATGAGTATCAGCCCCGCGAGCAGAGACATCGTCCTTGCAGCGTGAGTTAGCATATATTGTGCCGAATGAATCTCAATAGTGCGAAGTCGCCGAGGTTTGTTTATCATTGACCTCGAGGCACCCCTCGAAGTGCCGCGTTTCCTTCCTCAAGGGGGAACGTGGGACGTCGCGGACGTGCAATGGAATCCTCACCGTGCTCGCGCAGAGTACATTGTATCTACCTCATCCGAGAAACTGTAAGCTCTCCTCTGTACTGTTGTAATTGGAGCCTTTGATTAACAGAAAACCTGAAGCCTTATATGGAACCTCATGATGGTCGGAAAGACATCCATCGAACATATACTTCACTCTCATTATCGTGCTATCACTGACATCAACTGGCATACCAAGGAGCCTGATATTGTATCTAGTGTTGGCATTGATGCTTGGGTGTGGTCTTGGGATATAAGGGAGCCGAGGAAGCCTGTACTAGGTGCGTTTTTTCCCCACTATCCTCATCAAACGTAGTTCGAATTATCACAGGACTATGCGCGTTCAATGGTAAGCATTTTCGAGCCCGTAGTTACGCGTTGTGATATTTTGCGCAGCGGGAGGTACGCAGGTGAAATGGAACCGACAGGATCCCAATGTTTTGGCATCCTCGCATATGAATGAAGTTCTAATATGGGATCGCCGGGTATGCCGCTTTTGCTATATCATCTTCTGGGGTTTATCACCCCTAGAGTTATTTACTAATCTACTTAGTAGAAAGGTTCGCTTCCTACTGCGCGAATAAAGGCACATACGGCGAAGATTTATGGTATAGACTGGGCGCATGAGCGGATGCACGACCTCGTTACTTGCTCTCTTGACAAAACGATCAAAGTGTGGAACGCGCACGATGCTCCTTCTTTTTCCTTTAATCAGTCTTCGCAAGCCGAAATTGAACCACGCTCAAAAATTTCAACACGATATCCCGTCTGGCGGGCCCGAAATCTTCCTTTCGGACACGGTGTGTTAAGCTTGCCACAGCGCGGAGATACAACCCTTGAAATGTACTCGCTGGAGGGCAGTGAGGTTGGGACGCCAGTAGAGGTGTTTGAGGGACATGCAGATGTAGTAAAAGAATTTGTGTGGAGGAAAGGAGGACTAGGTGAGCACGCACACTCCAGACGTCAATCGTCGTGTAATTTGGTGTCAACAGAGGGAGGAGATTACCACCTTATTACATGGTCCAAGGACAGAACTCTCAGATTTTGGCCGGTTGATGCTGAAATTATGGAGGTGCCCAATTATCTGTCATGTACCAGTGTGTTCGGTGCATAACGTTTTCTATTTCATAGAAAGTCGGTCATACGGCTACCACTCGAGCGCCTTCGCACCCTCATTCGCAACGTTCGCGTTTCTTTACGGACAAGTCTTTCCGTCACCCGCCAATAGCAACTGATGTGCACCCGCCACTTCTATCAGCACCCATTGGGCATCGTGGAATCCTGGCTGAAGTAAGAACGAGTACGCTTCCTTCTCGAGTACCAATGAATACAGTTACTGGCGCCAGTGCTGTTGCGAGCAGAGACAAAGATCATAATCCCGTCCTCCAACCACACCATGGATCTGCAGCGCGGGGCCGCGGTGCACTGCTTCTGGACGCTCCTGGATCTGCCGCACTCAGCATTCCCGGCACTACGCTGAAGCCTCACATTCAACATATTCCTGGGACACCCGCAACGATGACGATGACGCGTGGTCATGCGCTTGGTGGCAGATCTGCGAGAATGGACGCATTACAGTGGCTTGCGAGTATCAAGGTCGGCGAACGGCGCGAGGACAGCGCTTCCGGACCAGAAAGTAGAGTAAGTTCAGGAGAACGAGGATTAGAGCGCGACGAGAGCGTTCCACCGGGTCAGAAGAGGAAACGGAGCGGGAGTCGTGTTATGGATGGAGATGGCACGCAAAGCTTGCAAGATGAGCAAGTAAATTCATTGGCTCTCCTTGCTGCTACTGATCTCGGTGCGTAGAATTACATCTGCGCTAACAAAGCTGCAGACATCCAAAATAAAACTTGAAAAGGTTCTGTTCATCTCTCTCAGCATGTACGTTGACTTACTTGATATTCGTAGCACGACCTCACCAAGCGACGTACATGTACCCTTGGTTTGCATGGGCCATGGGGCGAGTCATCTTCTGTCAGCGTGTTCATACGCATTTCTTTCCGATTTCCAAAGACATACCCTCAATCTGGCGTACCTGACATTGATCTTGAGCGAAACCCCCTAGTTTCAATGCAAAGTCGCGCATTCATGCTGAGGCGGTTGAAAGGTATTCGAGAAAGAAGAAGACCGTGTCTTGAAGCCTGTCTGAGATTCTTACTTTTCGGGGATGAAGACGAGAGAGTTGGCATTCCGAGAGGGATTGACTCGGAGTCATCCAACGAGGAGGAGGAGGATAGTGCACGGAAGGAAGAGGGAGGGAGAAAGTCAAGGGATTTTACGGTTTCGTTGTTGAGGAATAACAAGAATCTTGCAGAACCCAGGACTTCACAAGGTGTCTTTGGGCCGAACGGTCGGTACCTTTCTCAGTCATTTTCAGCGTACGTTAAAGGTCAGATTAGGTGAACTGGTATGTTTCTTCCGTGCGCCGCCCCGGATAGTACGCAATCCCATGAACGAGATGTCGGCTTCTCCGGTCACAACTCCAGCATCACGTTCGTCTCCTTCTGCTCAGAGGTTGTTCCAACCCCCATCATTGCTCTCTGATGCGGTCCGACGGCTTGATATGGCTGCGATAGATCGTGACAGGCTGCTGGACTCCCTTCCACGGTCATCTGGCGATAATGACACGACCATGCGCATAATGACCAACCTCCTTACCTTTTCACACCGCCATCACCACAAACGACACGAATCAATGACCACTCCAGCCAGTTCCCTTCCAACAGCCAACCCAGGTTATGCCAAGGTGCCGGTCCTTACACGAAGAAGCACGGTGCTCATCGAAGGTCCAACTGATACCGCATTTGCTCAGCGGAAAGTCGCAGAGGCGTATGTGTTTGGGCACGATGGCGAGAGCGTAGGTGCTATATGCGAAGCAAACGCAAAAATCGCGCACGAACATGGGCAGTGGAGTCATGAACGAGTATGGAGGATATTAAGAGGCCTGTTCCCCACATCAGTGACCAAGGGTGCAGGTCCAAGCAAGATTGCGCGGAAAATTATTGATTCGCTGTATGTTTTTGTCCTATGCAGTATTTCAAGCGTTAACTTTGGATTCCCACAGGTACAAGGAGTATTGTGCAAGCCATGACGTGCAGATGCTCGCAATGCTTGGTATAATTCTACTCCGAGCCTTCGCATCGCTTCCTGATACTGGCAAGCCTTTTTTATTCGCTCGTCGGAGCATTCTCTCTGATAATATCACAGTGCCAAATACACCCTCTGCAAATGACCCGTCGTCAATTTCACCAACCCCTGAAGAAGATTACTTCTCTTTTGTGCGGCGGAAAGGCCCGCGTGCGGCAGCCCTCTCTCCCGGCTGGCCGCGGCTCTCATCGACATCTCCCACAGCTCCGCCCCTTATGGCTTCGTCGCTCTCGATGTCTAACACCTCCCGTGGTTCGTGGTCAAGTTTGTTCAATACTGGCAGCATGCGACAGTTTATGTCCGGCGTGCAGGAAAGTATCTCGACGCCTCTATCGATAGATACCCTTCAACTTCCGACGAGGACCCCAATGCCTACACCTCTACCGTTACCTGGGAGTGAAAGTGCGGGTTCTGTGGTTCTGAGGCTACCCAATCTGGACACACCAAGACGAGGAAAAACATTGATGTCACCAGTTTCAAAATCGTGGTCAGATACATCTGTCTTGTCAACACTTGCGCCTGCCGTACCCCTTTCACCTTCGGTGCGTGGGCGTCGACCGACTTTTTCGCAGGTTATCAGCCCAAAGCAAGTAATCCAAGAAAAGAGGTTGGTCATAGAAGAAGAACTTATTGAAGAAAAGTACACGATTTCTTTTTGCGTAGTGGGCGGATCTTCACTTAACATAATCATTTAGGCCAGTCGCATACGACCAACAGATTCTTGCTCAGTATAAGTGCCATGTTCTTGCATATGCGGAAATGCTCTTTAGATGGCAGCTTCTAAACAAGCGACTTGAACTGCTGAAGAGTGCCAAAATAACCATATTTCATGCTAATAACCGAGAGGCTACATTCGGTACGCAGTGAAACGGAAGATATGTGTCGACTGACAACTTTCAGTAGATGTGCAGCATGTCTGTGGGAAATGCAATCGCGCTCTTGATCCCCACACATCATGTTGTGGAGTAAGGACTCTTAAACCGCGGTGCTCTTTGTGTCGTTTACCTGTGAAAGGTAGTGCAAACGTGACACTCATTGATGATGTTGACTCACGCTAGGCGTCCAGGCCTCTCACGCACCTGTGGAAATTGCCTCCATGTCACTCATTTGGGATGTTGGCGAGATGCTACATCAAATGTGTGCGGCTCTGGTTGTGGATGTCGGTGTAGAGGAGAACTGCGTCCTGATCTACGGGCATCCATGGTACCATCCCCAAAACCTGCTGCACCTTCTGCATTGTCGAGGTAGAATCAAATATACCTCAGTCCAGAGCGCTCTAGTGCTTTCTGAGTGGTCATTCAACGTTTAGCCTGTGCTTCTTGGCTTGGGAATAACGAATGGTTGTATCGTTGGAATGGAATTTGTCTTGATCGCTAGCTAATACTGGGATGAACCTGTACTCAAATGGTTTAGGATGGCTTTCAGGTGTGTAAGAATGCGTTTAGGCTTATAGAGGGACGAGTTACCAGAATACACCAACATTCTCGAACTCTATAGGAGGTGTGATCTCTTCCCCTCTTGCATCCAACGGTTTGGCGATCGTGAACGCACTTCAACGCAGCAAGGATACAAGAAATATTGGGGTACAACGAGGCTTCGACAAGATGCAACCCTGGAATAAGATCCCATCGTTCAGTGGCTGCTTGGATAGTGTCGTGTAAAGGATGCGCACCAGGGCATCTACGGCGCCCGAACCCAAAAATGAACTTGCGTGGGTCCAATTGAGGGGAGGAACCGAGGAAGCGTTCAGGCCTGAATTCTAATGGGTCGAGGTACATTTTTTCATCCCGTGATATGGAAAAAATGTTCGCGATGACGGTTGCACCCTTCGGTATGCGGTACCCTTCGTAGACATCTTCCTTCATCGCGCGGTGCAAGAGCCCTGCGTTACTGAGTGAGCGGGAGCTAGAACAATATATATGGCTGACCTTGTGGAGCCACAGGTGCCCAGCGAAGGAGCTCTTGGATGAGGGCTCCGATGTATGGAAGCTTGTCTCTGTCGTTGAACGCGGGAAATTGGTCCTGACCCACGATGGCATCGATCTCTGCCTGCGCATGCTTCTGCACCTCTGGATAAAGTAGTATCGCCAGGATACAAGACGTCAAAGATGATGATGTCTGCTCATTGTTTCAAAGTCACACGAGGGAAGGTGCAAAAGATATCTCATGGTGTCGACTCCCTCTGCATAGATCCCCTGACTGCACCACTTGGCGATATCTTCTTGTTGGGCACCGACTATGGATTTGTCCTCTGCTTACGAACCGCGTGAGTGGCGAACGTTACCGATTGTATACCGTCTACATTTGCCGTTTGTTTTGCCGCTGCCATACGTCTCAGACACGAAGATCGAGGATCTCAAGCGATGCAATACGAGCCTGCTAACAGGCAAAGCTGACCAAAATCAGCGTATAATCGCCAACTTCGGTAAGCCATGCGAGGATCACATACTGTGACACGAGTGGGTGGCAAAGTTTCATTTGCCGCCCTCTCCACGTTACTGGGTGCATGAGATGCAAAACACATGATCGCGCCAATCACGTGATGTTTGTGGCCCATCAGATAAAATTCATTCTAAATCTGGTAAATTGTCACTGTTCGGCTTCCAGAGTCCTCCCCGGCCTACTTTTACATAAATAGATCCTTGAAAGCTTGAGACTTCAGATCTTCAGACCTCTGACTGCCCGTGTGTCCTTTATCAACTGTTATAACAATGTCACCTGCACAAGGTCGTGTTTTGCTAGCATACTCTGGCGGTCTTGGTAAGTTGATCTGCACGGGGGAGATTATCGTTAAATATCAAGATCTGCAGACACTTCATGCATCTTGGCATGGCTGATCGAGCAGGGCTATGAGGTTTACGCCTTCATGGCTGATGTCGGTCAGGAGGAGGTGCTAATATCTTCTGTAATCCGCTGCTGGTGACTGACTATTTGTACAGGATTTCGAAGCAGCTAGAAAGAAGGCACTCAGTGTTGGTGCAAAGAAATTCTTCGTGGAGGTTTGAGATTCTTCTAGTGTTGAACTTGCTGCGTTTGTCGCTCATAAACTTGCAGGACCTGAAGCGTGAATTTGTAACGCAGTTGATCTACCCTGCTGTACAAGCAAACTGCATCTACGAAGTAAGTGCCATCCTCTGACAGTTATCATGAGCTGATCGCCATCGCAGAATGTATATCTACTCGGAACTTCTCTCGCCCGTCCTGTTATCGCTCGTGGTATGATATCCGTTGCAGACAAAGAAGGTTGCGAGTAAGCCTCGCCTTCATCTTCCACTTACCTGAGCTCATCGGACTTCTGACAGCTATGTATCACATGGCTGCACAGGCAAAGGGAATGACCAGGTTCGCTTTGAACTTGCTTTCTATGGCCTCAAGCCAGATATCAAGGTCATCGCTCCTTGGAGGCTTCCTGGTGATTCAATTTTCCGCAACTTACAAAACCTTTTCCCTAATCCCCAACATCCAGAATTTTACAACCGTTTCCCTGGCCGTCAAGCACTACTTGCATACGCGGCGGAGAAGGGAATTCCCGTGCAACAGACTGCCGCAAAACCATGGTCGACCGACGAGAACCTCTTCCATATCTCCTATGAGGCAGGCATCCTCGAGGATCCAAACACCACACCCCCCGATGACATGTGGAAACTCACTGCATCTCTCAAAGATGCACCAACGGAGCCTGAACAACTGTCGATCGAGTTCAAGGCCGGTCTTCCCGTAAAGGTTGTAATTACTAACCAGGCCCCTATCACTGATCCCGTCGACATTTTCCTCGCACTCAATGCTGTCGCGAGGAAGCATGGTGTCGGCCGTATCGACATCGTCGAAAACCGATTCATTGGCGTCAAGTCTCGTGGCTGTTATGAGTCGCCTGCAGCGACTATTTTACGTGTCGCACATATGGACATTGAAGGTCTCACGCTCGACCGCAATGTTCGTGCTCTTCGCGATCAGTTCATCACTATCGAACTCGCCCGTATTCTCTACAATGGTCACTTCTTCACCCCTGAGCGTGAGTTCGTGACTAGCGCCATTCCCGCGAGTCAGCGCACCGTCAACGGAACAGTACGCTTGAAGCTCTACAAGGGTAACGTCGTCGTTATCGGTCGCTACTCCGATGAGGTAACGAATTTGACTCATAACTTTCATGTTTTCTTACCGCTTTTCAGGGTCTTTATGATGAGCACCAATCTTCCATGGACGAGCTCGGTGGGTTTGAGCCAACAGACACCACAGGTTTCATCCAGATTGAAAGTATCCGCATTAAAAAGTATATCTTCAACTGATCTCATCACAACCTGCTCACTCAATTTTTTCAAGGTGGGGTCAGGCCAATGCTCGCAAGGGCCAAGGTGGTGTTGAGCCACAGGATGTTTATGGCTCTCGCATCTAGTTGACTACAATATCCTAGATCTCAAGGACGGAAAGTGAATTATCTCACCAATTGTAAATCGTACCCTGCTATTACTCTTCAGTCGCGTCCAGCCGACCATTCAGCACTAACCAGTACAAACCTCGATGGAGTCTTTTCCTTCCAAGAACCAACTGAATAACATCATGGTTATGCATAAATATACCTTGTATAACGAGTGAGGCGTCCCGACCTTGTTGCCTAATGTACAGTTCTTTCGACGACGACAATATTTCCTTAGAAAGGTAGCCGTTCAAACGTTCACTAACCCGAGGTCCTCACAGATAAGATCTACTCCCTTCTCGCCAACCTATGAAGAAAATTGAGCTGGAAACTAGAACAAGCTTCAAATGCCTACATGACGCGGGCCCGGGGTGTGTCTTTGAAGCTAGTATTTGCGTGAACTCTGGACCCATTTCTTCAGCTCCTCTCCAGTAGGACGAATCTTCTGATGTACTTGAACCTAGACAGCTTGAGTCGACTGTCTAACGATCACTTCGAAATCTATCCTTCTTTTCTTTTTTTTTATATTTAGAAAAAAAAAAAAAAAAGATGGTATTCGATGACAGGCGTGCCGCGTCCTTGGGTATCTGTATAAGCATGATCAATAGGCCCACCTCTTGCTGTGCCAAACGTAGTAGGCGGTATCTTCACGAGAGGTTCGTTGTACGCGTATCCCACGCCCGAAAGATCGAGTTGTTTGAGCGACCCAAGGTTAAATTGAACGTGATATTCTACCCCACTGCTCAAGGCAACCATATCTTGCGAGCCCAGACTGTGGCTCGACCGCGTCTGGGTGACCCAAGTGGAGAGGTGAGAGAGTACCTGGCCGAGGCAACACGGTAGAACAGGTCCCCCTGAAGTCAGGTGCTGTAGTCATATAGCCATTCTTCTCATTAGCCGATAGCAGCAAGAACTGTTGTTCCTATCGTGACCAATGCAAATTTGAAACAGCCGGACAAATTCATCCTGCCTGGTGCTGGGCCCCTCGCGGTATTTTCAGAAACAATGTTAACAGATACTGAGTTGAACCATTACATTTGTACGACATCTTCCGCCAGCGCACTGTGCATCATCTTGACATCTTTCTTCGGAGCAAACTGAGTGTCGACTTGTAATTCGCATCATAACAAAGAGCACTGACAACGCGGCTACTACGACGCACGGAGCATGCACCACATTTGCATATCTTTAGGTTTTCAACGATGCAGACTCTAAATAGATAAGCATGTGAATAGAGCTGTGGGCTTCAGCCTTCAGGTTCTTTGGAATATATACCATCTTCTCAAGCGACTAGTCATGCGGTTCTGTTCATTTGACCACTGAATGTCACGTACCGTGGATATAAGTCAGAGTACACCTAGGAGGGACTGTAATCCATAACAAGGGCGACTCATCGGGACAGTGCAGTGCAACATCAACAGAGAGGACACATGAAAATCTTGAAGATTCTTATTTTGCGTTCGAGTCTAGACACCATAGACTCATGAGCCCGATTAACACATTGCTCTTAACTGCCCTATCAGGCCTCAGGCCTCAGATAGATCAGAAGTCTGCAAGCGAGGGAATTGCTCATTTATGAACTGTACTATCACAGTGACGTATAGACATCACATGGCAAACCAATGACATTTTGACACCCTACTTTAAGGAAGGGATGATTCGTCGACGTTGAGAACCAAAGTGGTGTAGAATCCGATCATCCCAACGAAGCTATTGATGGAGATCGCTGGAGAACAGTTAGCCATCCAGTTGCCGAGAAACCAATCCAAAATGTGTACCTTCGTTGACTGTGTGCACGCCAGAAGGAAGAGACCCTCCACCGGCTGCCTCAAGGTGACCATACCGGAAAATATGGTCAGTCAACTTCCAATAGAACCGTGTATCTGTATTCCAATCGTCACCAGAGCTAGTGCAATCCGTGCTCAAAACCTACCTGTGTTACCGGACATGATGCCTGGGCTCACGATGATTGCATCTGAACCAGAAATATTTCTATGGGAGTTGTAGGCTGCTTTGATAGTCCCAGATAAAAGCCGAAACGGTGCAGCGTCTTCGCCAGACGGAGTGACTGGTGCTGGCTCCAAGCCGTCACCGAACGCAGTGGAAAGGGTCAAGGTGCCATATGAAGGCGCATCCTCATTGGAAACATAGCTACCAAAAGCCGTGTAAGACAGATTGAAGTCGTCTGCGAGAGATTTCAACAATTCGATGTCGCGCACTTTTATGGCGGCGATAGAACTACAGATAAGATTGGACGTGTTAACGATAATATTCATTTGCATCAAAAGCCCTACCTTTCTGTAGAAATTCGGTGATTCACAATGGCCCACGCCTGTTCTGGGAGAGCGTTTACCTTCACTCCACCGTCCACGAGATCGATAGCTTGAGTAGTGCCGACAAGACTCATGAAAGTACGGTCCTTAAAGAGTTCCTCCTCAGCGGCACGAAGCGCTTTATCGCAGTGCTCTGCATGCAACATGTGTTCCTTTAACGAGGAACTGATGCCTGGTGCGTATTGAGCCATGCATTGAGCGTTCCTGTAAGTCGGTGATCCTCTTGTCTGCCGGAAAAGTATCAGTGCATCGTTACAGCCAGTCTCTTAAAACTCACCAAGTGGGTCTCGAAGGGATTTTTCTCATACTGTACAAGGAGCTCTGCAAGCATACCGATGCTCTTGAAAAATCAGAGACGATTGGTGAGGAACTGAGTATGAGAAAGCTCACTGTATGAGGTGGAGGAAGGCTAGAATGGCCACCGGGAGATGTAACTTTGATATGGACGTTCAAGGTACCTTTCTCGGCAATTGCAGGTACTGCAATAACACGACCATATACCTCACCGTACCCGGCTGTCAACCAGAACCTCATTACTCATCGTGTTAGTCAGTCCAACAATAACTCACAGCCTTCGTCGAGAAGCATGGTAAAGGCGTTTTCTCCAAATCTCTCTATCATTTCGGTAGCTAGGGAAGACGCACCCTTGAACCGGTATTCAATGTTAACAGGCTAATGTAACTGTACAGAGTTTTAGCAACTTACCCGTATTCCACTTACTTCCTCGTCAAATCCTGACGCGATCACAACCGTGCGAGTCGGCTTGAAGCCGTTCTCTAGCATAGATTCAACCGCAGACCTACGGCCATCAGTATACTTTTCTTGAACATTACAAGGACACAAACATGATCCCTGGACGCAATCAATAAGTCCAGGAATAGAACTAGATGTTGGAACACTACCGATTAGACCGCTCTTATCATCGCACGACCCGCGACCCCAAAGGCTCTCCCCTGCCAAGGTATCAGTTAAAAACATGCGACCTATCATGAAACTACTGTACAGACCATCAAAGTAACCGGAGAATGGAGGATGTTGCCATTCATCGATTGTCGTTTCTAACACAGGGACCACGTCTAGCGGCCGATAAGTCAGTATATAGATATGTATGATGCACAAACGAACTTACCCTGGTGAGCAGCGAGGAGAAGTGGCTTCAAAGCACTGTTTGAGCCTTTCCATACGTATAACAGTCCGTATGTGTTGACTTTCGTAAGTTCCAAGTTTGAGTGACTGGCACACGATGTGAACTGGACAATGGCACAGTGCGGAAGAGTACTCACAGTAAAGGGAATGAGTCTTTCAGATAATCATGCAACGGGAGGAACTTCTCCCAAACGGGCTCTGTCACATCTCCCATGTCATCGAACGTTTCTGTGCTGCCAATGAGGGCTGTATTTAGCGCAGATACTCAGCATATCGCAGGCGAAACAAACACACGGAATTCGCACAGCTCCCCCAAGCCAGTCTATAGCTCTCGTTTTGAACTCTTCAGTACTGTACACGTGTTGAAGACTTTCCCAGATCACTCCATTCTTCTCGGGAACAAGTTCGCCCACCTGAGGGCACAAATCTATGCCATTCTCGAGGGTGCCGACAGTGGAACCGTTCAAGGGTCTTTTGACAAAGTATGTTGAAGCAGAGATTGCGAGTGCAGTGACGAGTGTGATCTTGAATACGATGGCCTTGGCCTTCGAAAGCTTCGTAGTGGATGTGCGGGCATTAACACCTGGAAGCTCGTCAGCTTTCTTTTCGACTAGATTGACTTGGGACATGTTATGCGACAGAAGCCTGCAATGACAGGAAAGACCATTATTCTTTCAAGCTGGAAACTGCTATATATGATCCCACTGGCTGATAACCACCGTTTTACGGGCCGTTCTGGATTGGTTTTGGATATCCATTAATAGTCAGAGGGTCAAGTGTCATGCATATGCATGTCATGGGTCAAAATTTGTCATGAGTCGTCGCTACTACTACATATAAACCCAGGACTGTACACAACTCGGACGCCGAACAAACTAGCTTACTCACGTACTATGACCCATCGGCGATTTGTACCATTACTACCCATATTTGTTCCCATACAGCCATGCAAAGGGCACCGCGTCTTAACTCCTTCAGTATACTAAAATACAGAAATTCTCTCTCAGGGCAATTCCGATTCATCAACGTTGAGAATAAGTGTGGTGAAGAATCGAATCATTTCAACAAAGTTGCTGATCTTAATGGCTGTCATGAAACCATGCATCAAATACGGAAGAGAGAGAAAAAATCAAGTCTTACCCTCGTTGATGGTGTGTACCCCAGAAATAATGGTTCCACCACTAGCACCGTCTGTATGGCCATAGCGGAAGATGTGCTCGGTCAGCTTCCAATAGTACCTCGTGTCTATCAAGGGCGTGAGGATCACATGGTGATGACCAAACAGATATCACTGACCTGTGTTGCCTGACATGATTCCAGGACTGATGATCAAGCTATCATCATCTGAAAGACCTCTGTGAGAGTTATATGCAGCTCTGATAGTACCAGATAACAATTGGTAAGGCACGGCGTCATGTCCAGTGGGTGAGACTGGAGCAGGCTCAAGTCCGTGCGTATAAGCTTCAGATAGTGTCAAGGTGCCAAACGCGGGAGCATCAGCATCAGTTATCCTAGCACCAAAGGCAGTATATGATAGGTTGAATTGGCTTGCCAGCGATATGAGCAGCTCAGTATCGCGCCCTTTCGTTGCAGTGACGGAACTAGACTCGATGTTAACATGTGTTTGTGCGATACTGATCAATCACCAACCTCTGCGTCGAAATGCGATGGTTCACTACAGCCCAAGCTTGCTCTGGCAGGGCATTGACTTTCACCCCTCCGTGAATGAGGTCAATAGCTTGAGTGGTTCCGACGAGATTTTTAAACATTGGGTTCTTGAAGAGTTCCTGCTCAGCGCGGCGAAGAGCAAGTTCATTATACTCTGCGCGAATGATATCTCTTCGCAGTGATGCAGGAAGGTCAGGTGTGTGAACAAGACACTGTGCAATCTTGTATGTTGGTGAACCTCTTTCCTGCGAGATTTGCGCGAGAGTTATTCAATTTCCCTATTGGTGTTTCTAGAACTTACAAGATGAACTTCGAATGGATTTCTCTCAATGTTAACGAGCATATCTGCCAGTATGCCAATGCTCTATGCTGATATGAGCACCCAGCCATTAATTCTGGAGCAAAGACCCACAGTATGATGCGGTGGAAGACTTGAGTGTCCACCAGGAGATGCAACATTTATCATCACATCCAAATATCCTTTCTCCGAAATTCCGGGAGTTGCGATGACTCGGCCAAACTGTTCGCCATATCCAGCTGCAACCCAAAGCAGTTAGAATAGATTGATGGCAAAGAGAGCATCATCTTACAGCCTTCATCCACTAGCATGGCGTAACCATTTTCACCGAACATCTCCAATAACACTGGTGCCAACATTTGAGCACCCTATCGATGGTTCAGCCTAGTTGTCAAACTGTGGGATGATGTCCTTACGTGAAGGCCGCTGGTCTCTTCATCAAACCCGGACGCCAAAACTACGGTTCGGGTTGGTTGAAACTTGTTCTCCAGCATATTCTCCATGGCAGACCTAAGGCAAAACATAAGTTAGAGTGAAAGAAAGGTTATGAAATATATCATACATGATACCTGTGCATCCATGATCAGCCAAACGGAAAGCGCGTAACTTGCGAAGAGCTCACCTATCAACCCGCTTTTGTCGTCTTGCGAGCCGCGTCCCCATACTCGCTCACCTATCATACTCATCAGAGATTATCAGATAGATTGTAATAGAACGCTCGCACCGTCGAAGTGCCCAGAAAAAGGTGGATACTGCCATCGGTCAATTGTGGTCTCCTCCACAGGAACAACATCTGGATCACAAAAATTCCAGGGACTGGCTACGCAAGAAGGGCACTGAGATCACCTTGGTGGGCTGCAAGCAAGAGAGGCTTGAGAGAGCTGCTCGTTCCTTTCCAGACATATATCAGGCCATACGTATTGACTTTCGTCACCTCTAGGGAAGCATGGCTGTGCAATTACAGGGATGGTCAGTCTACACGCAATAAACTAGAAGCACACCTACACCAGTGGGAAGGCCTTCAACAGATAGTCGTGAAAAGCACCGAATTTCTCCCAGCGTGGGTCAGTCCCGACAGGACCCATCTGATCGTAGGATTCTGTTCTAGTACTAGTGAGTTCTCTGGTGAGGCTTGCAATGTGAATGATAAGCTTACGGGATCCTAACAGCCCCTCCAAGCCAGTCCACCGCTCTCATCTTGAATGCATCAGTTTCATAGGTGTCGCCCAAAGTCTTCCACAAAGCACCGTTGGACTTTGGGATGAGCTCAGACACTTGGGGGCAGATATCTGCATTAACTTCCTGGTGGGTATGGTACGGCCCGATGCCATATGGTACCTTCCATAGAAAAGTGGATGCGAATACAGTGGCTAGTACCACCAGACCCCTCAATGCCACTGTCCTGCGGCTCGACAACGTCCTGCCAGTACCACGGGGTGGCAAGATTAAAGGAAGGAATTCGTTTGTTTTCTCGTTCGTGATAGACATACCCAGAAATCAACAAGTATCTTGGAGGAATCTCGGTAGCTGAAGTACTTATATCACGGCCCGGGCCATACGGATCGTCGAATCCCGCTTGGCCAGCGTCACGTTGTCGTGCGTGGATCAACAGCGCGCGAACTTTAGCAATTAATTGCTGACTTATTCTCAACCACGTCACCTGTCAATGCATGTGTCCTGCAGTGCCAGTGGACCAGGGTATGGAAGGAACGACTCGGACTATCTTCATTTGTCTATAGTCCATCGAGGCGAGGCTAGCAGGAGAATTTCTGGAGAAACGTCAAATTTGATTGTCTTGGCAAGTTGGGAGGCTGCTGTCACTTGATTTCATAAGCACGTGACAAACGCGTCGCGATCGAGTCTGCTGATCGCGTTGCACAAACCCTGATTTATAGGAGCAATACGTATACTAAAGCCAATCTCAGTTCAGCTTCTACGCGTACCAGCATATTCACCTCTCTCAATCAGTGTTCATCATTATAATCTCTTCTGCCATGACATTACTGTGCTCGTCCGAGCCACTGGCTTCCTTTTGGTCTTTGCTTCAAACGAGCTGTCATCGACAATGCCGTTCAGGTCCTGTCCGACTCCGTTGGCCTCGTTGTATCATACTCTATCTGCTTGTCGACAATTACACTGGTTCTTGCCACCGAGAAAGCTGCACAGAAGATCCTCAGGGACTCAAGCATGGGCCCGCCACTTCAAAGAACGACGACCCGATTCTAACCTTCCATCTTCCAATGACACCACCACCACCGTTATGCCTCAGCCTGTGGAACCATCTCGTTTTCAGCCATTTCCGCTTCCATCTCAATTTAATTGAATCGACGGAAACAACGTTCGTTCCAATCACGTACTATAATATCTGTATGACTTGCATCACTCTCACTTCGCCGAACCTCTACTGCAAACGCCTTTCTATCAATTCCAGCGCCACTCTTGTACCCTATGACAACGACTCTGTCGCCGACGTCCTCTCGGATGATGATGCCTCGGATGCTGACGACTGTGAGCCGTTTAGTGGCGAAAGCATCATTCACGAGGTAAGACGCAGCGTATCTTCAGTTTCCATATTATCTGGCATTTGAATCTCTCCTATGATCGTTCTGAAATACAGCCTCGGAAGGAACGTGCACTAGAGCCGCCTATGCTTGATATTCTGATTGCCAAAATGACAGCTCTTGCTCTCGATAATCCACATCATCATTCCAAGCTTCGACCACTCATTTCAAACAACAACAACCACAAGACGTCTACCACCATTCATTGTCCTCCACTTTTTGAACCAGCCTACTCTGGACGCATTGCTCTGACGTTTGGAGGCGGCTCTCTCCCCGATACTTCATCTACCGATCCCGGCGTCGCTCTTCCTGGACCCAGCTTTCCCATCGATGTCGCCCGTCTTCCATCTCGGAGGTGATCTTAGTTACGAAGCGCACCATTTGGTACTTCAAGCTGCCTCCTCTCACAACTACTCTGCTTCGACAGCCTAGACCTGAAACAACAACGCAGAGCCAAACATATTGTCCCTTTTCATTGATCTCCACGATCTGGGTACGCCTACGCTTCGATGTCAGGTCCCCTACGACCAATCCGGACGACGGCCTCCTGTCCCCCGCGACCCGCTTCACTGCTAAAGAAGTCAAAGGCCACTTCCAATCTACGCGTACCACACCATGCCGCAAGTCTCGAAGGCCAGAGAGCAAGTCGTTTCTTATTTCCTTCTCTACTACCTCGTCGATCTGTACGCTCCTCGACTGGTGATTTATATCATAGATCTATCTCTGGCATGTACGTTTCTTGTTTTTGTTTCCTTCTTCAATTTGTGTCCGAGACAGATATTGGACTTGTCTCTGCCATGTACGTTCATCATGATTTGCTTTCCCCTTTGCTGGTATGTTTATCTCCTTCGTCATGTATTCTGGGACTTTTCATTCCCTTCTTCGCATAGAAATCTTTGATTTACTTTCTCCCTTACTGGTATGAACGGGCTCATTAGATTTCAATATGTACAGATTGTTCTTGTTACTAGTATTTTCGTGCATGTATGACTATTATCATTGACAGCGTAGTCTTGAATACAAATTTTTCATCGCACCCTACAAGCACCATTCTCATCTTGCATGCATCAGCTTTATAGGAGTCACAAAAAGTTTACCGCAACGCATTGTTGGGCATTACGATGAACTCTGAAAATCGGCAAATGTCTAGATTGATTTCCAAGTGGGAGTGGTAGTGACGGCCCAACACTATGTGGTGCCCTCCATATGAAAGTGGATGCCGCATGTGAATATAGCCAGTACAACCGGATATAGTTAGTGCCACTGTGCCAGTATTTTGCTCCGCTCTATGGCATCCTAATCTTATGCGGCAGCAGGACGCCAGGGAAGACTCAACTCGTTTGTTTTCTCGTTTGTTCCAGTGGCACAAACTCCTTGAAAGACATTTCCAACTAAGGTTATTAGTCAGACAGCGCATGTCATGGTGAGGGAAACACATCTAGCACAGCAGGTGGTATGATGCAAATGTGTGGGGATAACAAAGGCGTCTGAATTCTAGATCTCGCATTTGGAAGCATCTTGAACGATGGAAATACTTTCCATGGAATTTCAGCACGGTCAAGTAGGTTGAGGTCAAGTGCAGGTTGACATAAGTCATGCAGGATGAGTGCTGGCCTGTTGGTCTTCGCTGGTCAGTCCTATAGAAGGAACACAGCTGTTCCTTCTTGTATGGGGTCTTAGCGTCGCTCTTAAAACTTCAAGAGTAAACTGTGCAGATTAAGCAAGATTGTGTACTATACATCCAGACCCTCCCGTCTCGTCTCTATCTCCTCTAGTGTCGGTCGCTTGGGAGCGACAATATTGCTGCGCCCTGAGCTCGCATATAGAATTTCAGCCTCACCGAGCACCCCGGGGGTGTATGGTACCTCCAATCCAGTCTTGTAGATATTGCCCTGCTTGAAAGGGAATGTCGATGAGGGGACTTGGAGAAGGTGGTCTGGCGTCCGAGTAAGGTATAGCCGGTGTAGCGAGTCTTCAGCCGCCTAAAGCACCTACAGTAAGATAATTATGGATAGGTATACCTGGAGGGTGCTTACCCGGTATTCTGCCATCTTCAACGAGCTACCAAAACCCTCGCCAAGCTTGTCCTGTCCAGAAAAAATACCCACTACAAATACGGGCGAATTCGAATAACGACCAGTTTCCTTCAGTAATCTGTATGGTAAAGGCTCTTCAGTTCAATGACAGACGAACATTATATCCGGGTAGCATACCTGGACTTTGGACGTTCACGACCAAATTTTTCCACTGTTTCTATAAGGGCTCGCTTTGGGTCACGGAATCTGATCATACTCCGCAGATCAACCTGCCTATTCAAGAAAAACGACTGGACAAATTTCCGTGCAGATTGGAGTGATATTTCTTGGTAAACAAGGGCAGTTATTGCCCTCGGTATTGATGCTAGTGCATCCGAGTGCAGTAGTGCTGGAGACATTGGTGTCGTAGGCTAAAATGTTCGATCAGCAACGAGGTGCTTGTACTTTAGACATTTAATACTCTACCTGTCTATGCCACCGTAGTAGGGGTACTGCACCCATTTCCTGAGCGACACTCGCGCATGTCAATGGACCAACATGAGCGCTGACTGCAGCCTTTAAAACGCGAGTCGGCAAATGTGGGTATGCGGCATGAAGATGTTCAGATGCAAATAGTCCCATCAACGAATTTCCTAGTGTCGCAAGATTCGCGTTTGTTGGGGGTGTGGGGCTCGAAGGGTAATATTTAACATGAAGATTGAGGAACGACTTGTGTGTGCAAGCGCGTCGGACTACATCTGCTGATGACAACACGTTTGCAAGGCCTATTCGGTGGGCAAACGCGGTGAGGGCAGACGTAGGTGGGGGTTGGAGAGCTGCCCATAACTCCGGGTCAAAGAAATTCGGTTTGCCAGAGTCTGGCACGAGGATGGCCTCTTTTGGCGGAAACTGCTTCAGTCGTGAAGTGGAAACAGCTAACTTTGAAGCAGAAGAATAAAGGCGTTTTGAGACATGACCCATTGGCAGAAATTACGCAGAATGAGTCGTGTTCGACACTCGAGCCGTCGTCCCCGTTAGACTCGTTTCCGCTCAAGCCTGCTCAAACCAAAAATTAGTCCAATGTCATTTCGGCAAACTCCGTAAAGACGGTAACCGGTACCCTTGCAAGGCTGCAAGACCATCCGCTCATCTTTTATAAAAATTTTATTTACTGTTGAGTCTAGCTGGATGAGCATCTCAGGAGCAATTTTACTTGATCGTAAATATTTGGACGACAGCTGCAGGAGAAATGAAACGTTCACATCTTTGGCCAAGCGGTCTTTCCTACCCGATATGTCCGCCACGTGGAAATATTGTCACTGCCTGAAAGCCCTGAACACACCTTCTTGTCTAGTTTCCGTACCCAACGTTGGAGCAGTGCGCCTGAACATCATTTTACTCAAGACCATTTCTTGGACACACTCAGAGTACTGTTCAGAGTGCCCAATATTCATTCATGGCAGTACTATCCCTGCCGTTAACATTTACTAACTCGTTCTGGACTCAGGATTATCGGAAAGGCTTGGAGATTTTGTATAATAAGCTCGAACAGGTAAGAACGCGTCTCTAACTCAGGGTATTGGTCTAATATCTCGATAACTTCAGGGTGTAGTGGAGAACCATGAGATTGTTGCATTCATAAGAGTGAGTTCCTTCGCGACACTTCAGATATCCTGAAACGAGAGATATTACAGGCTCGTGCAGCCGCTGAGGCTCAGATTGCAACATCATTGCAACATCCTGTAGCAATTGGCTCACATGGTCGGTGGATGTGACCTCTCTGCTGAAACCGCAGGCTGAACTCCTGCAGGCGCCGGCTTCAACAAGGATGATGGGGCTTCGTTGTTGATGGCTTTCCGTGGACTTCAGGCAGAGTCGGAAAAACAAGGCCAAGTTCACAAAGACATTTCCAAGGACCTACGGGCTCTTGTAGCTGACCCATTTAACGAATGGGCTCAGGGATACGAGGTAAATATGCAGACATACTATGTTGTTCACTCGTGATGTCATTTCTATGCAGGAGCGCCTTTCTTCCAGCAAAGCTATGGTCATGAACAACTGGCTGCGTGCATATGAAGATTCACAAAAGGAGGTGTGTGTTGGCAAGAGACAGCGCAGACCATAAACACGAGATCCTCACCCAAATTACTCAGGTTATTAAACTAAAGAGCTCTTATCTTCAAAAAACACGTCGGGCAGATGAGGCAGAGGATGAGTGAGTACTCTCTCCTATTTCCATCCACCAAACCTGATACAACGTTCTCTACAAGCGCGAAGTTTGCACCTAACAATGATCTAGGGGATCATTACACCAGCTCTCCGCGCCTTTTGCCACGTGACAAGACCACGCAACCACAACGCTCGGCTACGGTGTCTGAACGCATTGCCCAGCGCTTCAAGGAAATCCAGCGCAAGGCTGCCGGGACCTCGAATTCAGGTGCGGAATCTGATGCAGCAAGCGAGATATCAGAAGAGAAGGCTTTCACAAAAGTGGACAAAGGCAAAATGAGGGCAATAGAGTCGCCGTCGCCCGGACCAATGGAATCTCCGCCACCGTTGTCGCCTCCCTTGCCTCCTGCAAAGTTGGAAACTACGTCCCCATTAACCATGGACGCACCCCTGCCTCCTACGCCCATTCTGTTGGCAGGCCTGGCAATACCCCCGGCTACCGTTTCTACATTGCTTTCACGAGCTGCTACTGAGCTGAAGCCACGGTCCATCAAGTTCCCCTTACTTGGAGAATATCCAGATTGCTTCACGGGTGAAGAATTTGTTGCTTGGTTGAACATCAATGTACCAGGATTTGATGGCAATCTCGATCGGGCTGAAGACGCCGCGAGGGAGCTGACAGAAAGAGACGGTCTCCTTCGTCGTATTGGCGAGTTTGGCAATGAGTTTGAGCATTCTGATGAAGCGTATTATCAGTTCCGACCAAAGGTGGGTGTGGATTTGATATGATGATATTTGAAGCGCTCATTTACGCCACTAGGCTTTCGAACTTGGATCCGAAACAGAAACAGCATCATCCGCGCCGAGGCGTAACCTTGCACCTCTGGCGGATAGCCTGATTAAGCGCTCGAATAATTTCGTGAATGTCGTTACAAAGGCCTTGAACACCAATGCACAGACTGAGCCCACTCACATCAGGCTTCGCGTGGAGGCCGAAGAGGCCGACAAAATTTATCGCGTCGCTGTCAGAAAACTTGACAGACAGAGGCTTGGTCTTGAGGAACGTATCGAGGAAACCTTGAAAACGCTCCAGAGAGGGGAGATGGAGAGGCTGAGAGCCGTCAAGACAGGTAAGCCCTCGTGAATCACATGTCAAGGACATGAATTCAAGTTGTTGCAGTGCTACTTCAGTACCAAGGAACCTTGGCCACCATACCCAAGGCATTCGAACCATCCATTGAACACTCTGCCACTTTGGTTGCCTCATACCAGCCCGACGCGGATTTAACCGCGCTCATGGAACGCTACCGCACCGGTCCCTTCAGACCTGTCCCGCAGCTGTATGAGTCTGTTGCACACGACGAGTCAGATGTAGTCTTTGGGATTGACCTGCGCAAGTGGGCTGAGGGTGGTTGGAACGCACTTACCTCTGGCGAGGAGAAGAAGGACTTGATCCCGCCAGTGCTGACGGCGTTGCTCAATGCGTTGACCGAGACATATGAACGTCTGCCAAATGACTCAGGTAAGTGAAATCTGTCGTGAAGAGGCGTGCAGAGCGTGATACCTGTCCAGAAAAACGAAAAGCCTGGATTTACGAAGTTCCGCTTCCTGCGTTGCATCACCTTAGAGAGGCTCTTAATGCCGTTCCCCCCGAGCAGCCTTTCTCGCTTGAGATGCTTGCCAAGTATGATGCTCCTGTGCTTGCAGGTGGTATCAAGTTATGGGCTCTTGAGCTTGATCCGCCCCTCGCTCTTTGGGAGGGATGGGATGATATCAGGAAACTCTACCCTACAGGTAAGTTGATTCATGTCCAGTCGGCTTTAAAGACTGATAGTGAGGATAGTTGGGTCTGCAAAGGCTTATGGCGACGTTTCGGAAGAACAGCACCTCCAGGACTTGCAAGTGGCTCTTCAGCATCTGCCAAAGGTCCATCTCTATGTCCTAGATGCTATTGTCTCTCATCTCAGAAAGTACGCCTGCTGCATATAGTTTCAAGTTAAATTGCTGACTTGCACCTTAGTTTAATTGAATCGACAAGTGTAGAGGAATCAGATGACATCTACTTCACGAAGTTGGCTCTGTCAATCGGCCGCAGTACGTTCCTAGTTACACGACTCGCAGTACGAACTGACGCAATTTAACAGCGATCATCAAACCCAAAGTGGAGACGGAGCTGTCCATCCAGGACCGCCATCCTACGCGTAAGTGGTTGCTCCATTCATTATGTCCATCATTTCATACTCTAGGCTGTGTAGTTCTGTTTATCGATCTGCTTAAGAACTACGATGATATTCTCCCCCCTACTATCGCCAGGAAGAAGCGGGAGTCCGAGCGACGCATCCCGATCCGGAAGCGCACAGCACCTGTTGACATGCGTATGAGCCGAGGCAGAATCTCTGTCGGTGCTCCATCTCAGGAGATTTTAGCTGCCCAGCAAGCAGCACAGAGAGCCATTGCTCAGGTTCCAGATGCGACAATCCCTGAGCGTGTTCCAGAAGCTCCACGCGCCGCAGTCCACGCTTCACCGATCTCAGAGTCGAAGAGCTTCGATACTGAACCAGAAATATCTGATGCAGCCGTCGAGGAGCGTGAGCAATTTGACGATACTGAACAATCTGTCAGCTCTCCTGCTGTTGTTGAACACGACACGACACCTCAACGTCCAGAGTTCAAAGAGCCACCCCCTGAGTTCGACGAACCCCCCAGGCCTACATTCCGGGAACCGCCCCCAGAAGTTGATGATGTCCCTAGCTCCGGCATACAGCCTACTTCCTTTGTTTCTCCGCCTGCTTCGCCACCCCCTGTGGTGGACGAGAAGCCACCCTCGCCCGCAGTGTCCGTGACACCTGCCACGCCCCACAACCCAATCAAGGCACTCAGGCGCAACTCAGCCATACGCTCTGGCAGTGCATCGCCAGCGCGTAGTCCGTCTCCCCTTGCTTCATCTGCTACGCCTGGTATTCCAGCAGAAGATCAGGTTCTGAGCGCCGGAAGAACTGGGCTGTCAAGGCATTCCTCTGGACAGGCGGCAGTTGTGCGCGGTCCGCGTATATCCCGTGGCCCAAGAGCGGCTGGTGGAGGGAGTGTAAGCAGCATGGTGGCGAATTTGAACAGGAGTTCGATGTCAAAGTCTCCACCTCCATCCCCGAGCTACAAGAGGCTCTCTGGTGGGACAACACGTCCAGGATCGATGCTGGGGGTTGCAGATGGGAAAAGCAAGATTGGCAGAAGTAGCGCTTTCTCCAGGAGGACCATGGCTAGTGATGCAGAGGATGAGGTGGTCGACAGGGTATGAGGTTTGCTGAATGTTCGCATATGAATCGGATCCACGGAACAATGATCTAGCTCAGAATACGCTCTTGATATGTACGGATGCTCTTGACCTGCAATATAACTTATGTCACAGTCGTTTCGACGAGTCCGGTAGCCGCTCCAACTAAAATACCACGCGAAGTTTGCGATGTCTAAGGTACAATTGCGTAGATTAAGGCGAACGAGTACAATGATACAAATGTGGAATACAAATCTCTACAGCGCTCTAGACTTCCTGTGAAGCACCCTCCTTCTTGCCCTTGCTGGTTTTTGTGGGAAGAAGTTCTGGGTTGATAAATGGCACGACACCACCCTGGCTGATGATGACATCACCAAGTAGTTTGTTCAACCTGACCAACACATGAATATCAGATCAATAATGAAATATAACGACTAACTCTTCGTCATTACGAATGGCAAGTTGAAGGTGACGGGGAACAATACGTTGTTTCTGTCTGTGGTTCAACAATTGCGTGCTATGGAGGAATGGATGACACTAACTTTGTTATCACGGGCGGCATTGCCAGCAAGCTCCAGAATCTCAGCAGCAAGATACTCCAAGACAGCAGCAAGGTATACTACGCGATTTCAATTGTCAGCCCAATATTTAAAATCACATGACGGATGTAACGCACCAGGAGCACCAGCACCAACACGCTGTGCGTAGTTGCCCTTCTTCAACAATCTGTGAATACGGCCGACAGGAAACTGAAGACCGGCTTTTGATGAACGCGATTGAGCTTTTGAATCGCTACCGGTCTTTCCAGATGAAGATTTTCCACTGGAGAGAGTGTGAACTTCCTGAGCTTAGCTAGGGGCAGGCATTGTGACTTACGCTTTTCCCTTTCCAGACTACGTGAAAGTCATTCAACTAATGACTCCAGGTGTTGTAGAACGTATGCTCACCATGTTTTTGAACCAAACAAATAGCTAACAGCAAAAATGTGATGTGGTAGAGGGGAGAAGCAAGTGTGGCAAGTCATACAGCTTGCCAAGTGCCTAGACTTTATTGGATTGGATTCGCACTCCGCTCAAAACTGCAATCAACGCGTTCGTGTGTGACACGTGACTGACGCGCCTTTCATTCTCCCACGAAAATCGAACCTTTACGGAAGCGGACTTGAGCCTGCTTAAGAGAGGCAGGGTTTGCTGTGACTTCTAAGTACTGCAAGCCTTGAGGCGTCCACGAGGAAATCGACTCTCAAAATTCGCGTTCACGCCTCTTTGTGCTGTCCTTGATCTCCTGCTTCTCTGCTATTCCTTGTGTCTGGAGAGCCTTGATCGATACGGCAGGCTTTCTGCCAACCCATGTATCCAAGGGATGTTCCCATTGCTACCCAGGCGCCTCAGACGCCTCCGCTTACCCCAACTCACGACCAGGTCCGTATATTTTTTATGACGCCTTAAGGTGACACGTACCGCATGGCTTACCTGCACTAACCTTTCTCAGATAGTCGTTTTATATGTTGTACGTCCTTCAAATCCACGTACTCTTCCATAAACATTTTGTGTTTGAACTCACCCACAGACCGTTGTTTATGCCGTGGTTATATTCGGAATATGGAATATACCAGTCGCACGGACGCTAATTAACCCACTTAAACTCTTTACCATTGGGTGGCATGAGTTTTGCCACATCGTAGCGGTGAGTTTGTCTCGCTGCCAGGCACAGCTCCTGTTTGAACAACGCCGTCCGGTGTCCAGGCCATCCTGACCGGAGGGACCATATCATCGGTCACGATCGATCCTAATTTAGGTGGTAAGCCTGATCCATCCTGATGCCTAATCGCATCTTATAATAAGCACAATGACAGGCGCAACAATTGTCGAGGGTGGCCGTCCACCAATCATACTCGCAGCAGGGTATGTGGGATCGAGCGTCTTTGGTGGCGTCTTTATACTGGCTGGCTTCGATTCTCTTGTCGCCAAAATTCTGAGCTTTGTCCTTGGCCTGGGGCTTGTCACTCCGTTGGTTCTTGTGCGAGACAAGTTGTGAGCTCGAAGAATCTCACCTCGCTTCCACGGATGCTGACTCCGATGCAGGACTATTCTGCTCACATTGTTTTACGAGGGTCTACTTGTTGGCTTCTGGTTTATCGGACATGCGTGAGTGGAGTGATCCGATGACATCGCCTTGGTACTGAAGCCTAAACAGGCAAGCTCTTCGATGGTACTGCTTATTCGTTGGCGTTATGAAGTGTGTATCGATGCTTGGTCTGTCCTAGGAGCTCAAGCTAATGAAAATTGCAATTTTAGCATGTTCTACGTTATTTGTATGCTTCAATTCTTTTCATATGCCATCCATTCGCTTGATTCGTTGTAGGGGACTTGACAGATGACAAGTTCTTTCGAAAAGCGAATGACTCTGACTGCACGCAGTTCAATCTTATGTTTCCACGAATATCTGCACATGGTGATATTTTATGTGGTGGTCCATTGGAAGAAGCTGATTAAATTGCTCAGTGTGGGCTTGTTTCTGGATAATGTTCCAGACGGGAGTATGCATATCATTTCTATTCTTAGGAATAGTTTCGTTCAAGGTACGTTAACACCATTTCGATGTTCGCAAGACCTACAGCGTGCATCTAGCTATCGACAGGGGATATGAATACGCAAGCAGGTGAGTAATGCAACGCAGTCCTCCTTGTAATGGTAGCACTGACTGTGACGCAGCTGTTTTCTTGCCCACATGACGATAGCACAGCTCCACGAGTACGAAAATGACCACACTTGCACTCATTTAGAATTCACGGGCTTTTGTCATTCACATACGGACTTGTACGATCGGAGAGTGGTTCAATCACATGTATCTTTGCTGCACCATTTTCCCCGCCCAGTATCTATACCACACCTGACAATGCGGATTCATACCATCAGTGACATTAATCATTGTCCGTATTTCTGGATGCATTGTTCTCGTCTTCTTAGAACACTTGCTAAATTAATGTAACTATAGCTCTCGCACACTCGGTTCACTGTTAATATAGCTGCGACCTGCTCATGTTACTGGCACCTGTTGTATCGACTGAGCTGGCGTCTGGAGCCATTCGACGAACTTCGTAACGGTGATCTTGGCTAGCGCCAATGTTCGAGCGCTCGTGGACTTCTGTTTTGTACAAGGTCATGGAGTGTCAACTTCAGGTTTGACGGGAGTAGGGAAGGTAGTATATTGCATTGTGTCCAGAATACTCAACGGCTACTGTACATACGGACCCAGTGACCGATATTTATGAAATAGTGTTTTGCGCAAAGGGATAATCGTGATATAGAATATGCATAGTGCAGACAGTACGGGTGACGATGCAAGTGTAAATAGGAAGTCGTGTCAGAGTTCTTCATTTCGATTTACTTGCGGGTTGCTCGCCGTATAAGACCCGCAATGAGGAGGGTGCCGACTGCGGCTACACCGCCCGCAAGTGCCATACCCACGTATCCCTCTGCGCGCCCAGATCAATAAGGCGTGAAAAATACTCCAAAAAATGACGTACCCCGTGCAACACCCTTGTCTATCAGTGATGCTAGACTTTGTGCCTGCAGATTGGTGGGCTCCCGTGAAAGCAGGAGGTCTGCGCATCGAGTATGATATCCAGGTAAGCCAGTGCAAGGAGACGCATCCTCAACATACCGTTGAAGCTTCTTGCTTCTGTGAAGTTGCCCATCTTATAGTATCCAAGTGCTAGGTAGTACAAGCACTCTCGCCGTCTTGACGGCTCTGTGCGGTATATTTCTGTGCAGCGCCAAGTTAGACACTGCGGAAAGGAGACACCGAAGCAATGCGAACCTTGTAGAAGTCGTACACCCTCAACTTGATTCTCGCGTACTGGGCTCTTCACTAACCCCCATGCATAGTTAAATTTAGTCTGGACGGTGATGTGAGACTGCGCAAGCTCCTTCTCGTATTGCAGTCGAAGGACCTATATAACAAAGTTGTAGAAATGCCAACTTAAGTGAAGGGGTGTGCGTACCTCTATCTCGTCATAGGATAGTGAGACTTCGGCGTCAGCAGCGTATGGAAGGTCTGTAGGCATAGTAGAAAGAGTTCAAGTGGACAAATTATTGCCTGGAGTGCGCTACCGTTAGGTAGTGCTTCGGAGGACCCGGCTGACGTAACTTTTTCACATCGCCAAAAGCTTAGACCCTTCCTTCAACACGAACCACATCGAGCAAAAGACTCAAATATGGCAGACACAGCAGGTGAGTTCAGTATCTCATTCTTCATGCGTCATTTTCACGAGTAGGCGCTCAAAAGCCGACTTGTATTCCTCGAGAGGCACTGCTGGAGGTACCTGTTCTTTGCTTCATCTTTTGCCTGGAATTTTTCCTGTGAAAGATGATGGTTCCATGAGAATCGTCCTCTTTTTGCCCCGTGTTTCCTTTTTAGCTAGCTAGGATACAGCAAATGCACCTCCTCGCCGAACTGCTGATCCCGCCAGCAGCATCACACGTTACTCACTACCCATGGTTTTCTTCTTTCTCTAGAGCACAGCTTCCGTGAGGAACGCGACCGCCGGAGGCGTGATGATGGACACCGCGATTACAGGGACCGTGACAGGGATGGCCATGGCCACAGAGATAGAGGGGACAGAGACAGAAACAGAGAACATTTCGGTGATCGTCGAGACGACCGACGCCGTGACTTTGGTGGTCGTGAGTTCGATGACCGCAGGAAGCGTGGCAGTGGTCATGACGGTGACCGCCGCAGAGAACACCGCGAAGAGAACCGCGAGTTTCGGCATGGCCGAGGTCGTGAGGAAGGATCTCCTCGCCGTGGCGGGCGTAAGGGACGGGATGGGCTTGGCACTCCGGAGCGAAGGTCCCCTACACCTGAGGGTGCGGTTCCTCTGACTCAGCGGAGGCGTAAAGCTTCTGGATGGGACGTTCATGCTCCCGGATACGAACAATATTCCGCCATGCAAGCCAAACAAACAGGTTGGTTGAACATCCAGTTCTCCAAGTGTATCTAAATGTCACATTTTAAAAGGTCTTTTCAACCTTCCTGGAGCGAATCGCACACAAGTTCCTCCCATCCTCGGTATCGCTGGTTTGCCACCTCCAATTCCAGTCCAGACTTTTGGCATGGGAATTGGCAGCAACCCGAACTTATCTCGGCAATCCCGTCGCCTCTACATTGGCAGTATCACACCTGAGGTCAACGAGCAAAATCTTGCCGATTTCTTCAACAGCAAAATGATCGAAATGGACATTGGGACCGGTGGCCCTGGAAATCCTGTCCTCGCAGTTCAGTGTAATTACGAGAAGAACTATGCGTTTGTCGAGGTTTGTGCATCTTTTGGCCGGTGCTGAGCATGTTTGACCTCATGTCATTGTAGTTTCGCAGCGCAGAAGATGCAACGGCTGCTATGGCCTTTGACGGCATCATATTCATCAATGGTCCACTTAAAATTCGGCGACCCAAGGATTACGGTGGTGTTGAGATCACTGTTCCTAGTGTCCATGTTCCAGGCGTTGTTTCAACCAACGTCCCCGACTCTATCAACAAAGTGTTTGTGGGTGGTCTGCCTACTTACTTGAACGAGGAGCAGGTACAGGAGTTGCTCAAGAGTTTCGGCGAGCTCAAAGCCTTTAACTTGGTTCGTGAAAATGGCAATGGTCCATCCAAGGTATTCTTCTGCTTCTCAATCCTGATAACCTGTATCTAATCGTTTACATGAGCAGGGATTTGCATTCTTCGAATATGTGGATGCCTCTGTTACTGACGTTGCCATTCAAAGCTTGAACGGCATGGAGTTAGGAGACCGCTATCTAGTTGTACAGAGAGCCTCGGTCGGCGCAAAACCTGGTACACCGGGCATGATTCCAAACCTTCCTTACGACCAATTTCCAGAGATTCCTCGACCCATCATGCCTGCTGGCGAAAGCAACAATGCCGATGCTCGTATCCTTCTTATGCTCAACATGGTTACTCCCGACGATCTCACCAATGACGACGAATATGGCGACTTGTACGAGGACGTCAAAGAAGAATGCTCCAAATACGGGAATGTTGAAGATCTCCGCATTCCTCGGCCGGTCAAGAAAGACAAATCGAAATGGGCTCCTGGAGAGCCTGGACAGCAGACTGCGATTGAAGCTCAGCGCGCAGATGAAGCGGCGGGTGTTGGCCGTGTGTATGTCAAGTATGTTGATGCCGAAGGTGCACAGACAGGTCTCAAGGCGCTTGCTGGGCGGTCCTTTGCTGGACGCTCTATCATCGCTACAGTCTTGAACGAGGATAGTCAAACGACGCCCCCACTTAACCTGATCTTTGCCCCTCAGCCAGATGCTCCTCCTCCGCTCCCCACCTCTTGATTGATCACTCCTGTTTGGAGGTCGGAAGTGATTATCTAGTTGCTCAGTCGTATGTACGTCCTGTACCGTTTCTGATGTTGTTCCGTACAGATGCTTTGATTTCATTCCAATGAAGTGCCCGATGGTCTCGCGGTGTCATTATAGAGGGTTTGATCGATCGCTAGTCTGTTCCTTCCGTTTGTCAAGCTTGGATTCCTTGAGTCCGTTTTTCACCTCAACGTTTAGAAGGCATTCGATCACAGTACGTGAGCGAATGATATACGCTGCCACCCTTAGACAGCACGCATCATCAATGTCGTGTATCCTGTTGAAGAATGACATTGCTCAACCCATAGGTTACGTCAATTGCGTTCGGTGGTGTCCCTGCTCTCATTCGCAACGGTGGTAGATAATTACGGGCCCGTATCACACAGATAGTAACTAGCGATGGCATATTCGCAAAGGGCTTGTGCATCTCATTTCACTCGTAGTCGACAGGAGGTCTGCCATGTCGCACCACCAATGATGACTAGTACTTCTCGACAGAAGCGTTGGCTGCAAGTATCAGGGTGGCAAATGCGGAATGGCCATCCCAAAGAACTTATGACTTGCTTATCGTGTGTGCCTCGACCATCACTATCATTCTGTCGGCTCACCCCTCCCCCGGTCTCTCCACCACATGGCTGCTTCGGCGGGATTACTTCTTACATGGTAGCGGCACCACAAAACCACGTTCACCAGGGTTCCGTGTGGGTTGCTGTAGACTTTGTGCGCTAAGATAGCTGGCAGGAATGATATACATGTGGAAGGCGACCCCACTCCGGAGCATTTGCAGCTGGAGGCGCGCAAGGGGACCTGAACGTATGTACTCTGCTCTAATTCTGTTAATATATAGTGGTTGATTTTACAAGCACGTGACGAACGCGTCGCGATCGAGTCTGTTTATCTCCCGCATACAAACTTTAATTCTCTAGGGAAATTCCAGGAGTATAAATACGGCGTTGCCAATGTTTCTCTCTCAGTTTATCCTTGTCTACCTGTACCAGCATATTCTTACGATCTTCATTCTTCTCAACCACCATCTGCCATTATGACACTCTCTACAGCCATGACCATCACTGCTCGCGTCGCCGTCACTGGCTTCCTTTCGCTCTCTTGCTTCAAACGGGCTGTCGTCGACAATACCGCTCAGGTCCTGTCTAAAGCAGAGAAGACTTCCGCTGGCCTCGTTGTATACTCTGTCTGCTTGTCGACGATTACGCTGGTTCTCGCCGCCGACAAAGCTGCACAGAGGATCCTCAGCAACGATCCCAAGCATAGGCCCGCCACTTCAAAGGATGACAACGACGACTCTCTTCCATCCATTCATGACACCATCACCTCCCTCGCACCTCAGCCTGTCGAACCATCTCATTTGCAGCCATCTCTGTCTCCATCTCAATCGCATTTAATCGAATCGGCGGAAACAATATCCGTCCCAATTTATACTTGCACGCCTAATGAAAAGACCACTGTAAAACCTTATAATTTGCAGCCATCTCTGAATCCATCTCTATTGCGTTTAATCGAATCGACGGAAATAACGTCCGCCCCAATCATGGGTTCTAATATCTGTACGCCTTGCATTACTCTCACTTCACCGGACCTATACTGCAAACGCCTTTCTATCGATTCCAGCACCACTCTTGTACCCCATGACGACGACTCGGTTACTCACGTCTTCTCGGACGATGATGCTTCGGATGCCAACGACTGTGAGTCGTTTTGTGACGAAAGCACTATCCACGAGGTAAGACACAGCATATCATCGAACTCCACATTACCTGACGTTCGAATCTCTAGGACGATCGTTCTGAACCACAGCCTCAGGAGGACCATGCACTAGAACCTATGTTTGTCACTCTAATTGCCAAAATGACAGCTCTCACTCTCGATGACCCGCCTCGTCTTTCCAAACTTCGACCACTCATTCTAGTCGATCGCCGCCACAAGGTATCTACCATCCATTGTGCTCCGCTTCCTGCACCCGCATACTCTGTAGACGCATTGGCCCGACGTTTGGAGGCACCCTCTCTCTCCGATACTCCATCTACCGATCCTGGCGTCGTTTTTCCTGAACCCAGGTGTTCCATCGATGCGCTGACTCGAAATATGGAAGTGCTGTTTCCCAGAGATCGCCCGTCTTCCACCTCGAAGCTGAAGCCTCTGATACTGGTTACGAAGCACGCCACCCCACACTTCAAGCTGGCTCCTGTCGCAACTAGTCTGCTTCGACATCCACGCAGAGCCAAATGTATTGGCCTTTCTCACTAAACCCTACGGTCTGGGCACACCCTCACCCCAAGTGATTCAAGACCACCTCCGCGCTACTGATAACATTGAACTACCCTCCGATACCAGGTCTCCTACGACCAATCCGGACGACGGCCTCCTTCTGTCCCCTACGACCCGGAGCTTCACCGCCCAAGAAGTCGAAGGCCACTTTCAGTCTACACATACTACACCACGTCGCGATCGACACCAGAGGTCCCCTGCGATCCACTTTCGACGACAAACTAATCGGTTTTCACTACCCCCCACTACACGACATTCTACTGTATAGACCGCCGCCACGCTCACGCACGCATCTACAAGAACAGGCTGCTTCGCGTTTCCTACTCTGCTGCCTCTTTGATCTGTATTCTCACTCGACTGGTCGGTTTCATCATAGACTCATCTCTGGCATGTAGGGTTTTCGTTTCATACTTCGATTCGTTTTTCTCTTGACTTTTACGAGACAGACGTCGAACTCATCATCTCATCACGGACTTACTTCACTAGCATGTATCTTTCATTTCCTTCTTTACAGAGAAGTCTGCTTCAATTTGTACTCTCATTTACCAGTACGACACTGGCTCGTTTAGTTTCCTTATCTCCTCTCGCGATGTATACTTATTTCATGGTTTTGTTACATTCATTTTGTACATGCAATGATGCATGATTAATACTATTCGCTTCGAATACAATTTATGTTCTAAGGACTTGCTTCGGGCTGTAGTTGCATATATACCCTTTGTTGGTGTTAAAAAAGCCTGTCGTGCGTACTAGAAAATTTGCGCCCTCTTCACGATAAATCATGCCGCGCAAAAAAAACCGTCTCCAAGTAAAAATGACGATGTGCATATCAATTAATATTGTACCAGGCACTTCGACGCGGTTCATATAGGGGTGGGTCGACCAGCTCTACGATCCTCACGTCTCTGCTCCAGCTAGAACATGGTCAGCACAAAGGTTTCACAGACTTGACAGGGATGCCAGTATCTCACCCACGCCTTCTTACAGTCCCGATATGCCTGGAAGAAGTCCATACAATTGTCCCGGTTATAGTCGTTGCGGTCCATGCAGCTTAAAGATGCTTTTGCTGCTTGTTCGCATGGACTGAGCACCGATACAACAAGTTTATTGAGGAAGGAGGGTGTGCAAGAAGGAAACGCACTCTGTATGTTGGGTGTATGATTGTCGGGCCTGTCATTACCGTGAATGCGGACGACTAGTTTGAGATGGCATGCGGGAAGGACATACAGCAAAAACATCTTTATAATCCGCAGGCTTCACATTATCCTGTGGCGAATTCGAAGGCGACGGAGTAGGCATGACAAAATATTGTGCAAGGACCGTACAAAGCGAAGCAAATAACTTCGTTGACAAGATGTTGCGATGTCAAATAGTCATCGTGTAATATCTCAGATCTCAGAGTCGTTGCTCTTATTTCGCAGTATCACAGATAGACTAACAAGGATCATTGACAATCCAAACCGATTGTGATACGAACTACAACAAGTACTATAATCTCTTAAGGATCTTCCACTGTTCCAAAGAGATATATTGATATTTTGCATCATAAGAAAAATGTTTTTCTTGTCGTCTCAAGCTCAGGCTACAGAACAATTAGCACAATGTTTGTGAACAAGTAGACAGCATGTTACCTTCCAACGCCAGATATATTCGTTATCTTTTGGAGGGTTGCTCACTGGAACGGGCTCAAGCGGCCTCATCTCCGATTCTTCGTCTTGTTCTGGCATGGGCGTTTCTTCTGGAGGTCCAGGCAACTCCTCGGTCCCGACACTGATCTCTAGGGCATCCGGCGATGCCCCAAAGTTTTGAACTGCTGGCAGCCCTCTTTTGACCCATCGAAGTTTCAAAGTGAAGCGAGGCCCGATTTCTTGCAGAGCAACTTTCTCAGGCGAACGGAAAGCATACCTAATCGTTTCGGTTGAGAAGCCTATTCATTCAATTCTTGTGATCTCCCTTACCGATGACGTCTGAAAAACAAAAAGTCACGCTGGTTGTGAAGCGCTACTACTTGTCGCCCCTGGAATTCAGGTAATGGCGGGAATAAAGTCTGGAACATTCGTCCAACATTATGTCCCAGAGTAGTTGAGAAATTATTGAGAACAAGCTCGGGATTGTGTGGCGTTGCTCTTGCGTGACCCTGAATACAGGTCCGTTATTTCTGCACCAGTGATAAGATGGAAGGCAAGCTCACATATATCTGTTTTGTGAGTTCTATAGATGTAAGTTTGAAATAAGCCATAGGACCATTAGGGAGATACACCAAGGTGATAGCGTCTGGACAATGCATCAGTCTTCCGTAGCAAAGATTGCCGAGACGACAAACTTGGCTTCTTCATGTCCTCGTTCACAACAAGCAGATGCTTATAACCACGGCCAGCAGCCCAACCGGCTATTCGACCCATCTCAAAGCCTTTTCCCTTTTTCCGCCGTATAAATTCGGCACCTGGAAATACTCCTACCAACTCATCACAAAACTCATAGGTGCCCTTCGATGCTTTTGCAGAGGTTGTAATGAGAACCTTCGGGGGGATGGTTGGATCCTGCGTGAAGTTGAAATAGTCCGCAAAAGGATCGGATGCGATATCATTAGAAAATTCCACATGCTGGGCAGACGAAGGGCCAGCTGCAGAGAGCATAGCTGGGTCTGCCTCGCGGGTATTATCGAGCGTGCGAGGTACATTTTCTGAAATACGTTTCTGATGCAAATTCAGCTGCGAAAGGAGGTACAGATGGATCGTTACACGTACTTTCTTTGCTGCCGGGTCATTAGCTTCGACCTTGGCCTGATCAAGCCTTTTCTGTAGTTTTGCCTGGTTTTTGCTCTTTTTCAGCTTGCGCGTAACCTCTTCTCTTTTTATCTTGTTTTTGATAGACGACGGTTGAAAACGTGCGGGAGCCATGGTATGAATGATGAAATGATTCGCAGGACGTGAAATTTCTGAGTATGGGACACGTGACCTCCAATCTTCTTCCTGAACTTCATCCGCTCACCGAACAACATGTTCGCGTTTCGCCTCTCGGTGCTTCTGCCATTTTTCTTTCTCTTAATAACGACAGTCAATGCCCTTCATTTTTACTTGGATGCGAACGAAAAGCGATGTTTTGTGGAAGAGCTACCATCAGACACGGTGGTCGAGGGTAAGCGTCTTCGTCACCGGTCAGGAGCAGCTCGAATGTCTTACCTTGCATTATAGGGCACTACAGAGCGTTAGAGTGGAGTGACGGCACACAAGCAATACAATCTGAATGAGGAATTAGGTATCATAGTTGAAGTGGAGGTAAGTCCCAAAGGCGCTTTTACGACAACACGTCTCATGCGCAGTTTCTGTCAATAGGAAATGGAAACATCGCACGTTGTCACAAAGACGAGAGGTCCATCTGACGGTCGCTTCACATTCACATCCCACGAAGCAGGCGACCACTCCATTTGCATCTCCACCAACTACACGTCATGGTGGTCAAGCACGCACATCAAGCTCTATCTCGACATCGTCGTAGGATCCACGAAACCAGACATCGAGAGCGACCGTACTCACATCGGCGAACTTTCCAGCAAACTTCGCGACCTCAACCAAAAACTTGACGAAATTCGGAGGGAACAGCAGTACCAGCGGGAGAGGGAGGCGGATTTCCGAAACTTGAGTGAGAATACGAATTCGAAGGCTGTTTGGTATAGCGTGTTGCAGATTGGAGTGCTTATTGCTACGTGCACGTGGCAGTTGCGACATTTGAAGGTGAGTGATGCGGTGTGTTTTTCTGCGTGCTGCGAGTTAATGTGTGGTTTCTTAGCGTTTCTTTGCGGATAAACGATAGCCTATTATGTTATAGTAGACTAGCGGTCATTTTGAGATTACCCCTGCTGTCGTCGAGCGGATCAAATTCAAACGAGTTAATCGCCATGGACGTTTATACACGACAAGGCAATGAAATGTTAGAGAAAGTTCAAGGTACCTGGGGCTGTGAGATCACTGACATTTGCCTTTGGCATATGGCAATTAGCTTAGTAGGGCCCAGTTAAACTGTTTGGGATATGTCAGGCACATGCGATCAGTATTGACATTGGCAATATCGTGGAGTGCCGCTGCGTTTTCTCTGATATAGTTTGACAAGAGGGTCGCCAATCGTGTGCCCAGTACTTGTACTTCATAGTACATACACTGTAAGCTTCCTGCGGCCGCCTATAATAGGACACTAAGAACACCGCTATGAACGAGCAAACGAATTCGATTGGTTGACACTACCCCCATTAAAAAAAATGAAAGGTACCACGTGCTGCCACCTGGCAAAGTAACATGTCCAGGTGGGTTCTGTCTCACAGGTTCCTGAGCTGCCATCTGGGTGTGTGCAATCAGTGAAAAGCCTGAGGGACCATAAAAAGCTCGATGTTCTCAATTCCAGGTCCGAGTGTCGACGATCGCAGTACTACTACCAGAGACACCATGTCCGAGTCTCTTGATCACAAGCGCAATTTTGAGGATACGGGATCAGCGCCATCAGTCGTAGACGCAAGCGACCTCCCGCGGAACTCTGTTCGCCCTCCAATCGACTATTCTTCTCCAGCTGCTTTCACGAGCAGTTCCTGGACTAGGTGGAAAAGTTTATGGACTAGGCGCTTCACACTCTCGTTGTTGGCTGGACAGGTGGTTTCTCTGTGCATAACAGTGACCAATGTCACGACGACAGAGCTGGTATCTAGGAATTGGGTGCTGCCGACTACACAGACATGGTTCTTGTACGTGTTTTGATTCTTGTGGTGATCTATGACGCCTATATTTGTTCTTGCAGGTACTGTTCGTTATTTCTCGTTTACACGCCGTATACCATATATAAATGTAAGTATGTCCGTTCTATTCTTGGTCGATGTTGACGACAGATGAATATTGAAGATGGTCTGAAGGGTTGGGGTCAGATGATATATAGGGATGGGTGGAAATGTTCGTGACATCATCATCATCCCCACCGGTAAAAGATTCTGACACCCTATAGATTTCATCCTCGCAGCCTCTGATGTGGAGGGTAACTTCTTAGTCGTGAAGGTAAGCGTATATCTTCACTCATTTCGATCGCATCAATTATCGTGTTTTATCGAACAGGCATACAACTATACCGATTTACTATCTTGCATGCTTCTCGATGCGTGAGTCGCACTCGGCCGCTCATATGCATACTGCATCTCACCGAATCTGTCTTAGTTGGGCAATTCCTGTTTGCCTGTTCTTTTGCTGGGTGTACATGCGTTCGAAGTATCATTGGACTCAGGTGTTGGTGAGGAATCATCGATATGTAGCTGTTTCCATGTCTAAATAGGTACACACAGGGTATCCTAGTGTGTATCGGAGGACTCGGCATGCTAGTATCTTCAGACATGCTCACAGACAAGAACTACCCTGCATTAAGCAAGGGAAAGGGTGACGCCTTCATGATCGTTGGAGCGACACTTTATGGCTTTAGTAAGTTATTCTTCAGGTGAATAAATTGTCGTATTGACGACGGTCATCAGCCAATGCCACAGAGGAGTTCTTTGTGAGGAGATCGCCGCTCTATGAGGTGAGTGAGGCGTGTTTAATGGAGGATTGCGTATCTTACCCTGGCAGGTCGTTGGCCAGCTTGGTATGTGGGGAACCTTGATCAATGGGATCCAGGCTGCTAGTTTGGAGCATGTGGATATGACTACGGCCTCGTGGAATGGTGCTACGAGTGGGTCGTTTTTGGCACGATATAATGTGGGTTTTGGCTGATTGTGTTCTTCAGTTGGCTTCCTTGCTGCTTACACAGCTGGTTGGTTTCTACTAAATTTTAGCTTGATCCTCATGCTGACACTCGTTGACAGCAATGTTTATCCTCTACACGGTTGCTCCCCTGCTATACCGCATGGCGTCGTCACCTTTCTACAATATCAGTCTGCTCACGAGTGACTTTTATGGTCTTCTTTTTGGTACGCTACCATCCTCTTTGCTACTTCTCTTAGGACGACTGATGATTGTATGTCAACAGGCCTCTTTCTTTTCGTGAGTGTTACATATCTGCGAGGTTGATGTGCACTTATATTTTTGCAGCACTATTCGCCATACTGGTTATACTTCCCTGCTTTCTGCGTCGTCGTCGTCGGCCTCATCATCTACTTCTGGCACGCTACGCGTAAGTGTCTTAGTTGTGTATGTCTGAATGGTCATTAATGCGGTACATTAGCTGAGGAGCAGGGTAAGATCGAACCTCAAGCTCCGGCATATATCCGAAGGATGCACATGGATGACCAGGTTTAGCTGGATACCTGCAGTGATACCCTTATGCGAAACTTTTAAACGATTAGTGTCAACAGGGAGTGAGCGTGCATCATTATATAGTAGTTATTTACAATCTCAAAATCCAATTAAAAGGATAATGAGGGAGGGGTGATGATGTACAAATGTACTGTACAGTTGTTTGATTTAAACATATCGACGAGGTTCTTTCTTTTGCCTCTCGAGTTCTTCCTCGTAGTTTTTTCGTTCTTGTTCGCGTTGAGTCTTGTGCTGGGCGAGTTTCTGCAGGTTGATGCTGAGAAACTGGATCTGGGGAATGAACAGGAGGGCGTACGGTTTTCAGTGCTTCCACGGTAGAGACGATGGACTCTAGAGTGGTTTCAGACATATCGAGCATCTTTAAGAAACAGATATGAGGAGAGAAACTGTATATCATTTTGTTCAACTCACCGCATCCTCGGCGCGCTTCTGAATCTCCTTGAGACGTTCCTTGTCCTCCTCCCACTCTCGTTGATTCCAACCCGCGGTTCCATCATCATTGCGGTTAGGCTGACTCCTATAGATGAAGTTCCACCTATGTTCCTGAGGTGCTGGCCCAGGAGCGTCAGGTTTGGAGTAGACAGGGGGAGTAGATTGTTCGCCGCTCCCTTCTACGCGAGGTGCTTGCATGACGCAAGGAAAGTACTGTGCACGGTGTTCGCGCATATGGCGACTGCAATTCCAGAAAGTAGCAGCACCTGCGCCGAGAATGAACCAGACGATGCGCGATGGACCACGAAAGTAGTAGCGGTGATGGTAAGGGTACATGTTAGTCAGGAGGAAAGATGATGTTGATCAAGTAGAGAAGCATCAGAGTGGGTGCAGCGATTTATATAGTCTCGAATACTGTGCGCCGTCATGGTCACCGTCGACGAAATCACTCGGCCTCTGACGCGCATGTTCGGCGCCTGGGTCATCCATGACAAAGCCGATTGGCTCGGACAATGCCGGTCCGGCGGCGCAAGGACGCGTCGCGACTCGGCAGACATCATACCTTCCGGGAATTAATCCTGCTATTTCGATTGTTACTGTTTCAGTTTGCGATGCCCAGGCCAATGTTGACTTAAATTGCTCGTACGAGTAGTATCATGCGCCGCTTTCCTTGCACCCCTGAGTGCCAACAGCCCAGGTTCCAACGTCGTACTATGAGGCCGCGCCAAGGCTGTGGGGATGAGACACCTACTTCACCCAATGGTATGTGGATTGATTATCGCTAAACACGTGACGTAGTCAATTATGATATTGATACAGGGTATATTAGGTCTGCCTAGCCTGAGGGGAAACGCATCAGATACAGCTGTCGACGATAGGAACGTAGTAAGTACAGTCAAAATACATCAAAACTCCAGTCTAGTAAGAAACGGAACAGCCACAGTCGAAGCATGATCAAGGGTAAATTGATCGCAATCAATTTTGTTTACAACCACTTCCTGAAAAAGCTGCACCTGATCAGCCGTGAAATTATCGTATAATCTGAGGCGGAGGTCGCGGACGGGGACATCATATTGGGCTCGCTTTTTAAGAGATCCAGAAGGTCTTGAAGTTCATCACCTTCGAACGAGATACCTAGGAGCTCCAAAACACGGAGCGAAGGATACGTCCCATTTGATTACCCTTCAATCCGGAGCGCAGCGGTTAAGCCTTCGATAAAGTCTGAGCACCCCTCCACATTGATGTATTTGAACTCCCCAGAAAAGAAGGTTCGACGTTTGCGTTGCGCGATGATATTACATATATCGAAGATGATGTTTGTAGCAGATAGGCCGTTTGGCTGAACTTCATCGTCTTCATAGTAGAACTGGATCGAGAGTCGTATGTCATCATCTTGAGGATTCCAGGAATAGTCGGAATTGATCTCCATTGACGTGCTAAACTGGACAGAAAAACGCCATGGCTTGAATTTAATGGCACGCAGCGACCGAAAGACGGGACCGGATCCATCAGGATGCTTATTCATGACCGAAAACAAATCAGCAAAGGTTGAGGGCCCTTCAATTGATGAGAGTTGTAAAGCAATCTTGACGTCGACGGGAAGGGCTAGCCGTTTGAAGAGAGACACAGCATTTTGGAGCGAGGTCCCGTCTAGCACTATATTTTTCAATCGAGCGAGTGGCACTCTATCAATGAGCGTTGATTGGTCGGATTCTGGTAACTGGAGCTGGAGCGTAAACTGCTCCAGGACGGGTGTACGTCGCAGAACAGAAAGGATGTCTGGTAAGGACGTTTTCCTTACACATAGAGCTCGAAGCCCACAGAAAATGTACGATGACCATCTGGGATTGCAATAATCGACATCGAGGTGCCGAAGTAGGGGTGCTTGTCCTTGGAAAATGGTGTTTGATATGGACACCGTTGGAAGAAGGTTACATTCGACCGAAAATTTGAATGTTTCAAGCATCGGTGCAGGTTGAGATGATAACAGATTCATCACGCGACCGACATTATATGAGTGTGCGCGTAATTCGAGGTATTTGATGCGGGGCAGGTGTAAAAGGACTTTCTCCAAGAAATTGTCTAGTGAGATCGAAAATGGATTATAGGTGACGATCAAAGGAGCCTTCTGCGACCTCTCAAGCATGACATCTAGCCAAAGCAAAGAGGCAGAACTGATGAATGTCCAAAGAGTCGGGCACTCCAGAGCGACTTTGCGCCAGTGTCTGCAGACGTGTGTGACTACTAGACAAGCAGGGACACCACCGGGGACATCGCTTGCAGATTCGTTATCATGGCTATCGTATCCATTGAGACGCTTCTCTTCTTCGAGGTGTTTGAAGATTGTCAAAAGAATCTCGTCTGGAAGGCGCGAGATGATGGGGACTCGATCATTTCTGCAAAACCGAAGGACGCGCATCGACTCGTTTAATGCAGCAAAGATGTGCGACATGAGGAATCTGTAGGACAGAGTTGTTGTCAGTCGAAACCTCGGTCAGGTGCGAGATTTACCTTTTGTGGCTTGACAGGAGGTTTTCAAAAGTCAGTGTTTACTACGGATTCAAGCAATAAGAACAATAGCAATGTTGTGCGGGTCTAGATTAAATAGATACTCTCAGTCGTAACACGCGATAATGCAGACGCCTGGTATATTTACCTATATAAAAACAGCTTTAGAATGGGTTAACTGTGAAGTAACAGTAGAATACCCTACCTTGGTCGTAGCACGATAAAACAAAGGTCTGCAGAGTCTAGAGTGATGAGTTACTCATCTGCGGAAGCTGCTTAAATAGATGGAAAGTTCAAGTTTGTGTAGCTCGGACCGTCGGGGAGTGAAAATATTGGACCTGCGGATACAAGGTAACAAAAGATTCAGTAGTCGTAATAAATAAATCATGTAACAAGAGCACATGATGCCAAGTAGGAATCTGACGACACCAGGAGAATATTTAGAATCCTGTCAATGGACTTGACCAAGACTCAGCGGATGCTTGCACTCGTCCCGGGATCTGAATTTCAAGTATTGATATATAATTAACATTCTCGGACGATGATACCAAGTTCAATGGCGTCGTACCTGCTTCTATCTTCTCGCCTTCTAGCGCATTGAGTGATGAGCACTGTTAGTACTCGGACGATGCACGTAGGATGCGTTGTTATTACTTCCATGCGATGCTGTAGAGCGAGTCTGACGCTTTGCTGCGAACGCTGGCGGTTGACGACTACTCCTCGTGGTCATGCTCTCTACACCTGTCCCATTGACCTCGTCCACTAAGTAGAGGCGTGGCATTGCCTGTAAGAGATCCAGAAAATCAAGGTCAGGTTCTGTGGTCTCTGAATGTTTTTGTGTCGCATAGCTTATAAGTGTTGGCGTACACAAGTTCAAAAGGTATGGTTGTGGGGCATTCCTGAGGCGCGATACGGACCGATTGACCATCGGGTATCATTGCCGAGTGCATGGAGTGAAACAAGGGCTAAATGTACCAAAGTTTGCTCGAGAATCAACATGAGAGTCGATGTTAGCAGCGGTCATACATCGACTGGGTATCTATAAAAACATGAGAGGAGAAGACTGTAATTTGATCATGTTTCGCACATGCAGGCAAAAATGGAACACGCCATTCCGAGTATCGTTCATGTCGATGACGTGTGAGGTCTGAATGAGATTCATAGACCGTGCAGCTGCAATACTATCGACAAATTGACGAGTGACGGTGCGAGATACGAGAAACTTCACGAGGTGCTCGTATGATATCGATAACACACCTCGTCACCCTTGCTGACACCTATTTGATGAGCTGCTACGTATCAACTCTATTGCATGTTAGAAGCGATATGGCAAGTGTCATTATCCCTATCTGACAACCTAGTCTTGAAATCACATATTTGGTCACAGTGGCAAGGTGTGGTGAGGGATTCGGTGCTGCTCCAAGCGGTAAACAAGATACAATCAATGATGAAAATGTCGATTTGTTGACTAGTTTCAACATGGTAGTATACGTGAATGTTACCATCAGGTAGGAAATTGACTGTTGAAGGGTTCATGGTTGAAAAGTCGTATCACGGAGGATTGATAGGATGTCCAAGAGAGAGACAACTTGCTGCGGGCACCCACGATGGCAAGGCATATGAACGAGGCCCTGAGCCGGAAGGCACTTTATGTGCGACTGGAATATGAAAAGATTTGACCCATCACATCAATGTCAAAGCTGTCAGAAGTCAGAAGAGACAAGTGAACATCGATGAAGGCAGGATCCATTATAACCTTCAATATTTGACTGGCTATGGTGGATCATGTCGCCATGAGGTGAAATATTTGAACTCAGATACCTCGACCACTCTCAGGTTGGCTGGAAAGATTCTGGAAGAAATCTGTCACCGGAGCTGATATAACCGCACTCTGTGTATAAGTTGGCTTAATTTTAGTGATGTGAGGCACGATTATCTGGTCAACTCACTCACTGACTACATAAACTATCGCCGTGAGTGGCCAAACATTATTACTGGGCTTTCTTTGGAAGTGTTCTGTAGACCTTGTTTTGTTTGGAGCCTTGGCAGGTAAACTCTGGAGGAACCACGTTACACCAGATGTCGTTTACGTTGAAGTGCGATATGGAGCAACTGCCCTGGCGCAGAAAGCACCGACGTCGGACTCATATCTCTATGAGTTACAAACCTGGTTCCACATGGAGTTTTTGTCTCCATAAAACCTCCCACGACCTAGTTCTACAAACCTCCACAGGCTATATGGCGCAACACAAGTTCGGGTTTTGTGAGCATCGACGTCAGCTAATAGCCTGAGGTAACGATGATTGGCAGAAAAGGTGGTTACTGTGACGCGTGACTTATTGTCACGTTCGTGATCCTCGTTCTTCAGTAGACCTCACTGCTTTTGCACCGTTCTCCAGCTGTGGTGCTTCTAGCTTGCTTTTGTTCTACTTCATCGCTTCCCGGAACATAAATCTACTAGGTTCCGCATGAAAATCGTCAAGGATCTCTCTCAGAACTGTTCCAATTAACTTTGGGGGTACTAATCATCGTAGTCAGGCCTGCCTGGGATCCGTTATGTCGTTTGATTCAGAAACGGCTCGTCTGCGCAAAGAGCACGATGGTTCATCTCATCTCGGTGGTTCTATTTATGCTCCACCGACAACCACTACTCGCCTACCTGATCGTCCCCTTTTTCCTACAAGAGCTTCTACCCTTGGCTCTACCCAGGACCTCAACCGTAATAATCTTTCCGTGAAGCATGATCTAGTCCCTCATGCTTATAGTGATGACTTGAATCATGCCCACTCGAGCAGGCCTTATGATTCAAATGGTATCCCCGCTTCTCTCCCGCCTCCATCTCCCGCCTTTCGTTCGCGTAGTCGTCCTACCACTCCCAATGGCTCCACTCCGTATAATCTTGTCTCATACACCGAAAGGAATGTAGAGTTGAAGCGTCGAGACAGTGTAATCTCATATTCCTCCGGACACTCTGCGTCCTCCAGTTCTAGTTCCCCAAACAAGACTGGTCCCATGACATCCACTTCCTCTGCGACATCCACTAACATCTCACAATCGTGAGTCCGCCATTCCCTCTACAAACACTTCCACAGTAGTCTGTGGTTTCGATCCATTATCTGACACTTCTTCCCTGTAGACCTTGCTCCGCATGTGGAAACACGATGCAAGGTGCTTTCGTCCGCGCATTAGGCACTGTATACCACTTGAACTGCTTCAAATGCTTGGTATGAACATCTTGACCTTTCAGATACCCAGTTCCGCTTATAATTTGTTAGGATTGCGGCGATATCGTCGCGTCAAAGTTCTTTCCTATTGATGGGCCTGATGGTAAACAACATCCCCTCTGTGAACGGGATTACTTCCGTCGCCTGAATCTTATATGCGCCAAATGTGGACTTGCTCTCCGAGGCAGCTATATTACGGCATGCAGTTAGTGGTTCTACTCGTCGCCCCTTTCTTGCTAATTAATATCCCTATACAGACAAGAAGTATCATGTGGAACACTTCACTTGCTCCCTGTGCCCAACCCTTTTTGGCCCACAGGACTCCTACTATGAGCACGATGGGGACGTTTATTGTCACTTCCACTACTCGACACGTTTTGCGACAAAATGTGCAGGTTGCAGCAGCGCCATCCTGAAGCAATTCGTTGAGATAAATCGCAACATGAGGGACGAGTGCTGGCATCCAGAATGTTACATGATCAATAAGGTTCTCGTTCTAGGAGGTCGCAATCTTATATCAATTCTCATTCAGCCTTACAGTTTTGGAACGTCAAAGTAGTTTCACGGAGATCGAGCGTGTTGATTAATGATGGGTCGGAATTGGAGCCATCCTACGTCGAGGAAGAGAAGCGTGAAACTCCCACTACATTGAAGGACAAGCAAATCAGGATGGAGCAGCTGGTCTATCGCATCTGGACGTGAGTACTCCCACGTGGTCTGAAACACAACTGATCGTCTACATTACAGGGTTCTCTCGGCGTTCGAGGAATCAAGCGCTGCGTGTATATCTGATATGCTACGACAGGTCAGCAACGGACAATATCTTGATGCCATCAGGATGGCCGAGAAGTTTATTCTACATGTGGAAGTCTTATTCGGCACCATCGATGACCTCGAATGCCATTCCGCTAGGCTTAACTTGAAAGGTGCGTGTATGTTTCGTGTTATATCCCCGGTATTGCTTATATGGTTTGAAGGAATGTCTCATGTCCGAGAAGCCCGCATGCTTTGCCGAAAAACGGTTGATCTGTTCACCCTTCTTTCACGTACCCAGGAAACTGGGTCGCGCAGAATGGGGATGACTCAGGAACTACTTGCACTCGTGACAGGAATAGCCCATTACCTCAAGATCCTCATTCGAATAGCATTAACGGGCGCACTAAAACTGGAGAGGGAACAAAGCGTCCGAGAGGCTATGCCATCATTCCTCGATAAGTTACATTTGCTCGCGGTGCAAGGTGGCGACCCAGCGGCTCGCCGGATCATTAAAGGTGGAAGTGGTGAGGTTATGAGAGGAGGAAATATTGGCACACAGGGTGTCACTTACGGCTTCAGGAGTCTGGCACCAGAACATGCAGGAGAATCCCCGTTCACAGCGAACTCGCCATCTCGGTTGACAGTCACCAATCCGCCTTCAGACCGGTGCGTCAAGTGTACAGAAGCAGTAGAAGAAGACTGTGTTCGGCTGGGAACTTATCAGCGTTGGCACTCCCAGTGTCTGCAATGCGCCAGGTGTGACAAGGTAGCTGCTATTCCGGCACCGAAAGAGCCGACGCCACTCAAGTCCCCAGAAGATAAAGACAAAGATAAAGAAAAGGAAAGGAGCGAAAAGGACCCATCGAAGTCATCTTCTGTTCGAAGACCACCGGCAAATGTCGGCATCTTTGTGTACGAGCTTGATTCGGTCAAGGACATCCCTTCATATGGTGAAGTGCCTACCGTTATCCTGTGCACAGACCACGTGCATCCAGGGTGTCGAGATGGATTCCAGGCTGTATCTCGGCTGGAGCAGTATGCGTTTCTGCTCAACATTGCATTGCGTAGGTTGTACCTGGTTTTAAAGCAACAGGGCGTGGTTCCTGTGTCACCAGGTATGTTCCGATCTCTCATACTCGATGTTCTGGATCGTAAGCATGTATTGTCAGTTGCTTCTACGACGCCAAGCATCAACCCCAAGTCAGGGGACCAAGATCCCTATCGTAACTCTGGCGATATAATGCGCATGAAATCCGTACATCTGGATCGAAAGCTATCTGCTACAGCACGGCTACCCAAACGATCGACAATCGTGGAGAGTCCATCAGGCAAAACAGTCCAGCCCTCGGAGCCACTGCATGCTCAACGATCGCAACAAGATATCAAAACCCCACAACCTCAGAGGGCCCCTCCACCAGGGACGCTGGTTCCAGGGCGTCAGCCCTCCCAGCCTGGCTCCTCGGGGATACCATCACAACCTCCTTCACGGGCGCAAACTCGTACTCCTGGTACACTGGATACAAGTTATCAAGCGCAAGTAGTTCGTTCCACTATCGGACGGAGCAACACAGAGGTGAAGATAGTGGACGAGTCGGTACCAAACTCTCCAGCAGGCGGCCCAGACGATGCCCCGTTACACACCCCTGATGACGGTATTACGTTAGCTGACATACCTCAGTTGATGGAGGCCGCGCAAGCTCGCGAACAGCAGCGCTCATTACCACGCCAGAGCACGGTACCGCATGTCGCCGAGTTGAGCGCACTCGAACTTACTATCGTCAAACACTCTGCTGTCCTTGCCCTCCAGCGATCTCCACTTCGGGATCAGCTTGAATTGGATGAGTTGCTCGAACTGGTTGAGACAAAAAAGGGAGGCTTCTGGAAACAGCTGTTCAAAGCTGGAGACAAGAAGAACGTCAAGAAGAAGGGTGAGTTTTCATGATTCCCAAGTATTAGGTTCACCTTATCGATTATGTATAGGCGTTTTTGGTGTTCCACTTGAGCTCCTAGTTGAGAAAGAAGGGTCAGATTCCTTATTGGGAGCCAGCCGTGCAACCTTGAGGGTGCCAAGCTTTATTGATGATGTTGTCTCAGCCATGAGGCAGATGGGTATGTTATTTACGGTGATCTTAGAACTGTGTTTTGATATCTTGTGATTTACAGATATGTCGGTGGAGGGCGTCTTCCGCAAGAATGGTAATATCAGGCGGTTGAAGGATCTCACGGAGGCCATCGATCACGACTTATCATCAGTAGATCTCACGCAGGACAACCCGGTGCAATTGGCTGCTCTCTTGAAGAAGTTTCTCCGCGAACTGCCGGAGCCACTCATGACGTTCAAGTTACACCGATTACTGATTGCATCGCAGTGTCTGTCTTCACACTTTTACATGATTCGCAATCTGACATACAATCTCCAGCCCTTTCTACAGAGGCAGAGCGGAGGCGTTGTCTCCATCTAGTTTCCTTGCTTCTTCCCAAGAGCCATCGTGACACCATGGAGGTGCTATTTGTGTTCCTCAAATGGGTGGCGTCGTTCGCACACATGGATGAGTCCACTGGTAGCAAGATGGACCTATCAAACCTAGCAACGGTCATATGTCCTAGCATCTTATACTCACGCGGGCGTGACGCCGTTCGAGACGAGAGCTTTGGGGCTATTCGCGTAGTAACCTCGTTACTCGAGAACCAGGATGAGTTTTATTTGGTTCCCGAGGAGTTCCTGCCTATCCTCCATGATCAGGAATATTTCTCAAATAGCACTGAGCTACCAAGCAAGGATTTCATGAAGAAATGTGACATGTACATGCGCCTCAGAGCAAACGGGCGTCCACCATTGGCATCAATGGGTTCGCCGAACCCTACCAACCCACCCCGCGTTTCACCACCCGGAGATCGACCACCGTTGACATCAATTTCGAGTGAACCTCATATACGGAATGGCCGACAGCAGTCGCCCCATCCACATCCAGGTATCATTCATTCACCCACGTCGTACACTTCTCCTACGCATCCAACTTCCCTATCGCAAGGCGCAGCTATGATCCAGGGCCAGCAACAACCTCGCTATCCCCAGCCGATCGAGACAGATTGGCCCACTGCTCAACGACCCATCACTGGTACCATATCTTCATCTCCTCGACCATCGTCCTACGTGCATCCGCGAAGTAGCGGGGAGCATCTACACTCGTCATCGCCGCCCAACGGAGTTCCTGCTACCGCAGCGCCCCGACGATGACCCCGTTGGACTGCAGATTCTGTCATCATAATGGCGACTCACTTCCACTCTTTTGCCTTGCTGTGCACTGCCGCTGCTCTGACATTCATTTGCCCTAAGCATCTTTTGGTTTCTCGCATTATCTGTAGTTTACCGTGCGGTTTCACTTATCAGTACGACACGGACGAATACTTCGCAGTATACTCATTATACCCGTGCATTCGAATGTACGCAATTTGAATGAATTTAACCAACCGAAACATTATCTTGTAACTTTCATCTATTTGTTCGGCCCCGCGGGGCCAATGATGCTCGACTCTTGCATGCAGACGATGATGTCCTTGCGTCCGACCATTACAAAGTGATACCAGCATGTGTTTCGTATGGCATATAGGCATACGCATATATTTTGAAGTAGTAAAGCTAATGGAAGGACATGCAAAAGATATAAGAACCCAGTGCCTTATTTCAGAGGAATGAAACGAGACGCTGTGAGAGGAAATATTGAGTATGAAGTTCGATTTCCGCAAGCAGTCCCATGTAGACTTACAGTGTGTGGCACCGATCTGTGCAAAAGACATTGAGACATCATCAAAGATATAAGAACAATACACTCACACCAGGGCGACCGTGCTTGACGGGTCGGTACGAACACGAGAATTCAGCGAGGTAGTGGCCTGTCATCTCAGGCTTGATCTCAACGGAGTTGAATACCTTGTAGTGGTATCTTCAGCCGTGCATCGCATGAAGGGTTAGGAAAATACAAACCTTGCCGTTGTAGATACCAACAACGCTGCCAATCATCTCAGGAACGATGATCATGTTACGGAGGTGGGTCTTGACGACTGCGGGCTTTTCATTCGGTGGAGCTTCCTTCTTAGCTTTGCGCAATTTCTTAATCAAACCCATGGGGCGGCGCTTGAGGCCACGGCCGAACCGACGGCGGGCACGTGCGTGAACGAGCTATCATTGAGAAAATATGTGGATCAGGTTAAGGCAATGGCGACTGAAAGCGAGATGCATACTTCAACAAACTGTAGATTCAAGGTTTAGTACTGAGAATGAGAGGTTCCGCGGTAAAGACTCACCTCCTCATTATTCATATCAAGGAGCTTGTCGAGATCAACTCCGCGGTAGGAGAACGTGCGGAAGGTTCTCTTCTTCTTGAGCTCAGCAGCGACCGAGGGGTCAGTAACCGATGAATCCGCCTATCATTAAGGCGGAAATCAGCGTTTGTCTTGCTACTTCCGAGGACAATGCGCACCATGTTGCGTCGTGAATTAGTCTTGCGGTTGTCGTGGATAACAGCGAGCAAGGATTTCGGCAATCCTGAGGCGGAGTCGAAAAACAATCAAATATGGGAATTGTGGCTGAATCTGACCACGTGGTGCTGTATAGTACCAATCTGAAGTTTGACGGAAGATTAGAGGGGAACAACAACATCAACGTCGTCGGATAGAATCTACAGGTCTTCCCTTGAGGATTAAAGGTATGATTTGTGTTTCTGCGCAGGGCTTGAATGGAATTTTAAATACATATTTTCAGTGATTTGTAGCTGCCCGCACTCCCGTCTTATACATATTTTTGTGAATCACACTCGTCTAAAGTATGTCTCGAATATCCTCGCGTATGAGACACCTGTAGAACACGCTAACTTCTGTGATTTGACCAGATGCGTCATATTGCTGCTTATCTTCTCCTCCAAATCGGTGGCAATGCCTCTCCCTCGGCTGGCGACGTTCAAAAGGTGTTGAGTGCTGTCGGGATAGAGGCCGATGATGACAGGCTCGAAAAACTTATCTCCGAGCTGGAGGATAAGGACATCAATGCTGTAAGATTTTTTTCCCGATTATGCTTCACTGCACCCGTTTTTGACGTATTTGTCCGCAGTTGATTGCTGAGGGTTCTGCTAAGCTGTCGTCCGTGAGTCTCGATCAGGTTATATAACAAGTAGCAGGGGCTGATTGGTCGCAATGCTTAGGTTCCTTCTGGTGGCGCCGTTGCCGCTGCCGCTCCATCAGCCGGTGGTGCAGCACCTGCTGCTGCCGTCGAGGAGGAGAAGAAGGAAGAAAAGAAGGAGGAGAAGGTTAGTACTATTATTGTGCATTTTTTGGAACGAGAATTAAACCTTGACATCGTAGGAGGAATCGGACGACGACATGGGCTTCGGTCTTTTCGACTAAGTACGTTACGAAATGTTGTTCCTGTACGAAAACACGAGCAGATGCACCGTAATAATGAGGCAATTCTCTTGGAATGTTCGAATCAGAATATATTGCGCAATAATAGGTTGTCCCGAACAGCGTGCGGTGCCAATGGCCGCCGGAATTGTGGTCGGAATTTTTAACATAAAATATTGAAATTCTGTTTTTAAGTAATGACCGGCGGCATGAAAATGAGGCACGTTGCGTACGTAAAGAACACAGAAGAAAGGAAAGCCGCCGAAACCTGCCGTTTCGCTTATCTGTAAGTTTAATAATTGGCGGGGGGGGCCTTTAGCTGGTTCTTCGTGACCGTAATATTAATAATATGAAATGTAATGTAACTGGGCATGTATGGTTATACTAACACGTATTTGATGGTATGCCGCAGGATCGGTCGTAATAGCAGGGTGTAACTAAGCCGGCGGCGCGAGGAAGTGGGAAAAGCCGGATGCGGCCGGCGGGTTCGCTCGATTTGTATTTACTGATCGGTTTATTGCAAGGCTTCCTCCAACTGCCGTGAGCGGTTTGTGAGTCTACTAAGTACTGGTGCGTTCCACGGTCTACAATCTCTTCACACTAAGCAACTACCATCTACCTAGCCATAGTTTGCTAGGTAAGTTATCTTTTTAAAATTATTCTTTTCAAAATTGTCATTTCAATCTTCTGGGGACTTGTATATCTCCTTTTAATAACTCCAACAACCAACTCAAACTCATATCCTCTTCGCGTCTTTCTCTAGTACTAGACGCCGAGTATTCCTCTTTCCTCCCTCCCTCTCCACCTCTTGTTTATGTCTCCTCGTCGTCTGGCATAATCAGTCCCATATTATTTGCCTTTTAATGGACCACTTCGCTCGCTCTCTTCAGCAACCCGCGATACAGGCAATCACTTTTGCTCCCCCAAACCAACCCCCTCCGGATGGCTCCCGTTTCCTCATCGACACTCCCCAGGATCCTGATAGGACCGACACTAATATTGCGTTCATGAAGGGTCCAAAGCGCAAACGCCTAGCAAAGGTATGCACCCTTAAACTCGTTTGGGATGCCTACCAAGCGTCTTATTATACAGGCGTGCGATGCTTGCCACAAAAGCAAACGACGATGTGACGGAACAGGTACGTATTCCATAACAGCTTCCATGCTATGCTAATTCTGACTGTTCTGTTTTCAGCTCCTTGCAGCAACTGGTACGTCACCGGGAAAATCGTTTGGACGTTTCCAAATCCGTCGTTTCATTCATTTTTTTAGTTACTTCGCCTCCAAGAAATGCACGTACACAGATGCTTCGGGCAGACCTGTACCTGCACCTAGGCCGCGCAAAGGGGGTAACACAGACGCACCACCCGATCCGCGTCAGGGTTCGTGTGTCACATACCCGGAAAATATTCAGGGTAACCAACCATCCTTCGTTGTTCATGGACTACAGCAAGACGAGGTACTTGGGACCCAAGTCGACCCTGATGAAGATATTCCATCGCGCAAGCGGTTCAGGCCAGACCTTGGTCAGTCGACGTCTCCCGTTGAGACGTCTTTCAGAGGCTTGGCTCCACCCTCGTTGCCAAGCACTCAGCGCTCTTTGGAGCGTGACCCGTCACTCACAAGAGAGCTCGTGCACCGTAAGTTACCCCATATAGCGGTACACTGCTGACACTAATGAATACGTCGGTGCAGTGTTCTTTGCACACCGCCAACCTCAGCGTATGATCATCCACGAGCCTTCATTTCATCATGCCCTATCTCATGGTCTCGTCCCTTCTTACCTTCTCCTTTCAATATGTGCCCTTGCTGCGCCTCTCTCGCAGCGTCCTTGTTTCAAGGAGGGGGGTTCAAGATTTGCTGGAGAGGTGTTCTTCTCAGAGGCAATGTCGATTATGTTTGATAAAGGGCAAAACTTAATTTGCGAGAGGAATCTTGCAACTGCCCAGGCTCTATGTTTGCTACAACTGCATGATCGAATGGCCAAATCATCCTGGACAGGGCAATATCATGGTATGGAAAGTTACCATTTCTTGGTTTGTCGGCGCTTACGCCATGTACTTTGCAGTATACGCACTTGATATCCTCGAACAACTGGGTGTGTATCAGGCTGACAATCCAATCCTGACACCTACTCCTTCACTGGAGTTCATTGATGCGTCCATCGAGCGGGAATGCGCGCGTAGGGTTTTCTGGCTCATACATATATCCGATGCTCTGGGGTCTGTTCTCTACCGACGCCCTATCTTAGCAAAGGAATCGCAATTGAAATTGCGTCTCCCTGTAGATGAGACAACCTTCTTGTTCACTGTACACGATGCTGTCCCAGGTTGGTCGCCAAGCTATCGTTTCAGTCTTGAGCTCATTTGATTCGTCAAGAATATCTGGACAAACCCAGTCCTTCATCGAGATCCGAGACCGGGCAGTTAATCCGTGTCCTCTCTATACACGAGAGGATAGAGAAGACCATGGATGAATTCAACAGTGAGTTTGCTTCGCGGGAGCCCGCATGTGCTTATTCAATTTTATTTTTAGAGCGCGAGTCCGGCAGACATCCCGTCAACGCATTGTTGGATCTTGACACCAAACTCAACGTAAGTATGAAATTCCAGGGTTCATACAGATCTAGCATATTGATCGCTTCCGAAGGCGTGGGACGAATCGCTTCCTGACAGTCTTTGTTTCACCGACGAGAATCTTGCTATTCAAATGTCGTTGTTTGCCACGAGTTCCAACGTGGGAGCGTGGTGCTTCTGTGCTATGCATATTATCCACTGCTCGTGTGTTTTTGCATTGAACCAGGTGAGTTATCTTAATGATGTTCAACTCGTACGTTCAGATGCTGACAAGACGACGGATATGGCAATACTTCGTATAGGCTAGAATGCGTTGTCGTACAGCTATGCCTGGAGGTCCAACGTGGGCGCGCGAGCGCCTGAACAATATTCTCGCTGCTTTAGGTGACAGAGCGAAAAAAAGTATCATCCGTGAGTGTTATAATGTGATTGTGCTTCCTTGGGCATTTCACTAATGACGCATGTCTATAGTGGGAGTTGCAATTTGGGTATGGTTTTTGAATTTTCACTATCATCTCACACTGATCGATGTAACAGCCCTTGTCCAAATACTGTGGAGATAAAAGCCAAGGACTTATGGAATTATCTAGTGAGTTTGAAGAGGCGTTTGGTGTTCGTATCCAAGACTTGGCTCCCCCGGTACCTGACCACACCGACGACGTACAACCTGCGGAAGGCATGCATCCAGTAGCATCCAACTCTGGCGGATCTCATGGTTCTACACCCGTTTCCAGCAACTCGCTGGATGCCGCAGCACCCCAACTAGCTGCATCTCCGGTATATACACCGCCGGGTCGCCCATCTCCTGATGCCCGGTTCTTTGGCCAGCCTTCTTTTGGTGATGTTCGAGCCCATGCACATCCGCCTCATCCACCACAACCTGATCCCAGAGAGAAGAGAAACATTCCGCATGATGCCAATATCGATCCTGCCTTACAAATGCCACCAAATTCTAGACAAATGAATACGGAGCCAGTTTCTGCCGTATCCCCGGCACTTTCGTTACCCTCACTGAAGTCGAGCGGTCTTTTAGATTGGCAACGAGCCAACGAAGGCAATTCATCACCTTCGTCAGCAAGTTGGCAAGCGTCCGGGCAACATCTCCCAGCCCCTTGCCAGGGCTCACGAGACACAACTGGGCCACCCTTTCCTTCAGCCTCGCACATAGATTACTCTACTCGTCCTGCAATGGCCACGGCTTCAACTAGCATGCCTGTCGGTTTACCGTGGCTGGCCAGCGAGTCGACTGTCTCTAGGTTAAGCTAGCATAACTGTGCTGCCTAGGTTCTTGAGCGTTTGATTTCATTTATTATTGCTACCGTTACCTATTTTGGTCCGCACCTCGCAATCTTGTCGTTCTTTGATATTTATTCGATAATTCGTACGAACCTTTAATTATCAGGTTGAGGGTATTATTGCTCATTAAGCACCCAATGTAGTATTGTACAAGTCGAGTCCATAGCAATGAAGTTGATCATTGTAATTCTGCACCACCAACCCTCTTGAGGTTCCGATGCAACTCGGGCTTGATCAGTAGAACACGGTCCAATAGTTTCTTCACGACCGCATCTTTGTTTGCTTCATAAGCATCTGTGATAGCCTGCAACTTTATACTTGTCTCCTTGTCTACTGCAGCCTGTGCATTGGAGGTGACTCCTGCATGCTGCTCGCTATGTCAGACTATGCGTGAGTGAAGAGAGAGTGGATGTCACACCGATGCCTCAAATGACTTGAATTCGGCTTCTTTAGCCTGTCTGTATTCATCTATCTCTCTGCTTGCTTCCGAACGCGCGTCCTTCAATCTCTGAAGGCGATCTAGTTGAAACAGTCAGTCACATGAAGTCGATTCAGACTGACACTGACATTGACGTGACTGCTGCACAATCTTAGCAGCTTCTTTCTCTGCTTCAAGAAGAGTCTGTATTCCCTGTGAATTTTGAGCTGCCTATAATCATCTGTGAGTCTCTACTGTCATATGCCTTGTTCGTCGCCATACCATGATTGCGGTAGAGGAGTGATTTAGAACTCCGACGGGATATAGTTTTCAGGAAGAGCTGCAGACAAGCTTTAACGTTGCAAACACCAAAGCTTGCAAGGATGGCAGGAAATCCGGTTGACCCGCTGCAGACACTTTCTGCAGCGTTAGCAGTACCGGCAGACTCTAAAGAACAAGCAGATATACTTGCTACTTTACGTGAATCCCTTGAAGCGCACCCAAATCCCATTACCCATCCTCTGTACAACACTCATCAAAACTGTGTCAAGTGCCGGTGATTCTCTCCTCAAGAGATGGGTTCTTGATCTCCTCCATTTTGCTATCTCTCGCTCTAATCTGTCCAACGAAGTTCGCACACAACGTTAGTTCAATCTTTGAGTACTGCCAGCGTCTAAGTCTTTTAATGTTATTACTTCATAGTCGCGTCTCAGTCGGTCGAAACATTGGCCATTTTGCTGCATGACTTAAATGCGCGTACTGTCAAGGTGTCCATTCAGTGTTTGACGACTGTCTACCCGCTCCTTTTTCGTTCTTTGTGAGTAGTATCTGTTGCCGGAGTCAACAAAAAGTCTGATATCACCTCGTGTGACAGGTGTACAAACCGTACCCTACGCCAACAATGGGATGTACTATCACAGTGCAAAGCGCGTATCCTAGAGTTTATTTGGTCGCCAACCGCCAGTACCGGTGTGAAGGTCTCTGCCGTTAAGTTCATGCAGCGTGTCATTATCGTCCAGACGCGCGGTATATCGGACCCTAGGGTACCCTTCCACCAGTCTCTCCTTCATACGCACGCTTACTGTGACATACGTTCTATAACATATAGCTTCAGAACAAGAATGATCCCAACATTTCAAATGTCCCTGTCGATCACCCCTTCCTTCCAGGTCCTACCTTAGAAGCGGAAGGCATGAAACTTCTTGAGAGCGTGATCACTATGTTGTATACCAGCCAGTGAGCATCTTCATCCAATATCTGTGAGAACTCACGTATCTGACGCCTGTCATAAGGAACCCTGAGCTTTTGAGCGCGATACTTCACTCCTGGAGCAATTTAGTCAAACAAAGGCCCGCCCTGGTACAACTAGTCGTTTCGTCGCTCTCTTCCTGGACTCCTGCCGCTCTGTCCGGACTCCCAGCACAATCTGTCAAAAGCGTCGAAAAGGCTGTTCGCATATTGCTCATCCATATCTCGAGGTGAGTGACGTCATGGCGGTGTCAAGCCAGGTGTACTGAAGTCGAGCATAGAGGACCCCATGGTTCTTCCTTTGGAGCTCAAATCAATGAGGCGCTCTCCCTACAAGTTGCCCGCATGGAAAGAGCCTCCACAGAGGAAAAGGCACGAAAGGTCCGCCCTTGCTGCTTCTGCAACAGAAACTAGCAAGAAACGACCTTCCTCCACACCAGCAGAGCATCCATCTGATGCTAAGCGTATGAGAGTCGATGTTGACATTGCTGGAAACGCGTCTGCTGCATTCTTAGCTAGCTTTGACTTCACCACACTTCCAATATCACTCATAACCGATCCTCATTGTGGCCAATCTGCAAGCATTTACAGAGCCAGCCCTACTGGAGTTGGTACAGACCTACAGACAAAGCAGAGGCCTGGCTCCTGGCCCTCCTGTCTCTAGCACTCCGCAACCCGCCCCGCCCACACCGGAAGCGACGCCCACTCCCGGGCCTTCTGCGGAACCTACTGTGAAAGATGAGCCAGTAGACCCACTTCAAATGGACATGGATGAGGAGGAAATGGAATACGAGCCTGATAGGCTCAATATGGAGGTTAGAGCATCTTACCTACAGGCGACGTACGCTCATTGCAATTGATTTTATGCCGTAGCTTTCGGGGGACGAGACCGTTGCGGAGGAAGAAACAATTCCGGCGGATCTCCCGGAAGCGCTCACCATCGACCTTACCGATTCTACACTACTCGGACCAAAGGAATTGACTGACATCGAACGAAACGCTTTGATGCGTGGATCGGTTGGCCGAATATGGGATGGTGCGGAGGAGCTCAAGGTTGATTCTGCCGTAACTTCGCAATGGCCTGGTACCTCTCCTACGGATATGTGGATGTTACTTATTGTTCGAATGGTCACACGAGTGGCACATCTTGATGGCGACCCATCATCAGCGTCAGAAGATGGAGGGGACGGCGAGACAAAAGTTGACTTCTATTCGCGGCAAGATAATTTACGACAAACGTTATGCGATTACATTATGGCTGATTTCCCTTCACGGTATGCTTTCAATATTGCGTTATCACAAATTTATTTACTGACGGTAATGAAGGCTCCGTCTTGTCACGACGTGGATGAATGAAGAGTGGTACAACGATCGTATTAGAATGACGGATGACCCTCACTGGGTGCGTACTATGTCTTTACTCTCTCTGATTAAATTTTGCCAACTGCAAGGTTTCCAGCGACCAAACTATGAATTGTGGCTCAATCAAGTAGTTTCCACATATCAGACCGTTTTGGAAGGCAAGCCTGAGGGTAAGCCCGATGGCAGGGACAAAGCTTTTGCACGGTTCCTACTAGATTTGCCCTCCGTGCCCCCTGATGTCCTCGGTCTGTTACGCGATCTCTCCGTCGACCCTGACAAGTACGTTCGTATATTCTTCTGCCATAACTCGGTTCGAGCAATCAACAGGATGCATGTTGGGTTTACCAGTCTTCGGGAGTTTGTTTTAGAGCGTCCATCACTCCGAGCAGAAGCCCTCCAGGTCCTTCTGGAGTTGACTACTCATCCAGGTACGTCAATTTGTTTTTGTTGAACCCCGATCTCAAATCTCTTGCAGATCCTGTGACCAGGCGAGCAGCAATTAATACCGTGCGAAGATGGGTTCCTGGTATTGAACCCATGGATAGCATGATACGTGACTTCGCTCTTCAAATACTGCGCCGCTTGCAAAAGCGTCCACCAAAAGAGGCGCCAAGGGTCATCGATGAACAAGCCGGCGCAGGCGACGAAAATATGGAAGATGGTCAACTTCCCTCCGAGGACCTTCTGCAGACGCCGTATCTACAAGAAGAGATAGAATTACCTGCCCGGAAGGCTCACGTGCTGCAACACGTTGAACTCCTATTTGCTCTATCTGTCAAGATCCCTGAGTTCTTGGATGAGTACGTCGATCCTGATTCATAGTCGCAGTTCTTGCATCATGCCTTTTCAGGATCTTCACGGCGTATGGCCAAATGGAATTAACAGTTCAAGAAGCCATTCAAGACTTGATCACTGCTCTGATCAAATCTTTGGGTTCAAGTAATGGCAAATTGTTAACCCTCATGCGCACATGCCCGCCGGGGAGTGAATCTCTTGCCCTACGTGTGCTAACGATCTTTACAGAGCATGGGAGACCGAGCGCGCAACTCGTAGCGCTGGTGAAGGGTCTCATTAGTGACCGTGATCTCGATGCTCGCTTCCTGATTCCAATCATCGCAGAGATGGACAAGGTATGTCGCCGTGGAAGTTGATCGTGGCGTTGCTAAATGTAATTATTCAAAGCCGGACATCCTGAAATACCTGCCCCGAATTGTCTCCATCCTGAACGGTCAGCAAGAGCCAAAAAATCTGGTTCGATCTGTATTCAGCTCTGTTGTCACGACGCCTCCACAAACTTTCGGGAGCGTGTCATCAAATTTGCCTCGTGTAAGGCAAAGTGAGCTGCTGACGCCAGCTGAGTTGATGGTGTTACTCCATGAAGCTGAGAAGGAGATTGGTCTCAAGAGTGCGATCGAAGGTGATAATGATGTTCTTCTCGCTGGCCTCCTACTAACCTATAGCGATGCAGCAATTGGTGTCTGCTTCTCAATGACTGATGTCTTCCGCTCCGAAATTCTAGCGGTGGTTATGCAACAGATTGTGGATGAACCTGTGCTCCCCGTTCTTTTCCTTCGTACGGTGAGTGAATTTTGCTATTACATTTGCTGTAATAACCAGCCAAATAGGTCATCCAGGCTGTCACGACGTATAGAACATTGGTTGGCTTCGTGTCTACCACCTTACTGTCTCGCCTGATCACAAAAAAAATTTGGCAAAATCCTCATCTGTGGGAAGGCTTTATACGATGTGCCAAGGTTATTGCGCCGGCAAGCTTTGGTGCATTGTTGCAACTACCCAAAGAGCAGCTTCGCGAACTTGTCGACAAGCAACCGAGTCTAAAATCTGGCCTGCGAGAGTATGTCACCAAAAGGGCTGGAAACAAGGCGCGAGTGGCTGGTTTCTTGGATATATTTGGTGAGGATGATGATGCATCTCCTGTTGCCCCAGCGACTCCGGATGTAGTCATGTCTTCGGTTCCTGCATAGAATGTCGAGCGCTCGAATATTCTCTAAGTATTCCACTATTTCATTGTAATTGTTACGCGTCGGACGTAAAGTGGCTTATCCCCGTGTATATTCGGAAGACGGAGTATTAATTACAATCCGCTCTCCCAGAGCTTATCGTCATAATGCATCAATCGTGTCGAACAATGCGGTGAGGGCGGCTGAATTTCTCAAACACAACATTTCAGTACCCGGTGTCGGGCAATTCTACTGCAGTTTCAGACCTCTTCTGCGATACTACTAGTGGGGAAAGATTGCCACATCTACGAGTTCCCTTCTTTGCACTAGCTCAGACATCTAATCTTGTCCTTGTTAAGCACCGCGGCCTGCTCTACAATGTCAGCAGATGCTAAGCGGAGCAGGTCACATAGTGATGACGAGTCATCTTCTCCGATACCATCACCAGGTTCTGGCACTCAGGATCGTGGTCGATCAAGAACACGGCGGCCTTCTAATCAGCTCCCAGAACACTACATGAGAAAACGGTGGGATCCATCTTATCCTTGCTATTATCGGCTTCATTGATGAGATGCACCAGAGGGTATCACTCTTTTATGACTTCCTTTGGTAAGATGTTTCACGTAGAAAAGCGCTGGAAGCTGGTACGAGAAATGGGTTCGGGTGCATATGGCGTCGTCGTGTGAGTAACAGGTTCGGAACTTTTATTGGTTGATTGTATTGATGTGCCCGAGATAGATCTGCTGTGGACGAGATCTCTGGTGAAACGGTGGCCATTAAACTCGTCACTCGAATATTTGAGAAAGTCCAGCTTGCGAAACGGGCACTGAGAGAGGTCACTCTCCTTCGGCATTTCTCAAGTCATGAGAACATTACTGGATTGATTGATGTGGATGCAATCTCCCCCGATTTTCAGGAGATGTGAGTAGAGTCCGTTCGGTGCTGACAGAAAGAGGCTCACTCCTAATTCTAGTTACGTCTTTATGGAGGTGCGTTAACCCGCCATCGACGAATTTAAATACTGCTATAATGGTTTCCATATAGCCCATGGAAGGTAACGTTATAGATTACAACTTGAACCTTGCGCTAAATCTTTGGCAGCGGATTTGCATCAAATCATAAAGTCCGGCCAGCATTTGAGCAACGAACATGTGCAGTACTTCCTATACCAGATTCTTCGCGGTAATTCATTCTGCTGTGTTACCTGATCACTATCGATATGTTGACAAACAGGCATGAAATACGTCCACTCGGCCTCTGTCATTCACCGCGATCTGAAGCCAGGCAACTTACTCGTTAATTCTGATTGTGAACTGAAGATATGCGATTTTGGCTTGAGTCGGGGATTTGGCTCTGCTCCAGACGAGCAAGTGGGCCATCTCACAGAGTATGTAGCCACCAGGTGGTACAGGGCGCCAGAAATCATGCTGGCCTTCAGGTGCGACTATTTTTGCCACTGTCATAATGTCTCTCTTTACGCAGGGTGCTATCAGAGGATACACGAGAGCCAGTGAGCTCGTCCTATAAATCAATTCTTCTTGTAGATGTGAACCGTGGATACAGTCGATGTTTGGTCGATAGGCTGTATATTTGCAGAGCTTATGCTTGGACGGCCCCTGTTCAAGGGTAAAGAGTGAGTTCAGTTCAGACATGTATCAACTCCAGCAAGCTCACAGCCATGCGTACAGCTATGGTCAGTACATCGTGAACATTAAAATGAATTGATGTTTGATCATAATAATTACATTTATTCTCAACAGTTGATCAATTAAACAAGATTCTTGATGTTCTCGGTGAGTGTTCATCAAAACCCCCTCGTTCATGATCTGACCGGTATTTGTAAAGGAACACCAGAAGAGGATGTTATCAATCGAATTGGAAGCGATAAGGTAGAGATAGACGCCGTGGCTTTATCAGTCCAGTTCTGACATCATGGGAAGGCACAACTTTATATCCGCTCACTTCCAGCCAAGAAACCCGTACCACTGTGGAAGTTGCTTCCGACTGCTGATGTACAGGGTGACTCCAGCTTTTCCATGGCACTAAGTCAATACTAATCAATGACTATCCGGTCACTAGCCCTGGATCTCTTGCAGAAAATGTTGTCTTTTGACCCTTCAACGCGCATCTCAGTTACTGACGCGCTCGCACATCCCTGGCTGGCATCATATCATGAAGAAACTGATGAACCCGATTGTCCTACCAAGTTTGAAAAGTGGAGGGACATCGAGAAGCTTGAGACCCTTGAAGATTTTAGGAAGGCACTATGGGAGGAGATAGAGGATTACAGAATGGAAGTGCGAGGTATCACACGCGAGCCGGCAGAGCCTGATCCACGTGAAAATGCTCGCGGAGAGACTCATGGTTCCCCTGAAAAATCTCTGGAGTCCCGGGAAAGCGTTTCTGAATCGCGAAGAATGGACAGTTCCGAAGTTGTGAGGGAGGATGTGGTCTCGGATAGTCTTGCCCTACCAGCTGCCTTGGACCACTTCCGCCCGTGCACACCCGAAGATCCTGTCGTCAATTATGCACGGCGCTCCAGCATACTTCAACCGCAACGCCAGCCGTCTACGTCTACGTATAGCTCGCCACCGGCATCAACTATGCAACACCCATTTGTACCCATGTTTGATGGCCTGCCGACCAGTGCTAGTGGTATCGTATTTCCTAACGAAGGATACATCTTACCTGCTCGTTCCCGTGCGGCCTCGAATGCAACAGCAGCAGGGAGTGAAATAGCAGTGCGGAAAATGTTGCGGACTTTGTCGACGGTATCAATCCATGAGAGTGTAGAAGGTTTGCCGGGTGGTTTGGCCGGTGTGGCACCCATCGGCAAATTCATTGTCGGGCAAGAATCCGAAACAGATGCCCTGCCCAGTGAGATGCCGATGGAGTTCAGTGTTCGCACCAGGAAGGACGGGGGAAGGAGTTAGCTACATATTTTCGTCTTGCATAGAATCATCGATCTTCCAGTGTAGAATCTATCGATACATATATGATATACAAATTTCAATGAGGTTGCTGCGAATCGAAACGGCTAGTATTAGGAGGCACTCTCGCTTCCCAATATCTTTTTGATCTCTAAAAATTCATGAGTAGAATACCAAAGGGATGGTCAGCACTCACTGTCAATAATATCAAGGTATGCATCCGACGCGGGGCTATCGGGGTATTCGTCCAAAAAGCTAACACCATAATCTGCGCTCTTCCCGATTCGTGGGTCAAGTGGGACCTTACCCAGCAGTTGGATCCCAGTTTCTTTTGCCAGTCTTTCGGCACCCCCAGTAGTTGGCTTGAATATTTGACTCTCCGTCTTGCATCCAGGACAAACAAAACCTGACATATTCTCCACAAGGCCCAGCACTCGTATTCCCACCTTGCGGCAAAAGTCTATTTCTCTCCGAACATCCTGTAAGGAAACCTCCTGCGGCGTAGTCACAAGCACAGCACCATCGATGCCGCTTTCCTTCAAGTACTGAACGACACTAAGATGCTCATCCGAAGTGCCAGGAGGTGTGTCGATGACGAGGTAATCAAGATCACCCCAGTCAACATCTTTGAGGAACTGCGCAATGAGCCCATTCTTCTTTGGACCACGCCACATGACAGCATCTCGTGATGAGGGCAGCATGAAACCGACGGACATGATTCCAAGATTATCCTGTACATAAACTGGAGACCAGCCCGATGAAGATGAGTGCACTTGCTCTAAGGCAACGCCGAAGATAGTGGGTATAGATGGTCCACAGATATCGACATCCATGACTCCAGTTTGTATTTGGTCATCTGCAGCAAATGCCCAGCCAAGCTGGGCGGTAAAGGTAGATTTTCCGACGCCGCCCTTGCCGGATAGAACGAGGATCTTGTGCTTCACGGTAGCCATCCGATCGCGAATCAATGGCAGCGCTGGGTCTGGACCCTTGGGTGTGTTAGAAGCGCAAATCTCTTGATTTGCGCACCCGTTGCAGGCATCGGCTTTGCCAGCTAACTCAGATTCTGTGCCCTGTCATTCAGTGTAATCAGTGATGAAGTCGAGTCAGGAAATTGGTAAACTTGGTTGGGGCTTACAGGGCAATGTTCCGGTGCGTTTGAAGGAACTGATAGAGAATCCGGAACTACAGCTGAACGTTGTACTGCAAGCATCTGGAGAGCTTGAAAGTCGAGTGCAAGAAATGCCAAACTACCTTACTAATAGCCGGTACAAAGCTTTAGTCACATTTCCTGAAAAGGATTTGCTTCTTTCCATCAAATCGTCCACGTCTTCATTGGCACAATGCCATTTCATTGCAGTCGCGCATTTATATTATTCATGAGACGACAGCATTGAAACACAATACGTTCGACTCGAGTCCGCACTTGCAGTCATACTAGAATTGCACAACCCATGCCTAGGTAGTAGGAGCGGAGGATGCTTTTTCGTTTGCGCATTTCGTTTTTGCCCTACAATTGTTGGTACACGGGTCACCGACGAACATGTCCATGGCCGCATGGCGTGATGCTGCATCTTCCGCGTCAATGTTTCCCTGTGTGCAAGTAAAGGGACTTAATCAAGGTTTGGCTCGAACACAGCCAACCAACCTGCCACCCAATTCTGTCCACCTTCGGTTGACTACGCGCCGGCCGGCGGCACGACAACGATCTACGGCGAGATCATCTATGTCCACCCACGGTCATTTTTTCTTGATGTTCAAGATCGCAGCCAAGCCACGAACCTTGTCCCGCCCTTTTCGCCGACCGACTCACAGATCCGAATTTTGACACGGACGGCGTTCTTCAACTAACTTATAAATACTCCTGGATTCGTTATACACCGCCGAGCGGTGAACTCGATCCAGACTCCAGAGCACAGTTCGGTGCCTTTCAGAGAGCCGAAAAAAATATTTTTACCAGTCACGTATGAGCCGCTGTCTTATCATTCATTTGCTAAACCTGGTACTAGGATGGCCCACGCACCAGACACTTGTCAACAGCAGTCCACTGTCGCGGAACACTTTCGACCGTTCAGTAAGTTTTTTTGCGACCTTGTCATGACTATCGCATCTCTCATTGCTTCTCATTGGAAAGATACGGGAATCCCCCCATTTCGGCACAAGTGATACGCCGTTGTTCTCGATTGTCCTCGAAACCAAATACGTAAACTTTCGTACGTGTGCTTTCATACAATTGAATGGAAGACCAGCTGAATATACCGCTCTATTTACTTGTTATGACCGCAACAAGGTTGGGTTACTCCAATCCGCGCACGACTTCAGACCTAGGCACGAAAGATACTGAAACAAGGTCCATCAGCCAAGCTCAACCCCAAGATCAGACAGAGCTATGCAGTACAGGGCAAATCATTAACCCTGAAAGATACCGTTGGAGCCACAGCTCCAACCAGTGTGTGAGAACTGTGGCCTGCTGGAATGAAGGCTCTGACTACGATGTTGTAGTTGCTGACCAAGCTAACCCCAACCCTTGCTTGCTCCTGTTTGCCTCTCTTCGATCACCCCCTGCTAGGGGGTGCCCGGGCTTTCGGAAATATATTGATAAAGCTGAACTCCGAAATAATATAAAATCACAGTCATTGCCAGCACTTCAGTCTTCTATTGCTGCACCGTGTTCGTCGTTCTTATCACCGCCTTTCGAGTACAGTGCAACGGCTGTCTGACTGCCAGGGAGATGGAACCGCCACAGAGGCCGCGGTTGTCAAGGAAGGCATGACTACGAGTCGAAATCACCTGTATTTCCACTATGCGCCATGTTAGACAACTCTGGGCGGACGTCTATGTCATGCAGCATCAAGCACTACATCGCTGAAGCAGTTCTGCTTTATCTTCTCCCAGGACGCGGTTCACAGATACCACTATCTGGGCGGTGAGCGTTCAGTCGAAGTACAAATCCATCTGTTCGGATAATCACTTGCCTATCACGCGAGAACCTTGATACTTAATATTCGGAGGTAAGCTGATCTTCTGATTGACAGTTACATGACGAGGTTGCGCCGTGACACGGAAGGCCCAATGATATTAATGAGCAAACTCAAAGAGCCGATCAAGACTTATAGTGTTCTCCAATGGTGACTGACTCGAAGAAGGCGGAGCGCCCTTGATTTTTTCCTCCGGTATATTTAGATCTTCTACGAGTTCTTAACACTGATTCTGTAGGGTTTCTTCTGTAAACATAGTTACGTTGTCTGGTACGGAGGAAGCGACCTTCATGTTGGAGTAAAACGGACTTGCCTTCCTGGATCTCTTCTGCAAGAAGATATCCGCACGCTGCTGTAAGTTCGTCACATATTGTACTCCGCCAATTCATTACCAAGCCGTCCATGAGGTCGCATGTACTATCAACGGCTCACCACTGTGGGATTTGCTTCAGCTACCCTGGCCGACGAGTACTTAAGTTGTATACCTCGCATTCTCTCAGTGAAACGGACCATCACTTACTCATTCATTGTGAAATCGAATCCTGATGCTACCTGTTAGAAGGAAATACAGTCTTTCTTCCTTTATACGTCTGGCGAGGGGAGACTAGATGCCACCGCACGGACCTAGTGATATTTACTCCAGTCTAACGGCACTGCCTGCAACGAGCTAGTCGTCGAGCTAGTCAAGGCGGTCAGTGTGATTCACTCTCCTCTATCCATGCCACCGAGATCTACCGTGCATGGCAGCAAATTAGTTGAAACCACGCTTGACTATCCCTAGCTCGTCGCCAACGATTACTCACTTACCAGTGCGACGGCATTGACACCATTCCCTGCAACGGTTCATTCTAGGTTCGGGAGCCAAACTCAAAACCCAACTATAACTAGTCAGGCCCTGCCATGCCCTGTAAATATTCACCGTCACGCCACTAGACAGAAGAGGAATTTGTCGGTGACAAGGCGAGTTTGCATGTTGCCTAACTGTCTATATTTTCTTATCAAGTCTTGAACTGGATTCACAGGTGGTCTGACTTGGATATGGATCGACATTTGTCGCGCCTGATTGCACTATGTACACAAGGTTTATGCGGCCCGGGCGGATGTTTACGTTGCGTATCAGGCTCACAGTAGCTCAGGTTCTCACAACCAAGGATGTTCAAGCTACCTTGGCAATCTCGAGGTTCGTGGGTTCTGATAGTTCTGATCGCCCACAGAAGTTACAGTGTTTATGGGAAGGTTTTTATGCACGAGCACACAAACAATGATATAAACGCATTTGGGCTTGGGACTATCCTGACTGAGACGTATCTTCTTAGTCACGTCACAAGTGTGGGTGAAAGAATGGAGTTCGTCCGTTTCGGTGTACCGTTTTTGGGAACTCCTTTTGACACTTGCGCGCCTATCTTTCGCCACACCCCCGAAACCACGATTGAAACGCGGAAGCTCAATAGAATTGATGGGACAAGTCCCCTCAGTCCCTGAGAGCCCACTGCAAGGAGTAAAACTCGTGCACGAATGTATGTTCCATTTTATCGCGGTTTCTCATAATATGATGCTGATTCTATCTATCATCATATCATATATAGGCACGTAGGTAGGAGCAATGGGATGTATCATTTTGGCCTGCAAGGTCCTACATGCCTACACTGCAGAGCGCGTCATCATCCAACTCTGACTCATGGCCGTGGGCAAACTGTTAAAGTTGACATCGTGGCATTGTTCTAGAATGTCGTACTTACCGTTGTGGCGCACTCTTGATGGGGGTGGGCGGCCACGTCATATTACCGAGGCAAACTTAAGGTAGTGCGTTCCCGTCTTGGATCGCATTCGACCTCCTTGGGGTTGACTCGGAGAAGACACGGTTGTTCTGAATATCCCCAGGGCGATCATGATGCACTCTGGTGATATCTTGTCGCTTATGCCTGAGCAAACTGGTGCGATGTGATACATTTTATAAATTTAAACGAGCGATAAACGAGACTTCTTTAGCAAAGCATTTACAAGCCCAGGCCACCATGACGAGAGATGACAGTCTCAAAGTAAATGGGCGCCCTTTCCACCGATTTCGAAGCGAAAAAGAGGGCCTTGAAAATGTATGATTGAGTAGCTTATTTCCCCGCGTAAGGGATGGTTTTTCGACCACAAACCCTGAGTTTCTACTGCAGAATAACCTTATCGCAGTGGTTCGCGGCAAATTCCTTGGTCTGTTTTTGGGTTGCCAGAGTTCACCGATGCCGTAGTACTTACAGCATGTACCTCATTTTCCCCCCGCAGTCTATTAACTCGTAAGTACCATAAGCCCTTGATCACACTGCTCCCTCGTGCCGGGCCCACCCTCCCGCCGGCTTCTTTTATTAGCCTCTTAGCCTCCGCTGGTCGCCGCTCGGTGCTGAGGTTGTCACGCTCGCTGATAGCGCTGACTCATAGTTGACACGCTTCTTTCGATGTGTTCTAATCAATCAGCACTGAGATAAATTTCCGAGCTACTGATTTGATTTTGATGTAAGTCTTTTGATATCCTTAGTAGCATGCATATTCACAGATATTGGCACAGATCAGTGTTGGAAAACCATAACGTTGTCATGCTCTGCCGGACCCGTCGGGTCCTCCTGGATTAGCCCGGATACCCTGATGCGGACGGTTCTCGCTTACCAGTACTGTGTTTCTCTCATATATGGGAAGGGAAGCCTTTACGCCATCAGCCGAAGGCCCGAATGTCATAAGAATATTGGAAGGAAAGCGATTAATATCCTTTCTTTCTTACACCTTGACATTTCTATCAACCTCTACCTTTTTACTCCCGTTCTCTATCCCTCTGTACAATTTACACTATTAGTTCCGCCGTGTACCTTCATGTCATCGTCAAAACGGAGAGCGCCGCTCAGCATTGACTTCATAATAGTTGGAGCTGGTACGTGAACAACTTGCAGGTTGTCCTGGTATTCAATTGTCTTCGTAAGGTATTGCCGGCCTGGCCACCGCGTTTAGATTATGCCAGGCAGGGCATCGTGTTCGTGTTTTAGACAAGGCTGCAGGGCCAAACCGAGTGGGTCGTGTGTGCGAAAGCCAAGGCAAACACTGAACCAAATCTTGCAGCGCGCTGGTGGTACCCATCTCCCACCTAATGCTACCAAAGTTTTGATGGATTGGGGATTCAAGGACGAACTACTGAAACACGGACTGAGCACACGTGCTAGCACATTCATTTCAAGTAAGGAACCCGTAGCATGCAGTTGATGTTGAACTCCAGCTCATAGACTGAACTTGGCAGTTGATACTGGAAAAGTCATAGGATGCCTCGAATGGAAGGAAGACGTTCTTCAGGAGACAGGAGCGGATTATATGGTTATACGTGTAAGTTTATTTATACCTACCCAAGCATCCTGGAAGGTATTCATTCTGCTTTGCAGTATCGTGACCTCTACGATATGCTATATCGTGCAGCGATCAATGCGGGTGCCCGTATTACATACGGCGCAACGGTCACCAACGTGCACGCAAACCCGCCCCGCGTTGAGCTTCATGATGGCACTGTCCTCAAAGCAGATATGGTTGTTGGCGCTGATGGTCCACGAAGTACAGTCCGCGAAGCGGTCGGAGGGTGGTCAAGCGAAGAGGTGCCAGAAGGGCACAGTGCTTACGTGTAATCTGCCTTTCTCATTGTCATATGTCGGGAACGGCCGCTGACAGGGAAACCTGGAGCAGTGCGATTATATCCCGGGATGTCCTTCAAAATGACCCCGAGCTCAGCGACCTGACGCGATTTCATGAAAATAGACCTGACGTACGTTGCCCGCCCCTTCCTTCCAATGAGAGTTCACATGTTGCACGTTTCAGTACCCGATATGGACTGGAGACTCTAGACATGTCATAGCCTTCACGGTGGTATGATTTTCCCTTTGTGGTATTTTCATGACTCAATCTTCACAGGCAGGAGGGGCTGAATTTGCGATCCATGCATTTTTACCTGACAGCGAGGTTGACGGCATTGGCGACAAGGATGGTTGGGATGTGATCGTCCCTCGAGAAAAGCTCCCTTTTCATTTTGAACCGAAGTGCGTTATTTGATCCGGCATCCGCACAACTGATCTAACACATCACTATCATCATTATTTGATAAGGCTGCAGCGCTTGCTGGATATACCTGCTACGTATCAGAGGGTGCGACTTTTCCAAAGAGAATGCGCTGAAGAATGGACAGATGAATCAGGAAGGCTGCTCATTATGGGAGAAGCTGCCCACCCATTATATGCAAGTCTATATGAACTCCGAACTCCGAACGATAATAATAACCATCCGCAGCCTTGCGTTCTACAAAGTTGCAGTATGCAAATAGAGGACGCTGAAGTGCTCGGCACCCTCTTCTCTCGATTACGAGCCTGGGATCAATTACCCCACTTAGCTGAGGCGTTCCAGGAGCTGCGCGAACCACGTACGCGCGCCATATACGCAAAGGAGACGAAGGCTTTTGATACGGTATGGGTGGGTCCTGGGCCACAACGTGATGCACGAGATCAGGCCCTCTACGGCATGATGATCGAAGGGCACAAGGGCTGGGACGAGACGAAAATGCGCTGGCAGTGGGATGAGATTTGCGAGGTCTTCGGCTATAATGCGCGGGACGCAGCTGAAGACTGGTGGGTCATGTGGGGTATGTTGAGAGAGAGAAGTATAACAAGGGAAGGATATTGTCCTTCCAGTTATACTGTGCCTTTCTGTATGGGGGCAACCGTCACACATTACGCAGAGCTGCGTAACTGATATCCGGTCATGGTTTCCAGTTAGACATCTTGTGTCGTGCATGTGTAGAAGAAATGGAGAAAAAATTATACCCAACAGCCACGTACTACTGTAGGATACGTAGTATACCCCACATTTTCTCAATGATCTTGAGTCAACATATTCTGCATATCATTTATTCCAAAGGGTGCATCAGCTTTTCCAACTTCCGCGCTAGTCCACGCTCATCAATTTCTACTGAGTCCAAAATCCGAATAGGGGGCAATGATTCCATGTACAAGACTTTCCGAGCCTCCCAATATCCTTAACGTTGAAATCAAGAACACGTCGCATGGTGTCGTCAGCCGGTAACCGCAGTAGCTGTTATACTCAGTCTGCAGGTTTGCAGTCGTATGACTTTGACATAAATGTGCCTGGCGATGATTATCGTGTCATATGCACTCAATTCTTTGGCAAACTGAACTCAATCTACAGCCAAATTCTCACTGGTCTTGTGCTTAACCTCCGGATCTGACAGGTCTCTGCAGGAGCATGCGGATCTTTAAACACTGTCAGTGTTATATAGCAGCTGACTGGAATAAGCTGATAGTAATGTAACGGTAGTGATGAAATGACACCAGGGTGACATCATGCAAGTACGGTCCGTGCCTTACTGTCTATGCGACTCTATGATTGCTCGCGAATAGCAACCTCTGTAAATAATATGAGTGGGCGTTCAACTGGACTAGGAGAATGGACCTACTGAAAAACTCATAAGATAGCCAACATAACGCGTTACTGGGCATGTGCGTCAAAACTCGTGGCGACATTCCCCGTCCAAACCCTCTTATTCCATCTCTCCTCCATATTATACGAAGTGCATCCAACATTCCCCCAACTCTTCGAATCTCGGAATCATGTGATGAGCCTCTGGTCTGCAAAAGGGTTTTCGCAACATCCAGAGGAGTGGTGACACCTGCGGCCACGCCGCCCGCCATACCACCTGCGATCATATGCGTGATTGGCGAGTAGTCGCCCGATGGATTTAAAAGTTTTTTCATATGCTCATAGACTGTGAATTGCACGGCCGTGAATGGGACTGACATCGTTAGGGTTGTGGGATACGAGACATAGAACGCGGCGAGGCCTTCTGTCCGGTAAACGACTCGCAATGCAGTAAACACGGAACGGAACTCCGACTGGTGCACCTGCATGCGTTGCTTAATGACTATAAGAAGTGTGATGAGTTGGATAACGCGATACAAGTAGCTGGGAACTCACCATCGAAGGGGTTCATGAGGGCATCGCTAGCAATGGTGGCAGATGCACCTGCCAGTGCTGTGACGCAATGGTAAGTACATGTTGACTACGTAGCAGACAGCCAAGAAATTAGAATCCAGATACGAGTGACAAAACAATGTGGAAGGAGAAGGTGATGTTCGATAGGGAACGAATACGAATGGTGGACATACACGTTGCAAGCCATTGATGTCCGGCAGCATTGCCACCCGCTAATTCCTTCATCGCCTCATACATCCCAAAGTGGACTGCATGGGCTGGTCCCGCACCCAATATCACTGAAGAGACACCTCGCCATAGAGCTCGCATGCCTTCCGTAGATGATATCCGAGTGAATGCATTTCCGATCCCTGTGTAGACAGCAGCAGGTGACGTGGCGAATACTTGCATTCGTGTCTAAATATCCTGTCAACCTCATATCACTGACGAAGTTTGGGTCCTACTTTTATGCTGTCTATTGGGAACATGACCGCGTGCTCTGTGATACCAGCCTGAGCGAAAAGTTCAGTATGCGTCCTTGGGATATTACAGTGCGCAAATCCGTCGCGAACGCGAGTGCGAGGTGGGGGCCGAAAACTCTAAACTTACCAGAGCTCCGGCGAGCATGTTAACCTGTAGTTCTAGTTGGAGCAAATTTTACTGATAGACCAGCTAAATGGCTCACCCCAGTGCTAGTGTCAGATGGGAGTGCCTCATAGTCGAGCTCTTCAGCCATCCAAGCAGTCTATGTGGAAGAAAAGAAGGACAGTGGAGATGTAAGCCTTAAGGCCGTTTTTTTCGCCGTAAAGGAGTAGTAACGGTGCACGACGAAAATCTCGAAGGATGACCGCCTCGCCGTACAGAGACTGAACTCGTGTCTTTAGTGTGCGGTTGGCAGGACTAGGAAGAGGTCAACCTTGTGAGTCTTGTCGGAAGTATGATCGCGCAGAGAAAAACGCGACTCGTCCGAACAAAACCGGCGTGAACAGTAAATTACTCAATCATTAATAATGCCGGTGTTTGCTAATAGTACCAATTCTAGATCTCGGACTGAAATTTGATTCCGTTTTCAAGTCCGTCATGGACCACAATGACACGGCCAAGCAAAATTTAAATCAACCACGAAACGGACGCCACTGGCCCAGAAACAAATACTTTATAGGGATGGGATCAGCATACACGTGTCTTCTTGTCCCTAGTAATGTTAGTGCTCCTCAACCGTTATATTCTTCCTCTCCTTGTCCTCTTTTGCCAGACGATCATGCTCCTCAATATCACTGAGGTCGAAAAAATACGCTGAATCATTCATCATCGATGGAGATTAGAAAACGATACTTACATAACTTCCCACGGATAATCAAGCCTATGATTCGATCAGACTCTCATCGGACTGGAGTAAAAGGAATAAATCTTACCACACGTCCTCCACTTCAGCACCTGCGAAGTATCTTGTGGAAATTTTGTGAAACCATGTGAAATCAACGCTCGTTGTAGTACTCACGGGATATTCGGTGGCAGCTTTCCAAGTTTTGGCTTGAGCTTGTTGTGCACCACGAAGACTGCAAACTTGGTGCGTTTCGAGTCACGCTCAGACTCTGGAAGCAGCTGAAGTTCTGCTTCAACATCTTTCTGGAGCTCATTCAATGCATATCTGAACAGTGGATAGGATGAGTACAACCAAAAGACTATTTTTGTGGAGCCTACTGGAGAGTTTTGCGCGTATCGTCGACTTCATCCTATTCAAATTATTGGTTGGATTTACATAATAAAAACCGAGGAGTTAGAGCTTACGACGATTAACGCTCGTCTTCCGAGCAATCTTTTGCCCGGGTCTGGCTCTCTGTCGAGATTACCCGTGTCAATATTAGATCCTGTGTACAACTGATAACACCGTACAGCCACTGGGTGCGAACAACCTCGCCGTTAAGCTGCTCTACAGTTGTACCAGGAAGAGACTCATAGAGTGAGAGACCAATGGCTTGGATCGGGATATTGGTTTTTGTCGAGGGATCTTTCAGGAATGTGCGCTGTGAGACCGGACACAAGGCGGATTAGAAGGTCGGTCCGGTTGTATCGCTTCTGTGCGACATACCAGTACACGAGCTGGGAAAAAACCACTGTGGGATGAGAGTTGAGATGGAGTTACTGATTAAATAGAATAGAACTGACCCTCCCCCTTTTCGTGGGCAATATGAGCATTATAAATATCATGAAAGCACTCAGACTACGTACCGATCGCAATGAACATGTCAGGCTTGAATTCAGACGCAATCTTGTCCGAGGTTCCTCTGATGATGTTGTGTATGTCATTGTAAGTCGACCTGACGTGCTCTGGTTCTCCCATTGTACGAAAAATTGCGAACTGGGCGTAACTGCAGCTGTATGTTGATCAAAGGAATCCGGTAGATTAACACGTGGCTGTGCACACCCGTGTTGATCGTTATGTAACTGGGTGACTTTTTCGCAATATTTATTTGGTTTCATGGCAGACAGTACCATATCTACGAGCAATGCGGGCGCGTCCTCCACGCCATCAGGCACTCCAGGACCATCCGTACCAAAAGCCATAGGGAGCTTGGCCAAAAAGCCTTCTGATGTGACCAGACAAGGATCACAGAAGCTCAAGTTCGTGCCTACCCTACCATCACGAAGAAAGAAAGAGTGAGCCAATCCTGCCAAATATAAATCCACGGTTTTTCATCACGTCGTTACCAGGGAAGTTAAGCAGGTATGTATCGTAGAATACATCTACGCGAATCATCATCATCCTGAACTGGACGCAGGAAGCCCCCCCACCAACCATCCCTAATGCATCTACTGATCGAGGGCGCGGACGTGGGCGAGGAAGGGGCAGGGGAGGAGAAGGTCGCGGTGCCGCTCCCCGCCCAGTTCCAGTAGAAATGACTGCCAGTGGGCCATTCGCTATGGGACCTGCTCTCGCAGGCACCTCAGCACGGCGCAGCGCTCCTCGCTCCAATTTCACACCCATCGTTCCACTGGGACCTGGAAATGCAACTGCTCTTGGTGCTGGTCTCTCTGGAGCTGCCGCTCCTTCGTTGAAGAGGGAGAAGGAGACTGTAGCACCGATCATTGACGAAGATGACTACTCTGATCCGGACGAAGGTGTCGAGATTATCGACATGGAGAACGTGAGACAGATGGACTGGATGGCTCCAGAAAGTTTGCGCAAAGAACGTAAAGAAAAGAAGAAGAAAATTCAGGTGAAGATTGAGGATCCGTCATCACCTTCAAGTATAAAGAAAAAAGGTAGTTTCCTAACGATTTTCTGCCACCTGAAGCTGAGACAATATCAGAAGAGGAGATGAACATCGAGGAGGTAGATTTGGCTAATGCCCTTGATCTTAGCGAGAGCGAGGAAGAAGAAGAACTCGAGGACCTTATAGATGATTTTGCGGTGCAAGGTGAAGCGGACCAGGTCATTATCCCAAATCTCTATCTGGTACTCGCGCTCATTCACGGTATAGGACGCAGACATACGACAAGAGCGTCTCTACTTCTTCCAGTTCCCTGAGCCGTTTCCAACATTCGTCTCCAATATCCCATTGACCAGTCCGACGGCAATGAGTGTTGATGAGCCTCCGTCAGATAGCCACCCACGTAAAGTGTCTTTCGCAGCAGACGTAAAGCCACCAGGTCCTAGCGGAGATCCAGCAGGCGCATCCACAGGGCCAGATGCAGAACAAACGAAAGAACTTCCCAAAGTTGATGGTGTTATCGGGCAGCTCGAAGTATATCGCAGCGGGGCCGTCAAAATGCGCCTTAGTAATGGCATCCTCATGGATGTTCGTCTAATTCCTATATTTTTGCTCATACCACTCGTGCTGACAGTTATATTTAGGTAACTGGCGCAACTCAGCCATCGTTTTTACAGCAAGCTGTCCATCTGGATCTGCAAAACAAACGCTTGCACATCATGGGAGAAGTCAACAAGCGGTTTGTCGTCTCGCCAGAAATAGATACACTCCTTCATGCGATGGAGTTGCGCGATCAAGCTGAGGCCAACGCCATGCCAATCGATGACACGAATTTAATCAAGATAGGCTAGTTTGTAAGATTCAAGTGCGGCAGAAAAAATAATCGTAATGACGTTGCAATATGCAGGATACAGCGGACAGCGAAAACGTGTATGCGTGACAAGAAAGAGAATGCGATGGTAACAAAACATGATGGATGATTATGCATGGTCCGGATTGTACACTTGCTGAAATGATAATGGCACTGGTTGTGGCGGAGGCCTACTCGAACTGGGACCTGCATTACTTTGATTGGGCTGCATCTTTGACTCTATGACAGCGGCTCGCAGCCCAGGGTCAAAGAACGGTGAAGGCGCGTTGATATCCTCTTCTGAAGCTGCAGCGAAGTACGGCTCGAATGTCTGAGAAAACGGGAGCTCGAATTCCCTGGTAGCTGGCAATACGAGATCGGGATTTGCTAGTGCTGCGTAATACTGAGCGATGGGTATATCACCATCGGACAGTTCTGACGATCGTCGGTCTGAACCAGATGGGCTTGCACTTGATGCTGACGAGCCGAATGGCGTGCCGGTAATGTCACTCTTCCGGGGTCCAAGCACGTCTGGATCATCGGGGTTTATAGACGACCGATGAGATTGAGATTGTCTGTCTGTCTGCGCGGCCTGGAGGGAGGTGAAGGCACGCTCACGCAGTCTGTGGAGGACAAGCTAGAAACACATCAGAAAGAGCATTCAATCGTGAGGCTCAGACTATATTACCATGGTTGCTGGAGGCCGACAGGGAAGTGAACCCTCTTCATAAAGCACCATTCCCTGATCCAGTTCTTGCAATGCGTTTGACGCAAGAGTACATTGTGGACTATCCACCACTATAGCTCCGAGAACGATCTGCTCGCCACATGAGACGCGTTGTCAAAATGAACTGTATAGACTCACGCATGCAGAGAATATGGCCGACCAGAAGAACCACGTTCGATCCGTCGGTTGAGAATGCACTCGGTACAACCCATTAAGGCTGGAGATCAACCGACATGCACTGCGATATACAGCCAAGACCTGAGGGCGCATATTTGTGCTGAAGGGGGTTGGTAGGGGCCTCTCGAAAAGCCTGTACGAACCAGCTCCGATGGATGTACATCAGATCTGCCAATCATTGGTATCTTACTGATCAGAATCACAATGATCCCAACTTACTTGCTTCCCTGTGACACAGTGCAGCATATTGCTGCATTGCTTTAGGGGCTTCTGGAGACCAAGCACGCCCTGCTTCTGAGGCTTCCATTGGTGATTGTAAATGTGCCGGCAGGTTGAATTTCCGTATCTTTCGATCCAATTCGAGCAATGAGGAATAGCTTGGAACACGCGTGTTGAACACATGCTGCACAGAAATTCCTAAACAGCTTGCCGAGTAGCGGACCTTCCAGGTATGCCCTAAAACACGTAAAGGGGTGGGCATGAAACGCTTCGCACAGAAAATAGTCAAATGAAACTTACATCCCATTTCGACAGCACCTGAAGGTTTGATCGCGGGATCGAGATCTTCTGGAAACCGGCAGTCTGTATGATTGATGCTCAATGCAGGTGGACGACCATGAAGGATACTCTTTGAAACAGTTCAGCGGGCAGAGAGATCAAGCATCAAAGAGCGCACCGTCCAAGCGTCAACCGAGTAGACTTCCCAAAATAAAACGCGTCGTCTTTGTATTTCTTCCTGACCTAGACCCCACCCAGCGTTATCGCGTTCTGTGATTCGTCCATCAGTGTGCGGCACCGTAGTGTGGGGAGGCACTTACGTAGACCGATCTGTGAGATAGTGTGTAATCATGAGTTCTTTGGTTCTTCGAAACGGCAGCATTATGCTCACTAATTGTGCAATTCTCGCCACGATGCCCATGAGAACCCACCTGGCTTCGTTGTTCGTACGATCAGACTGGTAGATATGTCCAAAGGCCATGAAAAGGGCCTGTACAGTAGCACAAGTAGCGTCTTGGGAAATCGGATCGAGTGAAAGCGCTGCGCGGGAAAGGGCATAGTACTGTTCAGCAAGCACCATTGAAGATTGTGATTGATCGTGAAGGACTCCTGAGGCCAGCAGGATGAAAAAAACGGAAAGTCGGTGCGAATGGATGTTATTAACGTTAGGGGAACCGGTGTGGCCATACAGTGGGATTAGAATATTTGTCATGAAGTCATCTCGTACGATTGGGTCGAACCTAAGATTCCGTAGGTCAATGATAATCGACTGCAGCCGTGCACGACGAGCTCACATCCATGCGACATTACGATAATATAGCTCCATAAGCTGCAAGGCTCGTTCGCGGGGAGGCAGAAAAGGTAAGAAGAGAAATTTCGTATATTGACTGTCCCTCAGACCGAAGGGGTATGCATTGGAGAGATCGATGATCTCAAATGGAAGTCCCAAGTATTTCGGGTCAGCCGAGACGCTCTGCTGTGATGGATAACCATCAGGCTATCGTGTGATTTCATGAGTGATGTTGTCTTCGGAAAATGAAGTTCAACAAACCGGAAACAGTGGTTGAAAGTACTGGATGGCGGCGCATATAATCAGGGGCTTAGCACAAAAACGATCGGAATGGGTTGCCTCACCTCCGACCCAACGGATTCGCCGTGATATTTGGTGCGGCCATTGCCATCGATAGATAAAGATCCGATGCTTTCTGCTACATCGTGAACTTCATCATCGTAGATAGTCCGAAGCTCTAGCTCTTCAACGTGTTCGTGTGACTGGGAGGAAGTTTTCAGGAGAGGATATGGTCCGCTTCCATCACGATTGGATCTCTGAGTTTCATGGAGTGCTTCTTCAAGCTCTTTTATTCTCCCAGTCATAGTTTTTACCTGTTCTGACAGCCGCTGTGCATGAGCCATGAGAACCCTTTCATAAAGGAAGATAAAGTTAGATTCCGAGTCGGGGGTGAAGGTACAGGAGCCGAGAAGGACGCACTTGTTTCCTTTCGTGGCGGCGAGAGTCCCTAGGACGTTGCGGATGAGATGAATGAATATTATAAGAGCGACACTCTTACCCTCTGGACAGATATTCGCACATCCGCGTCGCATACATGACTGGCACGGGAACACTTCTGCAGAAGTCAACTATCGAAATGCAGATGGACTTGCTCATTGGACTTACCTGTCGCACTTGAGCTTGGATCTAGACGGGTTCAAGTTCAAGTAGGACTAGTATTTCCAAGTGAATAGCAGATATGACATACCGGCGACATTCCGCGCATGACAATCCGGACTTTCTGGGACCCCCTACATTATGCATACTAGGAGTGATGTTCCTAACGCGTATACTGCTCTCGACGTCAATATTCATGGTGGGACATAAATGTCGTGAAGGTGAAGGTATGCATTCAAGTTGAAATTTTGGCGATGATCAGATGGTTTTAGTGACGAAGTCCCCTTTCCTCTTCCTGGCAGGACGTACCGGAGACGTAGGGTAGGCCGGAGATTCGCTACCTATTTCCAGGCCATGAGCCAAAGTGGTGATGAAGACAGTAGGAAGAGTTACCGCGGCAGTGGAGCCAACACAAGAGCGGATTTAAAATGGAGGGCTCGGATGATCGACAGTCGACCGACGATTGGGGCTGCTGCCAGACGGGCTAATACATTGTTAAGTATATAAATGCGTTGTAAACGCCCAACAGTTAGTTGAGTTCGCCTACATTTAGAGTTTTTATATGGACACTAACGTACTCATCCGACATTCAACACGGCCGCCATCAAGCAATTAAATCAACTTTTTCAGATGCACAAGATACTCATTTGCTCCCCGAGATAGCCGTACACGATTACTGTCTATGGTCTTACGTTTCGTCTCCGTTTCGGTGTAAGTGCTCCACCTACCATCATGCAGATCTTCACAATCCGTTACTGACCCCGGTTGGTTGCCTATCGCCCAGTGGCAAACAAACATTCTCGCCGATCCCGCGCCGTTCATCAACAGATAAATTTAAACATGTTGCATTGAACCTAACTCTAGACAACGTTGCCTTGTACACTCTACTGGAGGCGAATAACTATAGAAGAAAATCGTCAGTAAATCGTCGATAGGTAAGACGTAGAAAAAAAAGAATGAATCAGTCAAAGCGGAAGGATACTGCCAAAGCAGCTCCCCCGAAGGTAGCTGAGATATATTTCTGCACCGCAGGGTGCGCTCCTGCTAAAGCCAAATGCCTCAAACATCATATGCGTGTATGCTGGTTCGAAAATCGATAGAAAACACTCACCATGCGACCGATTGAGTACAAAAGTAAAATTTGCATGTGGGAAGATTTTATACTGCCACCATCTTGCCTGGCTAACTCCGACAGGCTTCTTCCGGCGCTCGCTGTAACATCGTAGATCATGTCGACCCCAGCAGCATTTGCAGACTCGCCAACAGCACAATCCCAGCCTTCTCCTTACACATACTACCCCCCGGGAACCTTTCCTGATGTATCTCAGCCCCAGTCCTCTCAAACCGCTACTACGGCTCCAGGCTCAAGCTCCTCTACAACCGCAACAACTCAACCACAATCCCGTCAGGCAGCCGAGGAGGCCCGCAAGGATCGTACCCTAGCTGAATTCCTTGTTATGCTTGATGATTATGAACCCCTGGTACTCGTGTAGCTTTCGTAATTCAAGTGGAGCTGAAAGCGCTATCCAGATTCCCAATGAAGTAACAGACTACTATCTCCAGAGGGTAGGATTTGAATGCGAAGACGTGCGGCTGTGAGTATCCCAGGATGTTTTCTAGTATAGACTCATTACGTTCATTCTACATATGCAGAAAACGCCTGCTTTCCCTAGCCGCGCAGAAGTTCGTATCCGATATTGCTGCCGATGCCTACCAGCATGCTCGTATACGTACGAACGCCGTTGGTGGCCGCGCTCGGGGCCCCCTTACTGGACCAGGGTCAAAGGTACGCCACTGTTCTTCACTGCCCTGCCTTGCATAAATCACCTTGCTTCTAGGATAAGACAAGGACCGCGCTAACCATGGATGACCTGAGTGCCGCGTTGGCCGAGTACGGCATTAATGCAAAAAAACCAGAATTTTATCTGTGAGCATGCAGAGGAGTTGCGTTTTCACTGTCACTTGTTCCATGTATTCTAGATAGTAGCAAGCACAATAAACCAATGGCAAGTGCTAGTGAAAGGGGAAACACTATGAACTATCTGTCTCGCCGTTGTAATCCGCGGACATCGGGTTCAAAATTATTAATGACATCTCGCTTGTGAATGACTCGTTCTAGTGTTCTTACTCTTTAGTAGCGACGCCATTGAACCTGCAATAGGAAACGAGCTACCTGCAGTGCACTATATTTTCGGAGAGGCGTACGCAGAACAGGTGCGATGTCAATATTTGCAGATGTGACTACAATTTTAACTTATTTGAACAGCCTGAGTTTCATCAACTTGGTCAAGACTCTACATGCGCTTCAGAACCGCATACATAGCAAATTTAGTCGCTCAATTCTTAGCAACTACGCCCCAACCTTTAGCGATCACTACGTCGCAACTAACCCCAGCTGTGCCCTCCTTGTACCCTAATCGGACACGATCGAAATCCGTTTATCCCCTCGCCCGACCGTATCCCCTCTACTCTTTTTGGCTTACCCGTGCTCGGGACTGTCTTACCCTTTGGATCAATGTTTCTTCGTATCGGTGATTAATTCCTGCACAGACGACAGGAGCTTACATCCTACATGCTGGATCTCGCGCTGTCACGGTGCGCACCGCTAAAAATATAATTGAACATAGTATGAATCTACTAGTCAGTCTTCCATTCTTAAATTTTTTCTTGGGGAAATTCCTACGTACGCGATACAGCCATTTCACAAATCAGTTTCAACTGCCTGATAGGGATACTGTCACACAAACATCCGAAGGACGTGACCAAACCCACACTGCCCGTGCACAACGTGAGGTCGTTCCAATTCGAACGCTCGTTCATGGCGGGCTAGGAATGACTCATTGGAATGGAAAAAAACGTTCGGGAGACCCGGCATGTATGAATCCGGCTCCCCACCAACATGGGATAGTACCAAGACTGTGCTAATGTCACTTCTGCTGGAATGATCTCCATAAGTTGCCCGGGTCTTATGTATCCGAGTTTTGCTCGCTTGAACTTTAGTCACAATATCGGGAGGCACATGCAGCACTTGCGGTCGCATGCTTTCAAACAAGCGTCGATCTGCTGCATTATACATCGCGGAATGTCGGAAATCTCTTCCCTCGATTCAGCAATCAAGCGACACAGCTTCCAACAAATGATGCATCGTCGAGTCGTTGACTAACGCTAAGCATGTATAGCACGGTAGCACCGGCTGTGTATTCTCCACTTCGTGCCTATAATTCAGATGCGGAGAAGAATAGAAAGAGACAACCAGACACGTTTCACTTCACAAATGGAAGAGACGAGTACATGAGTACTAAAAGAAATGTGCAGCCCATCATCTGTCACCTACCGACAAAAAAGGAAAAATAAGGGGTCCACGAGTAAAAAAAGAATGGAGCAATCCATCATCTGTCAAGTACATGCTGATAAAGGGAAAAGAAATCAAGGAACCTTTGAACAATGAGGGAAAGAGAAGAGACTCAGACTAGAAGTGCTTGCAGGACCGCAAGCGGTGTGTTCTGGCCTTCAACTTTTTGGGCGGTGGAATTATAGGTCGTGCGGACAGAGAAGAAGGCCGATAGGTTGTTGCAGGATTCGGTCGTAGGGGACCTCTGGCATCGATTATTACGGAGATGCTAAGCGGTGCGTAGGGACAGCGTGGCCGGCGGTGACCTTCAACCTCGTGGGGGACATGAGGAAAGGCCGTGCGCGTCTTTCGGGATGCAAAGTAAGGTTGTGGATGAACTTGTACCGCTCTAGTTGGGGCGCCAGCGTGGATGTAAAGCGAGCTCGGTCATGGCGTCGGCCCAGCCATCGACAAGAGCCGCTTAGTCGGCGAGGATCTCGTCACGGAATCGCTCGAGATGGCCTGTCTAGAATCAGTAAATGTTGTGCACATCATGAGAAGTTGCTCGCCGATGTAAGTCCGTGCACGTGCGGCAAACAAACGATCACAATGCTAACAAACCAAGGTGAGCGTCGTAATAAATTTGGTGATCATGTTATACCTGTTGTTTGTGCCTATTGGAGATGCGCACCATATCTGGAGGACTAAGCGGTAGATTAGTACTGATGAAAAGGGCACTATTAATATTGATATTGTCCATGATGAGTTGGGGGTTGCAAGGAGGGGAAGGTCGGGGTTGCGAAGGCATCGAAGCCCTTGACTCGGTGGTCAATGTCGACTACAAACGTTGTGCCCGAGCCTATGGAAAAGTGCTTGTGCCTCTGGATTCTGGATGGAGCGGGCATGTAGATGTCAGCGACATTGTCGCCAGCGAGAAGGGCGGCAGCGGCGGCGGGGCCATCAGAGGGCTGGTGAGAAAGTTATATTATTTTAGCATCACAATATATGCAGAGCATGTCCTTTATTTCGTCGCTAAAAGCAATATAAATTCATCTATTACGACGTAAAGGCCCCACAATCAACGTAACGCACTCTAAAGAACTCATCGGATGGTCAGCGGCCAGGGAATGAGAAGTTTCCTTGAGGGACTAATCTCTTCGCGGTTCTGTCGCGGTGGGAGGCAAGAACCAGAATAGCTGTCGAGAGGTAGAACTTTGAATCTCGGCGCCAACAGAGAGGTGATCGTCGGCGTCGTAAAGTGTCCGACGGGTAGCGTCGAACACGACGAAGAAAGAGACAGCGAGACAGCTGGTGACAGTGACGCGTGCAGAAGCATATCATAGTAGTTTTAATGGTCATGCACGGTTGATTCAAGTCAGCCGCGGCACTTGGCCCGGACGCGTCAAGTCACATGTTTGGAGCCCAACCTTAACTAAGGGCACCTAGGTTCTGAAATATGAGTTTGATTGGACAGAATGGGCGTTATTAACGGGTTTCATGATATAATTACTATGGCTAGGCTATAGGTATCCGTAAATTGACCACGAATAGTCGATCGGATAAACGATACTCAAAACAATGGCTGCTAGCCTGAGGGAGGCGCTTGCGTTACAGGTCGGAGAAGATCCTTAACGCAAGCTAGAATGAGTATGACTGAAGCCTTTGGAGGATATTATCGACATCAGATAAGCTCGTCTCCTTCCGAGCAACTTCGAGGAAAACCTCCCTTTCTTCCTCGCCGGTGTTGTCTCTTTTCGAAACATGCCAGTGCTGTGGTTGTTGACCTCGAGAGAAAACTTCGGTGATGTGCAATCCTCTATTGCAAGGCCCATCAAAATTATACTGGAATAGAAAAGGCGTAACACGTACTGCTCCAATAGTTGCTTTCCGTTGTATAGGTAATCCGACTTCGCAACGAAGTCAGGACTGGCCGCCGTAAAGTGGTCGAAACTAATGAGATAGTTATCTTTGGGCTGCAAAATCTTCGTCGCCGAAGGTAGGATCTCAGAAGCCCTGCGCGTACCCATGTGAGTTTTGCTCTTCTACTCTAAGTAGTTATACGTACCGCGTTGCTTCTGCAGCAATTAGGTTCTCGATGTCATGTAGCATTTGAGATGTAGCTTCAGATATAACATGTGTGTCGTAGTCTTCTACGTTATCAGCATCCGCTATGAGAGCCACAGCCAAGGTTTGACACTAGCAAGGTAATGTGAACGCAAGGGAGAATGAGTACGAGTCTGTGCTTACTCTTAAATGTATAACTTGCCTTCGGCGGGTTTCCAACGGGTCATCACTTTCAGGTAGAAACACAAAAGTACAAGCGAAGTCCAATTGACGGTGACGATCGGGTTTTTCGGGCTCGGGAGGGGATGTAGATGAGTCATCTGCAGGAAGCGGTGATGGGACTCGAGAAGGTCGTGGAGTGTCTCCGCTGTGGTCCATCTCCGAACACCCTTCACGTGCAGCATCAGGATCTGTGACAGATGACCCATCATTTGCCTTCTCCAGTAGGCAGTGTATATCGGCAGAGGATATCGCATCTCCTAAAGCGCCCCTGTCAACTTCCACTACCGTGCTCACACTTTCGGCCACGGAGGGATTAGGTTTCATTCCTTCTCGTTCTGTCACTGGCGATTTTGGTTCAGCGCCCTTCCCAAACGTCAACGCCCCGGGCCAACTCCAGTTCCGAACATCCATGCTCATGGCGAGACTAGAAGGCATGCCCAAGAACCCACTCGAGGGATTACCGCCAGAGCCGACTTCTTTGGCTACCGTGTTTGCGGTCGCTCCCTTTTCAGCGGGTGAAGAGGCTTCCGGGCCACCATCCGCTTCATGATGTGGTAAATGGCGTGGAATCAGAGAGAGAAGGTGTCGCGAGAGTGCAGGTGGATAATTAGATTGTCTGTATCCTGAAGACGGAACTACGTGAGGAGGAGAAAGAAACAATGCATCCAGTCCAGCTGGTAACTGCGACGAAAAGGTATCCAGTAGAGGTAGAATAGAGGGGTATAACGGGTGAAGCGACAAGCCTAAGTCAAATCGGCAAGTTAGCGATGATACGCGATGCCCAGACACATAACGCACCAAGGTCGTCGTTCAACTCAAAATTCTTGCTTAAATCCCATGACCACGCCCATACAGTGAAGAATCTTTCTAGCTGCAACTCTAATGCTTCCTGGCCGAAGGAATTCAAGATCGAGGTGAAGGACCCATGCGTAAGTTTGAATTGCTCGTATCCCCGGAGCAGGTGCGCGCGAAGTGCATAATCGTGAAACGAGCCTTCGTGATAGTCATAAGAGGGTTGCAAAGTGCTTGCTTTCTCTTTCTCTTTTCCCTTTCCTTTCCCGTTACCCTTGCCCTTATCCTTCGGTTTGGGCAGAAGCGTCCGTGGTGTCTTTGCAAGCTCTACCGCCTGGCAAAAACTAGCATGAGAGCGCATCAACAGATCGAGAGTCGGCGTACTGCGTGAATCCAGAAGTCAGGTTCGGGATTGAGCATTATCATCCTTCTCGATTGAGAATGTACATTGTGGCAAGAGTCAGTCGGATGGAATATCCTACTAAACGATGAGTATCTTGCACAAGGGGCAAAACCTGGGGCTCCTACTCAGAGAAATTGATGAGCGCCTTGGCAAGTCCAACCTGCCTTAGCATCTTGTCACGCGAAGTAGCGCGTTCCTGTGAACTGTAGAAAAGAATCTGTGCTTGCTCTTCTGCATCCTCGTCGTCTTTGGACACCTCTTCACTGGGATGCAAAGTCGGGTTATATATTGTCAGATATAGCAACGCTGGATGAAGCCTGCTCATGTAGCGAACCTTGGTTGGTTATGGTGGAAAGGGGAAGGCCGCTTATTGTGAACTTGAAGCGGGTATCACCCACGCCCTTATAAGCTGCTACCCCACGGTGCAAGAAAAGTAGTAACTAACTAAGATACGGGATTATGCAGGTAAATTACAACTTGTAGCTCTAACTAATCGTGGTATTTCGTCAAACGTCCATGCTATCATCGACACTCTTCTTCTGCGAATTCATGTCGGAAAATGGGTTCGTGTCGGGATCGGAAACTGCTGGTGAGGGTAGACCATTCTGACTACTACCAACCCAAGAGTCAATATTTGCATGCGCGCGGAATAACGAAGTGCGCGAGGGATCATCATCGTAGTCAGGCTCCACCTCGACTGAAGACGTCGGAGAGGCCCCCCCTGACGGGTTAGGGAAATCAAATTGATGAGACGCAAGTTCGAGAGGACCAAGAGTAAGACCATCCTCAGCAATCAGATCATCGCTCTGCGCCTCCAACATTGTCGGATCGTCATCATCAAGGGGAGGTGGCGATGATGTAGGAGTCGACCTTGTGTTGGATTGCGGTGTGAGGTATCCTGCATTGCTAGGCTGCTGTGTGGAAGGAAAGGGAAAAGGAGTTGCGTCGCTTTCACTGGGCGGTGTCGGAAGCTGCGCCTCTGGTTCTACAGCATTTTCTTCCTCCGCTTCGGCGGCAGCCTTACGACCAGCTTCTTCTATCTTCTCGTTGGTCTTGCCCCCCAACGGGGCGTTGCTTCTACGCCTATAGAACAACAGGTAGGCATTGGAATTCTTTGAAGATTATTAATTGGTGCCAAAAAAAAAGGACAGAAATTAAACTTGCCACTGCATGACTGGCATCAGACCGCATGACATACGAATCATCGAAGTGATACCACTGCTCCGTCACATGGTTGAGGGCATACGCGCGATAGTGCCCACCACCAAGCCCCCCCAGGTGCTCATCGACGGCATAGAGATCATAAATGAGAGGCTCCTCAACATCTCTGATACCAAGTTCGTTGATGTCGGCTCCACTCTGTGCGAGTCTAGTCCCCACTTGTCGTTCACCAACAAGACCAGTAAGGTCGAGACCCTCGATAGGAAAGTCGACGAAAGTGTCAATCTTATCGCGAAGCGTGCGACTGTTACTGAAACGCTTCAGATGCACAGCGAGAACGTCCGGAACCTTCCAAAGGTTAAATTTCTTTGTAGCCTGCTGGTGTTTCTTGCAACGCGGGCAGTACCACAAGTCATCTTCACCCAACTGCTCCTCCTTCGTGAACTCCGCCAAACAATCATCAAGTGTTATCCCCTTCGACTTCTGTGCTGCAGCCACCTCCTTGGCTTCCAAGTACTCAAGATGCACGAAAGGCACCCACGCATCCCACAGCGAGTTCTCGAATTGAGAGGTGCCGAAGTAGTATGCCTTCATGTTCTCATCGAACTCGCAGAGGAAAGCGTCACCCTCCTTCAGTAATGGAGCTCCCGATTCGATGTCTTCAGTACGGGTTTCCCACTGCTCGGATCGGCCGTTACTGGAACCATTGCCACCTGCGACATAATCCTTGTAGCCAGTGTAAAGGCGCAAAGTGAAGACACCTTGTTTCGTGCCAACGACATATGCGCCAGGTTCCGTCCCAGAATCATCCTCGCCGAAAAATTTCTCATCTGCGATGTCGCCTTCAATGATCATCCCGTCAACTTCGTTAACATCCCCATTCTCTTTAATCTCTGCGACGGAGTCAATGGGCGAGACGGTTGAGATAGGGATCGTGACAGCACCACTGGGAGAAGGATCAGTTTGCCAGGTATACAAGTCCCTGTCGCGGACCGTCCATCGTTGCAGGCGTTCGATGACAACATCATACATGTCATTCACAGATACTGCTTGGTCTCTGTCGATCACCACAATGAATGGACAGCCAAAGTTGTTTGTAAGGCGAGAGTAATGGGAGTAGGCAGGACGAGGAGGGACCACATCCGTCAAAATCACAGGAATGATGAAAGGATCATTGTCCTTTGGCTTGTATGAGCGACTCTGGCGCGAATTACAGGGCAGTTCGAAGCAGAAAATCTGGTCATTATCGGCCATATCGCCACACAGGATACTGTCGTCGAGATTCTTGTAGAAACGGTGATTGAACACCTCGATGGTCAGCAACTGGAGCTCAAGTGATCAGCAGAGAACCTCGATAGTGCGCGAGTATGTACTGACTTTTTTGGGCCTAACTCCCATCCATCGGCCAAGCAGATTCTTCAAATCTCTGAACGAACTATCGCGACTTATCTCGACGGGGACCTTTCGGTACATTGTATTTAGCGAAACAAATGAAGAACGCGACCGATATCTTACCTTCTTGTGAGGAATGGACGGGTCCCACGGAACATAATGGATGACATGCCACCACTTTTTGTTCACGGGGAGAGGAAGCGTGAGATACATGAATGGATCGAAAGTGATAGAAACCTGTGAGAACAATACTCAGCAGAGGATAGTAAAAGTCCGTACAATACGTACTTTCTCGCACTCAGGGCACACCAGAGTGCTCTGGTATTGGCCTTGAAAGAGGTCGACAATAACGCTATCGTTGCGCTTCATATATCCGTCCCAAGACGTTTGAGCTAATTTAGCTAGTTCGAGATCACCGCCTCCTTCCCAATCCGGTTTCTCGACGTAGGGCTTCTTGAGAACACGATTAAGGTCTTCGTGTAGTCCATCTAGTAGGAACGCAACCAGCTCCTGTGAGTCGTGCTGCTGGTATCCGCTGAATTGAGGGGCAAATCTCTGTAGCTGAGACTTGAACTCGCGCGGCGAGTACGAAGTGTTCGTTGAATCCCGTGCCCAGATACGATGCAGGAGGAGTCCGAACGCCTCTGCGATGGCACCGTGCATACCAAGCGGGTTGTCGGGATTGAGTTCCTCCTGATAGACGCCAGCTGTGATATGATGTTAGCATCAATGACCACCATTCGAGGGAAATACTCACAAAGAAAGTAGTCCGTCAACTCTTTTGTATGCGCAAGGCATTGAAGCGCTGAGTTCATGAAGCAGGTATTTCCCCTACACTTATGTCAGTGGATCGACTACTATTTGACAACGAGGCGTACATGTTTCCCAGACCGAGGGTGCCAGGTTCTTGGATAATCTTACTGCTGCCCTTGGAAAATCCGAATGATTTGAAGGGAGTAACTGATGACTCCTTCGCTTTGGATGAAGAGCCTCGCCGTGATGGCGACGGTGTGCGAAAATGTTGACTGTTTTGAAATGCTGATGTTCGTTGATTACTCAGACGGCTGAAGAAATCGTTGTCATTGCTATAATGGGGTGGCGGTACGTGTACTGCTGAAGGTGGAGGTGCTCGCACAACTTGAGAAGCATCAACGATCCAAGCGCCATTCTCTTGAAATTCGACCACGAACGGATCTTCCGGTTCTATCATGTTGTCCTCGACTGTCTTGTCTGTCCCTTCACTCATTAATTCTGCTCCCCACGATGCGAGTTTCGATGCGGGAAAGTGAGAACCAGAGAATTCGCCGGGTTCAATCTTCCAGATTCTGTAAGGAACGTTGCTGAGAGCGGTGACGGCAGAGACGAGCGCCTTAAAAAGGGTCTTCATTGGGTCTTTGATAGAGACAGTAACGTAGGCATGCGCAGGTCCTGCGATATCAGCATCGGGACCCAAATCTTTGAGCACTAAGACCTTGAGACGCGGAGGGCGAAGTTCCAAGGCGGTCTGCAAGAAGGCTTTGGCGATGACAGATCGCGGGAGCGGACGTATCGGCTGACCATACCTGAAGGGATATGAAGAAGTGAATCAAAGTCGAGAAGTGACACGCACCAAGCCACAAGCTCAGACCAAGCTTCTTCAGGTAAGAACTCGACGTCAATTTGTTCGACTAGATTTGAGGTAAGATTTCCCTGAGAGTCAAATAGAGAGGAGTTGTCTGGTGGACCGATATCCTTTTCCTGCAATGACTCGAGTGACTTGTCTGACAAGATTCCGCAAGCGATCTCCCAAGGTCTGAACCATTGACGAGATACGATATACCAAGTGTCGCCAGCGACCATAGGCTTGTCACGTAGGTATTTGATGCGCGCCACTTTCTGCTCGATGGTGAGAGAAGCCGGTTGAGTTGAGATATCTTCACCCTGTTCTGCCATGTAAGCGTCAATTTCAATCTCTTGCTCTCGTGCAGAATCAACCGAAGATATAGGATCTGTCATGATAGGGATAGGTGTAGCTGATGAAGGGCCTTCTGAAGCAGAGCGCTTTATAGAAGATGAAGAATCTGATTGCATAGATTGGGACCGCTGTCTCTTTCGACTTGCGGAAATCAATTCTGTTGGTTTTAAGGAAGGTGATGCTGCAGGTGATGGTAAACTCATGACATTTAAATGAGAAACCTCCTCGACAAACAAGAACGCGTATGTAACTCTTTTTTCCCACGGGGGATACGGATCGACATCCCGCAAAGCCTGCCATCAACGGGGACATGGCCTCGAGTCATATTACCTCGATCACGCTTCTACTAGTGATCTTCGATGGACCCGTTAAGACGTCATAAGTAGCACCCTCAGGCTGGCCGTGACTCAGACTTTGTAGGTAATTTCAATTCAGTCCTCGACGTATGGTCTACGGGCACTAATTTATAGGCATCGCGTTTTAGACTAGACTCTTGCATATTCGGGTCAGACTTATATGTCCGGTAGCATCAAAAATTCATCTCCGTTTCCAGATCACACGCGTGAGGCTTGAGCCGCTCACCCGCAAAAGCAAGTGCGTTTTTTATATATTCGCTTCAGGAAAACATGTGTATCCGTACGTGCAGCTTACAGCAGCATGGTACGCTAGAAAACTTTTGAGTTTGCCATCGAGAAAGCACTAAAAAAGAACCAGGAACATGTCATTTTTTGCCGATCTGTGCCTCTATGGCCAGAATTTGAACCAGTTCATCCGACGATCTCGATTCCACACACGATGCAAATCAATTCATAGATCGGCACCTCGCTGATCAGCACTTGGACCAACCGACGAGTTCAACATTCTGCGACCTGCAGCTACATATGGCGTGACCGAGTTTGAAAAGGGGCTTGTTCCTCTCTGACCTTGCATGACCCCCAGATGCGTACATGGTCTCTGACTACATGACGTCAGCCAATATTGGGACTAGATCTAACAAGGCATCGT